CCTCCATATGATCGAACACAAAAAGAAGTGGCCAAAAAAAATTCCCTACCTACCTACCCTATTTTCGAATGCCATGTAATCGGAAGCAGAACTAAAAAATTTGTTTGCCTAACTTCTATACCCTCCTCCTCCCCATCCCCCTCCTCGCCCCCAAAAGGAGGACCCAAAGTGAACCCCTGCAAACTGGACTGTAGTTATGCAGCTCTTTATATGTAGTCTCCAAGTAATTCTGGCAAAAGTGCGAACACGAGCACACGCAAGAGGGAGATACAACCGGTAGATTTTTTTCTGATCAAGGGCCTCTTTCCTGAAACTGAATAGGTCTGAAATTTGCACACATGTTGCCCCCAAAGTACAGCCGCAGTGTGTGTGCATGGTCACGAGTTCAGTATTGATGCCCGGGACCAAGACAAAAAATCAAAGCATGGCACTGAGACTAACAAAGCTTCAAAGGACTGCATTTCTTGTGTAAAGAATCTGAGTTGTTCAAGAGAGACAGGCCTGAGCGTAGGCCAATGTACTGTGTGCTTGTCGTTTAACTTTTGTAAAATAAGGACTGTGCGACATATTCGAATATTCACCAAATATTTCCGAACAGCATTTTTTGGATATATGAATATTCAAAACTTGTCAGCAGTCTTCAGAAAATTTGATTTTTTGGGGGGGGATAAAACAACGATGAAGACGACAAAATGCAACACGGAAATAATGATGGCAATCACCATGACATGACATGGCATTGCCTGAAAAATGCGTAAGAAAATTTTCTACCAAAAGAAACTGTTCAAATTACAAAACAAATAGAGTCATTAGAGTTAAAAGGAGACTGTTAAAAGGAAGAGTGAGTGTCTGAAGTTGCAAAAGTCAATGTGGAATGATAAAAACACTCTTAGGATCAATATGAAAGGAGGGCCCGTAACTTCACAATCACTCAAATTTTTTGACCAATGATGACAGAAAGCTTCAGTGGTGAACTGCACATAACAAACTATGTATGGGAGTCCGAACTATAGACATATCATGTTGCGGCCATCTTGACTTTTCCCCATTCAAATCAACGTAACCAAAGCGAGGCTGGAAGGAAAAATAGTCTGGTTCCTGTTTGCACAAAAAAAAACACATTATAATTCAGTACTGTCATCGGATACAGGGAACATGACTAAAATGGTGGCAGCATGATAAAGGTCTTCAGCCTACATTCTTCAAAACTGAAATTACTAAAAGGTTTCAAAACTAGTGCAAGTACATGTACCGGTAACAATATGCGGTCTGTAAAACGTGCCAATTGTTCAAAAGGAAGAAATAGACGGAAATAAACACCCAGGTGCCTAGATACAATTATGAACTAAACAAGTAAACCGCTATGGTCAAGGGCAATGGCACTTAATGTGGTCACGAGCTGACTACCGGTACATGCTCACCCTGGTACAAGCCAGGAACCCATGTGACAAGTTTGGCAAACTTTGGCACCTGTTTGTTTATGGTGTAAATCGAGGATTTTCTTTTGTGCCTCTTCCCTTTTCCTTTGTTTGTTCTTCTTTTACAACAGCTCTCATTCGTCCTCGTTTTGGTTCCTGTCCTCAATTCATCAATGATGTTGCACGTGTGTGTCCTTGATTTACACCATAAACAAACGCAATGACACACTGCATGTGGGCAACCTTGTCATTTCCTGTTGTTGATATGAAATCAATTTTTACTTTGCATTTCTCGTATTTGGTTTCCCTGGACAGAATTCAAACCTGTTGTCCAGTGGTCATGTGAAAGGGCTTGGCACATTCAGGAACGAGTATTTGAATGAGTATTTGAGGAGAATTTGAATAGCTCAGTCTGTTTGTGGAGTGTTGGGAAAGATTCCCATATCTGGCCATATCACTTGTCACCCTGTGCACAAACCCTATGGACTGGTCTGAAAATGTATGTTTTCTCAGTAAAACTTCAAAATTTGTCCCTGCTAATTTTGACTTTCAGGACATATTATCACTTTCTGATGGCTGATAGGTCATTTACAGGAAACAATACTGATGGCCAGATATGGGAATCTTTCCGAGTGTTGTGGCCTCGTGGTTAAGGGCACTGGATTCGTGGTCGGCGGGTAAAGCTGCAGGTTGTGGGTTCATGCCTGGGGTTATGGTGCGTGTGCCCTTGGGCAAGGCACTTCTCTCCACCCAGGAGTAAATGGGTACCTGGCAGAGATGGTTATTGTGATTGAATGAGCTTCCTTGCGCCTAACAGGCAGCATCGAGCTGCATACTCCCCAGGGAGCTGAGATGGTTTGGAAAACATGGGACCAATGAGCATGCAGGGTTAAATGGTGTAGCGCCTTGAGCACCAGTCCTGGTGGATACGTGCGCTTTATACTATCTATGCCCACTATTATTATTATTATTATTACTGACAATATGCTACATTGTACGCACGTACATTTGGGCATCTGTAACCCCCTAAACATGGTTTTTATGTCGCGCATAAATGACCCTGCACTGCGAGAGCCGAATTATTATCTAGCAGCCAATAACTCAAATTCTGTGAAGAACTAATTCAATAACTAAACGTCGCTCTACTTTCGATGTGAAACTTAGAAATAGCAATGGGAATGCATCTTTGAACTACATGTGATTATATAATTTAAATGCACAGAGTGTATGCTTTCAATAAGTCACTTGAGATGTTTCACATAGTGCAGAATTTTACTGATGGGACTCCAGGGAGGATGCAAGCAACAGGAGTTACAGGACATCCCAAGAATGCCAGGCCCTCCTAGCCCTCTGGTCTCCATCTGTGGTAACAAGCATCTCCAACAAATTTAATAAACTCTCCTGAGGCCTACGATGCTTGGAACAGCCAGAAACTTCATATCAAACACACTGTCAGTGTAAATTATTGCAACTTGGGCCGAGGACACGTCGCTTGTTCCCACAAAAAATGGAGTTCTCCACAAACTAAATGTAGACAAAAGCTCTAGACAAGAGATTTGGACACATTGCCTGAACTCTCATATAAAATTACCATCATATTGGATACGACATGTTCACCCTCATAAAATACTTGAATAAACGGCTCCGAATTTGATTTCAAAACCTATTCATAAAAACCTAAGACAGTATACCCATTCCAAGATTAACCTTTCATGGTAGAATATCGCGTCAACGCAGCTTGTGAAATATTGTCCAATTGCATGATGTACAAATGGACGCGGAACGCGCAAAATCTGAGACAAACAAAACCTAACGTACAAAATTCCATATAGGATTGTCCAAGGGGCGTGGCTAACTCGCAAACGGCGATATACATGTAGGTCAATTGGTTGAGAGCCCGTCACGTGGCCGGTCTTAAATGGTTGATAAAGACTGGCTGGCTGGTCTAAAACACTTTTCCAGTGTCACATGAAATGTGGACTCCTATGAAATCCGGTGCATTCACAATCCTTACGTAGACATGCGCAATACTACCAGTCAATCAGTATTTTTAGTCCTAAATTCACACTGCACCGCACAGCTGCGTTCTGCACCACATCATGTAGTACGTGAGACGCACGTGCCAATCTTCACATAAAGAGTTGTTTACGACAACTAGGGAGAGTGCCATACCACAGCATAGCTAGAGTGGTGTTTCGGAAACATGAAGTGAAATTTTTGAACAAAATCGTTGGGAATTTATAATTGTTTACTTGTTTTGACTTTTGGACCGAAAAGGTTTGATTTTTTTAAACCGAAAAGTATTTATGAATGGGAATAAATATGTGCTTGGTCGGTATTAAACACTACGTTTAAGACTGGTTGGAGTCTGGATGCTGATAATTACCCTCGCCTTCAGCTCGGGTCATTATCAGCATCCAGACTCCAACCGGTCTTAAACACAGTGTAACTGGCCAAGCACGTATTCCCTTACTAATTAACCACAATATCGTCTGCCCAGTCATAACCCACATTTACAACCATTATGTTATGAAGAAATAGAAAGCGAAATTGCAACACATGTATGTATGTAGGTTAACTCTGGCTCAAACTAACCTGGGGCTGTGCACATTATGTTGGCCTGCACTCAGATCAAGGTGCTTTTGCACAAAAGAAATCCCTACTAACAAAATGGGGTTTAATTGACCATTTCATAACGAGGATAACATTCAAACACCGTCTGTGCCAAACCCAGAACAATATGGTATCTGCATGTACTTGTTCTTGGGCAATTGGCAGAATAATGTGATGTCTGCGACAGAGCTTTTAAGAGCTCAGTGAATAAACCTGAAAATGTACATTTATTTTGCAAACCTTCTATCCATGATCTACCGGTAGTAATGGTCAAGGAGATTATAGACTAGGAGTTTTGGATCATTTCTCTAAATCATATCATGGTTTTGCAGCTATCCAAAAAGTAACTGACAAAATTATTGTTGAAAAACATACTTGGTTGAAAGATAGTAAGGGGACTAAAGTCCCTGTGAAATTATTCTTTCTGGCAAGCTGTCATTTTAAATGTCCATTAGAATTCGTTTTTTTATTCGGCGAAGCACGCGCAAGCGTTGACACGATGCCCAGGCGCGCGCGATTGCTATAATTCGTCGGATCAGTGCGCGACATCGCGTAGCTGCAACTGGCTCAGCGAGAACTTGTCTTGGACGCTGCATTCAGGCCTAATTCAAAACATTATTCAGCAACTTTTGATTTGAAATCCAGATCCTAGAATGCTGTTCATTGTCTCAAAATACACAGCTGAAGCTGAGCTGAAACTTCATCAGGTCAGTTGTTCAGAACCCTTCTTTAGATTTTGCGCACATTTGTTGCTTCCAACAAACAAAATGCACAAATTACAAATGATGGACTATACCGCTACCTTTAATTGGCTCTGTCATGGGCAGTGCACGCCTTTTCATAAAGGAATTGCCCTCTTAAATAACAAAAACTAGAGCATTGCTGGTCATGGTTATCTCTTTAATGCCAACTGAAAAAGTCAATTACTGTTTCCAGTTTCCCCCAAATAATATTTACAACGTCACCTACCTCATGCGGACATCCTTCTTCTGTGATGGTGCTGTCTTTACTGAAAGCTGTAATGAACAAACGAGAGACAAAGCCAGAAGGAGAAAATTATTCGACATTCAATTGCCAAGCCAAGGACAGATAAATAACCACTCCGACGCCCAGACGGAGTGATCGGGCCAGAAATTTATGCTCGGGGATTGACGCGAGAACGTCACGGAAGGCTGCTGCTTCGTTATGCTAAGGATCGTGGGGTACTGGTGGCGAGACCGTCCTACGTGCAGAACAGACGACAGTTCACCTTCACAACTTCCTCTTTCAAGCAGATGGTGAACTCGATGATTACTTAACGACTTCAGCATGTGAAGGGGGGCTGGATTGTTGGTTGCTAATGATTGGATAATGAGGGTCTGGGTTGGGGAAAAAAATTCAGGGGAAAAGAGGTTGCGTCCAAAGCGCTTGACTGTAGCCAGCAACATTAAAGGTGATATACATTGTACAACATTTGCAAACATCCAAAACCATCCAAATTATTTTGAAATACCTTACTTGACTGTAAGTAAATAATAGTCTCATGGTCTCAAGCATCCTGTGAAATTGTGGCACCTGTAGTGCTGTCATTTTCAAGAAAACTGGAATTTTTGTATCAATTTCCAACAATGGTCGGCCGACCATCGTCAGAAAAAAAACTGACTTTTTCAAATACTGCCCCCAAGTTACCATATTTAGTTAGTCCACATTTTGTTTGCAATTGGTTACCCATCCCTGGATGGGTACAAGCCAGCTAGTCTGGTTCCCTGAGTTTTCAATTCCCAGACATCTGTATATTGCAACTCACAACTAAATGCAATGATGCAGGCCCCGCAATCAATTGTGTGTTGCAATGCCCATTGAAAATCTCGCAAAGTGCAGCTTTTAGTTTTGGGGTTTCAGGAGCTTCAGTGCTTAAATTGTGCTTTTGTTATTTCTTACACAGTGTTCCCATGCAAGTGAGGTATCAAATTGAACCGGAAAGTTTCTGTGACAAAACGTATATTTCAGATGTTCACCGAGACATGTCCAAAACAAAAATGATTATGAAAACTGCTTAGTTACTTTCTGTGCCAGGTGTGTTCATGTACCTTATGAACTCAAGTTTTCATGGCGCTTTATGAATGGGTGTTTACAAAACCCCGGCTTCATTTCCAGCCTTGGGTCTGTCTTCTGCCCCAGATCCATAGGAATCCTGTCATGTTCAAACCCAATGGAATACACCAACCCTTGGCGTTATGTGACAGGATTTAATGTCACTTTGCAGCAGAAAATGAACGAAATTTGCCAGTCAATTCCCTTTAAAAGCACCAAGATACATAAAGAGCTCACTGGTCCAATCCTAAGCGAAGTCTACTCTATACATAGAAATGCATGATGCAGAAGTGGAGACTCAAAATTTAATAAAGTGTTGCAGTCCGTTTGCATTTCGAAGCGAGGGTGAAACGCAACTCCCGACAGTAAACCTGGCTTAATCCTGTCTGATCAGGTGGAGTGGTGCAGCCATTTACTCTCCTCAAACGATTTCTACCCCAAGGCGAAAAAAAAAAAATTCAGGGGTGGGTGTTTTATAATGGCGTGGTCGTGAGTGGGCAAGTCGGGCCGCTTAATTCGGGGCTAGGGGGCCTGGCCAGCCGACGTGTTCTTGCACGTACGCGTCTGTCCCGCAAAACGATGTGCGTACATGTAAATGTAATACTTTCATATTCGAGATTGAGCTTGTTGCATGCATATTTGGATGATAATTAAGGGTTATAAAAAAATTAGACGTGGAGAGGAACCAATTTGTTTTAATTTTGCGCAGTGGTACCAGTGCATTGCATATTACACAGTGCTACTGTACATGTATTATACGACATATATGTCCTGTACACAAACAAAGTACAGTTTTCACTGAGCTGAAAGATACCAGTAGGGTTGCTTCAATTTATTTTGAACAACACAGACTTTAGTTTGTAAGACTGCAATGTGCTCAATTTGCAAAGTTCAGACACCCCCCCCCCCTCATTTTTCATCCCCGAATAAAGATGGGTAGCTCCTACATTTGATTTTATAGCTCAGAATAGCTGATTCAATTATTCCAAACTCGAAAATGATGTAAAAAATTTTCATTTGTTCAAAAATAGTCCTTAAAGTTTCTGATCAAGGTATGTCCCCCCCCCCCCCCCCGCCCACTTTTGAGAAGTGATTGACGCCCTTGGTCAAATAAGATGTACATACATGTACATTCGGACTTATTGTACAGACCAAAGTCCACCAATACAAGACATCTTAGCATCAGATAAAAGTAGAAAATGGAACTGGGCTGGACACATCTGCCGTAGAACAGATGATAGATGGAGTAAATATTAACATACAGGCAACCACTTGAGAGAAAAGGAAATAGGGGACGCCAGCGAAAGAGAAGGACAGATGAGCTGCATTTCTAACTGGGGCAAAGTATCGGGGTAAATTAGTACCATCTATATAGCTAGAAATAGGGACATTTGACCACATCATGCTGAGGCCTCCATCCTGCAGTGGATTGACAATGGCTGAAATAACAAACGATCTGCCGCCTTTGTTTGAACAAGAAGTTCTGGAAAAGTATACTGTACATATGCCTCTCTTTTTGTCAAGCAGTTTTTTTGTGCCTAATTCAGATGCAACTGGGATTTTAGAAAAAACAACGAAATTACTAACCACACAAGTCTTTGTACAGCGTTTTTCAATTTCTAATGGCATTCATTAGAAGAAAAATAAACAAGGAAATCAGCGGATCCGAGGAAAAGTTGCATGCCTGATAATTGTGCAACCGCTGTACACAATGTACTTTCTTTAATTCATTACTTAAATGACAACTAGAAACAAGTATTGTTTTAAAATGAATGAGGTTGTTATATTGTGGAACAATATTGGTGTGCATATTATTAAAAGATGTGTCAAGAAAGTCATACGGTGTAGTGTTCTGAGCATACACACGTGAACTTTACGGTACAGCTTGAAAAATACTATCACAAGAGGGCGTTCTTCCACTTGCTACAATGTGCACTATCCAAAATTGCTCTGTGCCTGAAGCTAGAGGGCGCTGTGCAGGCTAACAAGGCAATTTGTTCAATATTTCTCAATTTTTAAACAATCTGATTTTAAGCTCATTTTGTGTTAGCACAATATGAGAATCGATGCAAACTGCACTGAAGGAGCCTTTTACGAGTGACTGAACATGCTGAATGATACAATAACAATGACCTTTTCTTAAACCCGGCTCCATCTCAACTGCGGCCTCAGGCATGCACTTTGGCAATGGAGATTGAGCCGGAGCTGGAGATGAATCTTAGTTTGAGAAACAGTTTGAATGACTGTTTGGTGCCTCCATTCTATTTTTATTATTTCTGGTAATTACGGAAAAAGGATAGCTCAAAAGCGCCTTAGGCAATAAAGCTCGCAAGCCTGAAGAAAACCTGTAGAGAGCAGACAATTACAGTTTAGACATAGGAGGCGAAACCCCAGAAGAATATTCTGGGGAAAACCCACGTAACCAAGTACTGGTAGGAACTGAGAACCTAATCCACATCTGGACCAGGGCAGGAATTGAACCCGGACCACAGAGGTGGAAGGCGAGGAAAGAACCACTGTTCCAAGCTCACTTCCGTCCAGCACTTAGGGGCTGGAACCACTCAGTCAAGAGCACATTTGTGACATTAGAATGTTAAATAAATGTTTTTAGTGGGCTAATGCAATTCCCTTGGCCCTTCCCGTCACTTTCCCAAAGTGAAATTTCCTTCCTACATGTACATGCAGTATCCTCTCGACTTAAATTTGAGACCTGACGTGTTAAAGGGCCCATGAAGTGAATATTTCTTAGGAACTTATTTTGTGCTACTTTCTGATCCTCTTAAAAAGTGCATGAAAACTATTTGAAATCCCTTTTTGGTTAATTTCACTGAAAAGTGCACTTCTTTAAACATTTTAAATTGTCCATGCTTTTCCTGACAAATGAGGGCGCTGTTGCTGTGATGTCATTTCAGTAAGACACTGTTCATATAAGGTGTTGTCTGTTGAAATTGTGAACCCAAAATTTGCTAAAATTTTGAAAACATTAGTGAGAAAGTTTACGACTGAAAAATATCCAAAATTCTGGCAACTTTTTGTGCACAAACCAATTGCCACATTGAGATTTCTGCCTGATATGACATCACACTTTGCTCATGAATATGGAAATTTGCATTAGCATAAAAACCAAAAAAGCACCAAAATACCCTTGAAAACAGCGAAATATGAAAATGGAAAATAAGGTTAAATGGGATACCAAGGTGCATTTCAAAGGCCTGCATTAAAAAAATAACATTTCATGGGCCCTTTAAAGCACTACATGTATATCATGCCAATGATCACAAAGATTTTAATTATACATTCTTTTGTTACGTCGAGGCTTATTGACATGGAAAACTCCCTTTTGTTTTGTCTACCGCAAGAACAACTCACCAGGCTCCAACGTATTCAGAACACTGCTGCGCGTGTAATTATTATTATTATTATTAGTGTAATGGTACCATTAAGGAGACACGTTATCGTAATTTCTTCGCAAGATGGAAGACATCGGTCATTAGGGAGACATTTTCATGTCTCCCTAATGTCACAGCCCCTCTTTAGAGGCACAATTTTTTCGTCGCAATTAGGTTATATTTGTGGCTCATGGTCTAATCAGTAAACATACCGAAATTCATGGAAAAGGGACAAGGGAATATTGGGTTAGGGCACATTTAAGTTTGAAAAATGTTGTGCACAAGTCTATGGGGATGTCTCCCAAATGTCCAATCCAGGGTAATCTTTATTATTATTTTTATAAAGTAAGAAGATTGAAAATAATTAAGATCATTTATGGCAATTATAAATTTGTTTAATGTAACCCTTCACATTACCATTTCCAATTTCTATCAGCAATGATATAACCAGTGGCAATAAAAGTGCAAATCCGTGATAGGGGTTGACCTTCCTTTTCTTTTGTCTGCCTGCATTTAAATGTATCTCTCAGTTCTTGCAACAAATACTTCAACCAGACCTAATCAGGAAATTTATTTAAGTTGAACAAAGAAATCGACTGGAGTGGGGTTTGAACCTGCAACCTCCGGAATGCCGTTCTGGCACACCACCAACTGAGCTATAGATTCAGCACTTTCCAAATTTTGTCAATGCCTTTGCTCAAGGGACACTACATGTATTCACATACAGGCCCACACCAGGCTTTCAAGCAGACCCAGGTGAAAAAGTAGAACAATAGAATCAAAAAGGGAAAAAAGGACAAAACTAGGACTTTAAAGGGAATATACATCATTGGCTTTTGCTGTAATTTTCAGAAATGAACTATTTAAGGGATTAGTATAATAGATCAAATATTGTTACACTGACATGTTTGAAGTTTTGTGTTCGAAAATGCTGGAAAAACCAAGAAAAACAAAACTGTTCCAGTAGTCTGGTTCCCTGACTCCACTAAATATAAAATGGATCAATTTACAGATGCCGGAAAATTGTAAGGTAAGGGTACCAGTTTAGCTGGCCTGCACCCATTCATGAACATGTAACCAATAGCAAACAAAATTTGGACCGAGTTAATGGTAACTTTGGAGCAGTAGTTGAAAAATAGTTCGGTTTTTCCAACGGTGGTCGGCCGACCACCGCTGGAAATTTTTACAAAAATACCATTTTCTTGAAAATGACTTCACACCAGGTGTCATAATTTTACAGGATGCTTTAGACTGTCATTTACCAACATCCTATTAAGGTATATCGTAAAAACTTGGTAGTTTTATTTTTCGATGTTTGCAAATGTTGTAGGCCCCCTATATTCCCTTTAAAGGACAAACTCAGGATTAAAGTAGGACTTTGCGGGCTTTCAGGAGTAGTTTTCATTGATACTCATTAATACCCACATCCACAGCGTCATAAGTCTCAATTTGGCATGTTCTGTACTCACAGCACGTGCTCCAACCTGAACTGTAAGCTCTTTGAAGTACAGTATCAGTACTCCTGCGCCCAAGCCCTTCTTTGTGTGATTTACATACCGGTACATGTACATGACATGACAGTGTGTTATGAAAGAAAAAAAAAGATATTTCATTAATTCATTTTTTGGAGTTGCAGGACAAAAAAGTAGGAAAAAGTACCCGGTAGGACAAAAGTATAAAATTCGCAGACACAAAAAGTAGGAAAAGTAGGAGCACGGTAAACAAAAAAGTAGGAGAAGTTGGAATACTAAAGATTATTAAAGCTATAGTTCATCATTTGCAGCCATCCGAAAAATAACTGGCGTAATTATTGTTGAAAAACATACTTGGTTGAAAGATAGTAAGGGAACTAAACTCCCTGTGAAATTATTCTTTCTGGGAAGCTGTCATTTTGTAGTAATTAACGAAAGAAGGCATTTCCAACGGTGATTCTTAAGAAGCACCGTAGGAAAATTTAAATTAGTAGTTCGTTTTGTTATTCAGCGCAGCGCGCACAAGTATTGGAACGAGGCACACGCGCGCGCGGTTGTTATAATTCGTCGGATCAGTGCGCTACGTCGCGTATAGCTGCAATTCAAAACAAATTCAAAACATGATTCAGTAACTTTTGATTTGAAATTGAGATCTTAGAATGCTGTTTTTCTCGGAATGTACAGCTGAAGCTTAGCTGAAACTTCATCAGGTTAGTTGCTCAGTATCCTTCATTAGATTTTGAACTCTTTTGTTGCTTCAAACGATCAAAATGCACAAATTACAAATGATGGACTGTAGCTTTAAGCATGCCATGTGCCATGTTGCATATCATGCCTAAATTCACAATTCTAGCAACATTATGCTGCAAACCTGGGAAATAGTAATTGTTTTTCCAGTTGACTGTACATAACAATGTACATAGGCATAGGAATACCAAGGGACACTGTTGGCATAACAAATCGGTGTGGTGGCCATGTCATCACTCAGGAGGTCAACAACTCTGTTGCCATGGTAACCAGTTTGCACTTCACACTGAGATGGTGTGTTGCTAATAAAAAGAAGCCCATGGATGTTTTTTAACTGTAGGGCAATTCCATCATTATGAAGTAATGTCTGTGACAGAGCTTTTAAGAGCTCAGCGAATAAACCTCAATTCATAAATACCCAAGACAGTTTACGCATTCCTATTGGTCGAGAGCCCGTCACGTGGCCGGTCTTAAACGGATGATAAAGACATGGCTAGCTGGTCTTAAACACTTTTCCAGTGTCACAATAAAATGTGGACTCCTAAAAATCCAGTGCCTCTTATCGTTTCATTGGTTGAACGTTCACAATCCTCACGTAGACATGCGCAACACTACCAGGGAGTCAGAATTTTATAGTTCTAAATTCAAAACGCAACGCACCAGGTGCGTTCTGCGCGACATCGCGCAGAACATGATACGCGCGCGTCAATCTCCATAAAAGGGTTGTTTACATCTTACTCGCCAGCTGAACACTCCATTATTTTGCAAGAGGGATGTTTCAAAAAGCATAAAGTGAATTTGTTGAACAAAATCGGGATGTTTTGAACGAATTGTATGATTTTTTCTTACCGAAAAGGTATTTATGAATGGGAATAAATATGTGCTCCGTCGGTATTTATCACTCTGTTTAAGACCACTTAGAGTCTGGGTGCTGATAATTACCCTCGCCTCCGGCTTGGGTAATTATCAGCACCCAGACTCTAAGTGGTCTTAAACAGAGTGATAAAAACCTCCGGAGCACACATTTATTCCCTCATTTAAATTTGATAGTGGGTTCTGTCCTTGCACTGACAGTTGTTTTTATTAAACACGTATCATACTCTGTGTTGTCCCAAGTGATTGTGAGAAAAAAATTACAAATTACTCTGTGGGACTCGAACCCACGACCTCCTGCTTTCTAGCTTACATATTTTATTTATCCATCATCTGCGGTAGTAATGGTCAAGGAGATTGAAGACTAGGAATTTTGGATCATTTCTCTGAATCATTAAATTAGATATCATGGATACAAATGGCTCTGTCATGGACATTACACTTCCTTTCATAAACGCTGATATCGTCCTGTAGTTTTTCTTGCTTCAGAAATCAAGAAAACAGAAATGATGACAATCACTAGTGTACAGGCAACCTGTGCTACAAAGCAGCCTTCAACTGGTTTTGCTGTGTTTTTGCTTATATTTTAAAATGTTTAGTATTTCGTGCTGCGTGTTGACTACCGGGGAGATCGCATTGCTATGCACAAGGCACGAAGCGAAGTACTCGTGAACTCAGCAGGAAGGTGCATTCATGAACGTGCCCCAACGATGACAAGCAACCCAGTGGCATTTTAGTTTGAGGGAAAAAAAAAAAAAACCCGAACGAGACAAAATTCTGATCAGTGGGAGTGTGACCCTTGCTCTTTTGAATGCAATGTTTCCCCGGTCTATCAGATTTCCATTCTGCATGGGAAAACATTGGAGAATTCAAACCAAATCAGCAAAGATCCCCAATGGATTGATATGGTGGTTGCTCATTTGCTTATAAATAATAGGATTAGTCTGGCCTTCCTTGATAAACAATGTATGAATGCTTCGCCCCCCCCCCCCCCCACTGCATGCAGTAAACATACCTTTGAAGTCTTTTGAAAGATACATTATGTACATAGCAGAGCTTAAATTATGATTGGCCCTTTCTTACAGGTTTATAGTGCGTCCCAAAATACCCGCAACTTGTTTTCGTGAGGATATAGCGTCGGCGCGGAAACACGTACCGCCATTATTTTTATACCATTTTAAAGCTTGGAATCTTATCTTTATCCCTGATGAGTACTGGTTTGATATTTAAAAGAGTTTTTAAATTATTCGTGTTCAAATAAAGGCATGTCGAAAACAAAATTTCGAAAAAATTCGCATGTTTGATTTTCCTTGTAATCGGTTGAGTTTTTTTGTTTGTTGACATTTGAACATGAATAATTGCAAAACTCTTTTGAAAATCAAACCAATCCTTACCAGGGATGAAGTTAAAATTCCAAGCTTAGTTTAAGATGATATAAAAATAATGGTTAGAGCCTCACAAAAAAAATGTTGCGGGCATTTTGGGACGTGCTGTATAAATAGGGTTGCAGGCCGGTAAATAGGCCTGACATTGCCTCCGCCAGCCAAATCACTATTTGCATGCCCTCAAATGTTTTGCTATCAGAGCATTAAATTTGTGGGCCGTGAACTTGAGGGTTTGTAAAAAACCTTGTTTTCAATTCTCGTTTTGCCATTTTGAAGGGTGTTTTATTGGCTTTTTGGTTTTTATGCTAATGGGAATTTCCATATTCATGAGCAAAACTGTGATGTCACTGCAACAGAGCGCCCTCAGTTGTCCGGATAAGCATGAGAATGTTAAAAAAAGTGCACTTTTCAAAAAAAACAAACCGGTATTTAAGGCCAAAAAAAAAAAATCCCCGGGTTCTGGTATGGAGCTTGCCCAAAAAGTGGTGCGGCGACGCGGCTTTTTTTTTTTTTACCTGATTTTTTTGCTTCAAATGTCGGCTGATGACTGCAAATGGTGCCCGACTAATTTTAGTGCAAATATATGGGAGTCCAGAGAGGCCACATAAAGCTTATTCTCGACCATAACCGAATCTAAAAACACGTTAAAATTGTGCAGCAGCAGGATTCCAGTCAAACCAGTGAGTTTGGCGGTTTTGAGACATCATCTTTCATTGAAAAAAAAACTTTTTCATTTTGCCGATGCGCATGGCTACGGCGACGGGCGCGCATACCAGAAACCGGAGACTTTTGTTTTTTGGCCTAAGAGGAGTAGAAAGTTTCACAAAATGTGTTCCTAAGAAAAGTTCATCGAATGAACCCTTTAAAAAACAATGTAGTGCACATATGTATGTATTTCATTGTCGATTCTGTGTGCATATAAATATGTAACTTACATCTTCTGAAGTTTTTGAATGAGATTCTCTTCTTGAGTTGCCTCATTCTGCTGGCCGGGCCGTTCTTCTGCCCATTCATTTCTACATGGACGTCATCTGGATGAGAGTAAGAATTTTAAAAATATGGCACTGGTTAAAATTTAACTTCCTTGTTCAACCCAATATGAAGACAAAGGGATTTCCCGAAAGCCGGCTTTGTCTCAAGTTTCAGATTTCATCTCGTGCCACACGAAAGAATGTGATCAGTAGGAGACTAGTGAGAAGTACCACTACAGGGTACATGTAAGTCAATAAAAACGAAACCCAAATGTCGGGACTACTGTTTTATTGAAGTTCTGCATATGTAGCACTTTCAAAATCTAGGACATGAAAGCCCAATTCATCAGCTTTCTTTTAGTACAAAAATCATTCAAATCACTCATGTACCTTTCAAGTTACGGAATTTTAAACACAACCACCGCTTTAAGGTTCTGTCTACAGATCACAAAAAGTGAGCGTTCTTTCAGCAAAATGAAAACAATTCACACACATCCCTATGCGATTTCTTTTCGTTTTGTTGAAAGAACACTGATCTTTTTTGTGATCCGTGGACAGAACCTTAAAACGTTAGTCGTATTCAAAATTCTATAACTTGAAAAGTAGGCCTACATGTACATAAATGATTTGAATGATTCTTGTACTAAAAGAAAGCTTATGGATTGGGCTTTCATATTCTACATTTTGAAAATGCTACATGCAGAACTTCCTTACAACAATGGTCCCAACATTTGGGTTTCGGGTTATTTTACTCACCCTGTATTTTAAACTTTTGTTCCCTGCCCCCCCCCCCCCCTTTTAAAGGGAATATACAACATTTGCAAACATAGAAAAATAAAACTACCAACTTTTTACGAAATACCTTACTAGGATGTTGGTAAATGACAGTCTGAAGCATCCTGTAAAATTATGGCACCTGGTGTGAAGTCATTTTCAAGAAAATGGTATTTTTGTATACATTTCCAAGGGTGGTCGGCCGACCACCGTTGGAAAAACCTGACTATTTTTCAACTACTGCTCCAAATTTACCATTTTTTTTTCAGTCCAAATTTTGTTTGCTATTGGTTACATGTTCATGAATGGGGCAGGCCAGCTAGACCGGTTCCCTTACCTTTCAATTTTCCGATATCTATAAATTGATCCATTTTATATTTAGTGGAGTCAGGGAACCAGACTACTTGAACATTTTTGTTTTTCTTGGTTTTTCCAGCATTTTTGAACACAAAACCTCTCAAAATGTCAGTGTAACAATATTTGATCTATTATACTAACCCCTCAAATAGTTCCTTTCTGAAAATTACAGCAAAAGCCGATGATGTACATTCCCTTTAAATGTAAACTTAGGACTGCATCGCATTGAATTTGCACTTGGTCAAGAAATATTTTGGTTACATTATAATGTCTTTGTTTAATACAGACCAGTATCAATTCAACAAGCATGTTCTATCATGTCTCTGTTTTTATTTTATTTTTTTTCTCCATTTCCTTCCGTCAAAACAGCCAGCTCCGTTTCCTGCCTTTCTACTCTGAAAACAAATATTGGAATCCCCAAGACCAAAAGGAAAGTACAGAATTTGAAAAGGGAAAAGATGTTTCCTTCTGTTCATGTTTCAGTCTATTTAAGAAGAAAAGAGAATGAAGCACAACACAAACACTTTGTGCAATACTGAAATTTGTATCCTTGTGGAGACATGTCTTTGTTCTCGTGTACTAAAGTTTTCGAGTCGAAAGTACTGCAGTTCCAAAATGCTCTTAATTTAACCAGAATTATTTTCCTTGGCTGAAATTCGGACTTAATATCCCTTTTCTAAAACTCTACCATTTGCGACGGATCAACATACCTTGGAAATTCCATAAAATCCATATTTCGTGAAAACCTTTTGGAGACGTATTCATCTAAAGAAATTGCCCTGTGGAGACGTACATGTATACTATTTTTTTTCCCTATTGTGTGCATGTCTCCACAGGGCACGGCGTATCAGATCGCAAGTTTTGGTTGCGGGTAGCAGCTCAACAAATCCTCATGTCTCTCCGTAGTAACAAACACTCACATTGTCTATTGCTCCTTCCGGTACATATTTTGACCAATTTCAACCAAACTTTGTCAAAAGTATCCGGAGCCCACAGTCAACATGTCTTACGAACTGGGGTCAAAGGTCATCATGGGGTCAAAAATCTGATTTGTTTACTTAAAAACACCAATCCTTCCAGAATATGGCACAATCACGGGACTCATGCACGAACACGAAATTGTTGGCCCACAGCTTCCGAGATCCGAACGATGCTTGTAAATCTATTATTTAAATTGTTTATTGTCCAGATATAATTTTTTAAGGCATTTCTGCATTTTTGCACTCATACATTTTTGTACTGACTTAATCCAAAATTTTAACTTTTAATCGGAGCCCTGAAAATACGAAATCATAGCTTTAATGCATTCATAAAAGTGCCCTACATACATTCATGAAATTCTACAACACAATAAAACATCGATAAAATCAACACTCCGTGCTTTTCCCCAGTCGTGACTGCACATAAAATATGTGGACATAGGGAAGTGCTGGTGGGGTAAGTAAATAGTAAAACCTATGGAATTCCACCTGCAATATATATATATAGAAAAAAAAATAATGCAGCAAGTTTTATTTTACCCTAAGGGCAGACTTGGCAAAGCAGTGTATTGATTGAACTCTGATCGATAGCCACAGGGGTATTCTACACAATGTTCATGAGCAACTGGCATCAGACGAAGGCCAAATTGGAATCCTGATCATTTCACAGGGATCAGGTCAAAATCGTTTGGTTTCTGTGGCATTTTATGTGATGATCTAAATTAGGCTTACAAGGGCATTCGGTGAGCGATTTCACTTGATTCGCTTCATATAGGCCTAATGCGAGGTATTTTAACTTTTTTTCTGTAATTTTAACTTCTATTCTTTGTTTCAAAATATTTTGACATACGGTATATATACATTTTTTTCAAACTCTGCAGTCTGCACACGAGTACATGTTATGGGTTGCATGTAATTCACCAAATATACCGAGGGCTTAACACAATCACAACACCTTGAACTTGGAATATTATTCGTCTGTAGCGAAGATTAAACATAATGGCATTTTCATGGTAATGGGGTAAACAAGTGTATGTATTTTCGGACCCAGATCCACTTCCTATGTCCTGTGGACTTCTTCAACTCATTTACCTGGTCTGAAAAAAAATAAAGATGACCAGCTAAATGTACATTTTACATGTACATGTACTTGTAATGTACAGTGTACATGTACCGGTGTACATGTATGTACTTGTACACATGTTTTGTAATGAAACAGAAAGTGATAAATACATTAATTTTTCTTCGTACAGAAATGTGACGCCAAGTTAAAAAAAAAAAATAATAAGTAGTTTCTTGTCTGGACTTTTTACAAAAATGAAGGAGACGGGTGTAATTTTTTTTTTTTCACCCAAAGATGGCGGATTTTCAAACATGGCGGATGGATTCTTCAATTTTCTTGACTCTTTTGCTGAAACAAAATGGTGTCCTTTCTACATTATGTGCAAAATATTTATCGCAAATGCATAATTGATGAACGAATTAAAAACAAAATTAAATTAAGTAAATAAAATGGAGGGGCCAGGAGGTGACGAGAAACTGGTTTATATTCTTACTCGGCTAAATTGCTTCTAAGGAAATTCACGTCATGTACATGAATCGACTGCAGTGTATGGTAGACTAAACCATTAGGCCTAATGTGTGGAACAACCAATAGATTTATTTAACTATCAAACTAGAGGTTCTGACAACATTTTCATTCGAGGTCAGTAAATTTGGACGTATATTTTCCTCTATGACTGATTAATGTGAAATATTTACTAAAAAATATCAGAGAAAATAATAATTTTGTAATTAAATACATGTAAGTGTAGGGCAGTACCATGAAGACAACGTACATTAAAATTAGCCATTGAGTGCACACCGGTATTAGCATACAGAACTCATCACTATCCAAGCAACGGTAACACGTAGGCCTACTGTCTAAATCATTAATCAATCTTTGTACAGTAACAGTAAGTGGTTCCAAGAGTATACATTTACACGTGTACGCACAGGTAGAGGTTCAGGTGTTTTGACGTGTTGCATCAGGACTCCCACTCATGCAGATTGTATCATCCTGACTTCAATTTCAAAGGTCAACTTATGTAAAATCACAACAGTAACACCAAAAATGAAAGAATATGTAGAAAATTATACAGCGCGTCCCAAAATACCCACATTTTTATGCGAGGCTCTAGTGTTGCCGTGGAAACACGCACCGGCACTATTTTAAAATCATTTTAAAGCTTGGAATGTTAAGTTTATCCCTGGTAAGCATGGTAAGTATTGGTTTGATTTTCAAAAGGGTTTTGAAATGATTCGTGTTCGAATAAATGTCAAAAGCAAACTCAACCGATTTCCAGGAAAATCAATCTTGCGCGTATTTTCCATTATGTGGAAATGCTTCGTGTTCGTGATGTGACGATCTCGTTGCCTTTTAGTTTTAGTTTCTGTGTTTCCTATATTCTTTTTGATCCACGTAGACTACACCTTAAATAAAATCACAATATTGTTCTTCAGTAATTGAATTATGAAATTCATGTGCAAGTACAATGTATGTACCTATTCAAAAAGCGCTCCCAACCTGTGACTCGAGTTTGCATCTGATGTATCGCCTCATCGATTTTTCTTGAACACGAATACTTTTACAACTCTTTTAATTAAATACCAAACCAATGATCACCAGGGATAAAGTTCAGATTCCAAGCTTTAAAGTGGTATACAAATAATGGCAGTACGTGTTTCTGTGCCGACACTAGAGCCTCTCAACAAAATGGTGGGTATTTTGGAATACGCTGTACAGTACTTTTACAACTGCCTTTTGTAAAAACTTGCACTAGAAACTTATTGATTCAAGCATTCTGATTGTTTACCTTCTCTCTGTCTGCAAACATCCATAGCATGTTATTGAACCTCTTACTGCAACAAAGTTAGTACCGCTACATGTATGTGCCATAGCTTTTAAAGGGAATATACATCATTTGCTTTTGCTGTAATTTTCAGAAATGGGTGGAATTGGGGGGTTGGAAATATATAGCAAATATAGTTACACTGACTATTTTGAGGTTTTGGGTTCGAAAATGCTATAAAAAACAAGAAAAATAATCATTTTCCTGTAGTCTGGTTCCCTGACTCCATATAAGAAGAAACAGAGCAGTTTTCATACATTGGGGAATTGTAAGGTCAGGGAACCAGTCTAGCTGGCTTGTAACCGTTCATAGGTGTGTAATCGATTGCAAACAAGTGCGATGGTCAATTGGGGCCAGTATTTGAAAATAAGCCAGTTTTTTCCAACGCTGGTTGGCCGACCAGCGTTGGAAATTGATACAAAAATACCACTTTTTTTGAAAATGACAGTATACCAGGTGCCATGATTTTACAGGATGCTTTACACTGTCATTCACTAACAGTCCAGCAAGGTATTTCAAAATGATTTGGTAGTTTTATTTTTTGATGTTTGCAAATGTTGTATTTTCCCTTTAAGTAACTCAATATGCAGCAGATGTGAAAACTCACAGATTTTGTTTGCGCACCCCTGATGCCTATCTATAGACGAACAGGGCCCCCTTCAATGGAGAACCATCGTGCATAGCATGGTACAAAGCAACCGCCCTGTGATGGATTATCTGAACAATAGCTAGCACAATGCTTTCGCCATTGAAGGGGGCCTTCGTGATAGAATTTATAGCGTGCCCAGATAGATAGCTGAGATTTGTACATGTATGTGAAGAGCTCACCAACAGACCAAAAAAAATACCCGGCAAGTCAGCTGCTATGAAATAGCTTTTTAGGGTATTTCTGGGAATGTGGCCTAGTGATTAGGGTTCATATTCTCATGATCAGACGGTCAGGGGTTCGAATCCAGCTGCTGGTCATATGTTGTGTCCTTGGGCAAGCCACCTGCATCCATCTGCCTCTCTCCACCCAGGAGTAAATGGATGTACTGGCTTTAGCGAGTAACCTGCGATGGACTAGCATCCTGTCCAGGGGGAATAGAAATATTCTCAGTCGTTTCATGCTACTGAAACCGGAGATCTATAAAACACCAGCCTGGTGGGTCACATCGGCTTGTGGCAGACTTTTGGATATTTCCTTGATGTGACCTACCGGGTACTATAATGTACATAGATTGACAGGCAGTAGGCCTATAATGTTCACTATGTAGACAACAGCAAGATGAAGAATGATCTTCAGGAATGCAAGAGTTTATCCCCTGTTGAGCATCAGAGGTCCATCAAGGAAAAGTGTTCGTGGTTTCCACTTGGTTTCAAACAAAATTAGCAGTGTTTGTTCTGAACAATTAAAGATCACTGCCAGCCTTTCAGAAGACTTAGGGGCCTAAGCCAACTGCACAACTTTTACGATCTTACTGGATCCTGGGATCATCAGGCCATTGGACGTACAGATCAGAGAGGTGTGCGCTAAAAAATCGGACCGATCTGATCATACACCGGCAACCTGATGAAATCAACCATATTTTTTTCGCATCAGATTTCATCGGATCTGATGTCACCGGAATAGTATGCGGGCAGCACTCCGATTGTACCAGACACGATATTTATGTTAACCAATCAGATTAACGAAGGAAGTCACATGAATTAAAATTGACGGCTGCCCTTTTGTCATCATGTGACTGTTCAAATGCGACTGATTATAGAACAGAACTGGGCATGTTTGCGGGTAACGTTGCGGTCTCCGCAACAGTGTACAGAAAAAAAGGTACCGGAGATCCGGTAAACCGGTGACATCAAAAAGGTGTGTGGCAGGTTTTAGAAGATTTTAGGGGCGGATCCAGCTTAGGCTCGTGGGGAGGTGGGGGGAGGGGCTTTGCTGTTAAGGGGGAGGGGAGGTTAGCAGGCGTGTTGGACTTTCTTCCGCATGATTTTCCTTCTCTTTTTTGGGGGTCCAAGAGGGAGCGAGTTACATCACCTACCCCCCCCCCCCCCCCCCCACCCGATTTGCCACTGGACTACATCTAGATGCAGCACAACTCTTTTTTATTATTGTATTTCACTCAGACAAATGCAACTCCGGGAAGGTCAAAGCTATCGTACAAGGAAATCCTGGACTGCTAAGTCTTACTGATTACAAACTTCAATGGCAGTGTTTATCAACAATAGGACATAAAAACATGAAGCAGGAAGCCAAGTTATCAACTTCAAGAGCACTTAATGTAAGGGGATAATAAGATTCTAATCGGCAACTTCCTTAAAATGCTTGGGCCAAAAGGTTGAATTACAAATTTATTGTATGTAATCTCATTTCTGAAGAGGAAATATAAATTTGGTAAATTATAAACAAAAGACCCTTTTGAAACTATGTGAGGCATTCTAGTAAAACGAGACAGATCTGGGCAGAGGTCGAAACTAGGGTTTGCAGGTATTAGGGAAGAGAATGAAATCCTCCTTGCAATACTGTTTGTTGCACTTCAATTGGACATTCCATTGACAAGTAATGGCTGTTTAAAGTTCGCATTTAACGACATGTCAAAACAGTAAAATACCGAGAAAAAAGGCATTTAAAGTTTCAAGTTTTGTATTCGTGAAAGTGAAAGAATGCCAGTTGTTTTTCTGTAAAAACACTTTTATTTCACATTTTTATACTATTTTTTCGAAATGTGTAGACACATAAGACATTACAGACTATATCAATATACTGAAAAAAAAATAATCCTCTTTTGTTGTTTTTGCAATTTTCTCCACTATGGCATGGGCCCAGTTCTGTATCATGCTGCCAGAACATAGGCCTCACACTATACAATAATGTGTTCATGTGATGTGGTAATAAGATACAAAAACATGGATGACAGAACACAATGACCTGAATCAACCTTCAACGATCGACTTCAATTCTCTGTAACGGATCAATAACGTACATTGTAGAATTACTGATAAATCCAGCTTGTCTTTTGTTGCAAAGCTAGCACAATGGCAAAGTGATAGAGTAGGCCTATGTACCGTGCCACAATTGTAACAGATACAACAGACACACTGCTCGAGTGATATATCAACATGACACATTGCAAAATGACATTTGATCCTGATAGGGCCACAAGTTCCTTTTGTCCTGAACAAGAACATGACGACTTCAATTTCAAGCACACTGAATGAAACAAAAATAGCGTAAATCCCCATAGTAAGTGAAGTACAATTGGTGAACGAGATATTTACGTTACACTCAGGTACTTGTTAAGCTGGGCTTGAACATGAAAAGCGCAATTTTCCACACAAAAAGCGTTCCTTAACTTAAGGACTTAAAGAGAGTTTATAATATAAACAACATTTGCTTTTTCTGTAATTTTCAGAAATGGATGAATTTGGGGGATGAGTATTTTATAGCAAATATTCTTGCACTGACTTGTTTGAAATTTTGTGTTTGCAGGTGCTGGGAAAACCAAGGAAAACAATCATGTTCTTGTAGTCTGGTACCTTACCCCTACTTAAATAGAATTGGAGCAATTTATAGATGTCGGGGAATTGTAAGATCATAGCCTCACTTGTGTGGCCTCCGTTTTGCTGCACTGTACGTTCGGCCACACGTCTGGTTTCCCAATCCACTGAGTAGTTTATTCTAATTTTTTTTTTTTTTAACCGTACATACCACTGATATGGTTATATTCTATGATTTCTTATCTTTTGCCCCCCGGATAGACTAGGTGATATTTCTTCAAATTTTTTTGAGAAATTCAGACATTTTTCTGGAGTCCATATGCGCCAGTTTGGGACTAAACTCCTCAGTAGGTTGGGAAACCAGGCGTGTGGCCTAACGTACAGCACAGCAATACAGAGGCCACACAAGTGGGGCTAGTAAGATCAGCATGATCAGGGACATGAGGGACGGAGTCTAGAAGAAGGCTTTTACCCGTTCATAAATCATTAGATGTTTAGGCCTAATCGACTGCAAATAAAATTCAAACTAAATGTGGTAATTTTGGGGCAGTATTTGAAAAAAAAGCCAGGTTCTTTAATCTTTCCAACCTTACTAAGTGCTTTGTTTAATAAATTCCCCGGCCCCCCTTTGCCAATCATTTCATCAGCCCCCTTAACCTTATTATCATTTTATAACCACTTCCGATTTTATTCTTACCATCCTGGATGCTAGGATCTTCGGTTTTGTCCTCCACTGCCTCCATCGGACCTCATCGTCTTCGGCCACTATTCTGTAGAAAGATCAAGGAACCCAGATTTAGTTGAGGAACGTCTTTTAGCAGAATCTTCGAAAGCAGAATGCAGAAGGCCCGATCGCAATTCTGTTTTGTGAGCTGTCATCCAAGGCAGCCCAAGCGACTGGTATTTTGGTTGCGCCTGGGATTAAATGTCTGTGGCCAGCCGGCCGCGGCTTAGCTCGATCGAACAGGTGTTTTAAATAGCGCCCTCAATGATTTTTTGTCACCTCAGAAAAGTTCATCCAACGATGAATTTCGATGGGCGTACCTTACTTTATTATGTCAATAAATATAGGCCTACTATAATATTTCTGGATTTTTTTTTCTGAAAGTAAATAATTACGAAATACCACATACAACCACTAATGGTGGGGGAAAATATGCTAGCATCCTGATCGATGCAAGTAAAGTTATAATAATAATTGTTTTCATAACGTTACGACGTTTTATGGCTTTAAATTATGTTGCATACGCCGTGCTCTTCAAAATATGGATTTTTGTTATAACAAATTTTCAATTTGTATGTTTTGCTTCAACGGAAGAGCGAGACTTTATTCCGATTTTGGGCGTCTGCAACCCTCTGAAAAATGGGCTTTCATTTTGCGCACAAAAAAACGGAACCCGTCGTCTGCCTCCTGCGCGCGACGAAGAGTCGAATTATTGTCTGCAGCGCATGTGGAAGCCAATAATTAGAATTTGGAAAGATCTAATTCAATAACTAAACATCGGTCGATTTTTTTTCGTTTGATTCTTATTCAAGAGCGAATAACTTTTGTTTGGACAAATAGAAAAAGTCTTCCCTTCATATAAGCGCTGTTATTCATCACAATGACACATTTCGTTTCACCAGCTTCAAAAGATAACTAGAATATGTTGGAATTTTTGCTGTTGTCAGTTTTCTTTTTTGATGATTCATTGTATTTTCATCATTTTTATGCACAAAGGTTTTCAATTGCAATTTTTTGGGGTTCGCAAATTTGAGCAGGGAATTCAAACCCCAAACTGAAATGACACAACAGCACACTCATTTGTCAGGAACGCATTGAACATTTTTCTTGTTGAAAAATGTGCAGGTCATAAGGTTTTTTTCTTTTTTTACCAAAAAGGATGTTTCCCAAATTGTTCTATCGTAAATTTGAAAAGAACGGATTCTTTGCCCAATTTGTTATGTCTATTAATTTATTAGGCGGTTTTCGAAACCTTTGCTTCGTCTTCGGCTTTGCCTCCCACTTCAGAATCACTGAGACTTCTGAGAGGCAAACTAAACGAAAATATTCCAACTTTTGGCTTCATATCAACCGATTGAATGTTCCTGAAGCATAACAGGCACCAAAATGTAGCTGGAGATCTAGAAGTTGGGGGCCCGGCTGAAACTAAGCCGAACCAGTCGTTTCGAAAACGCTCATAACAATTTGTGGCGCGAGTTTAGTAGTGCGCCCTCATCAGGGCCCAATTTCATAGAGCTGCTTAAGCAGAAAATTTGCTTAAGCACGAAAAAACATTGCTTAGTAAAATTAGGTTACCGGCCAAAACTCCATGTGATGTACATTGCTTGTGACTGGTATTTAGCTGTTTTTTACTTAGCATAACAATCGCATGGAGTTTTGGCTGGTAACCTGATTTTATTAAGCAAGACGTTTTTGTGCTTAAGCAAATTTTGTGCTTAAGCAGCTCTATGAAATTGGCCCCAGGTCATTGCTGAACAGAAACAAGATGGCTGCGCCCATGAACCTAGCAACTGCCGCTGCCAGCGGAAACATAAACGTCAGTTGTTGAATGTTGTAATTTTACTTTGAGACTTGGTTTGTGTTTTAAAATTGTAACTCTAAGATGTCATTTTGATTGTTATAAACTGTGTTATACACTGTGATGTAACCCTGGAAATATTTCACTCAATGAAACTTGAAAGGGTGTTTTTCTGTTGGGCGCAGCGGTGGGGGCGGGGCGTGCACGCCCCCAATAAAAAGTTCGCCCCCCCCCCGTTGCCCCCCCTCCCTGAAAATATGGCATCTGGAGAAAACCACTGCCATTATGAGTTACCATGAATATGATTGGCTGGAAGAACATAAACTGATAAAGCCCCTTTTCCCGCGATTTTTGTGCGTATTTTTGTTCCATTTTGTCCCGCGAGTGGCTGTTTATTGTTTGTAACGTCCCTTGGAAAGCGAGGAGGCCTAGAGGTAGGCCCTACTTATTGTCTAATTTAGCCATGATATACATTTTGAACAGCGCCCCCATGGGACGATCGTGCTATCGTTAGTAACAGCAGCCGTAACGCGATTTTCATCTGCTATCGTTAAGACATAGCTTGAGAAACTCCAGCTTCAATGCTCATCTGGAATTCAACATTTAGAGCTGGAGGTCAAAGTATGTTGCAGCCAGCGGTCTAAAAATGGCGGAGGCTGTGAAATTTGGCCTTAACGAAGCCGCCAAAATCATCATTTTTTGTTCTGTTTAAAGTCGATCCTTTGCTTCGTTGACTGTTTTTTACACAAAATCTTACTGACATAAATTTTGACTAAATACTAAAAATACAATGTCAAGCCAGGATAGAGGCGGAGTCCCCCCCCCCCCCCCCCCCCCCCCACTGGATACATTTGTGCTACTACTCTTCACTTTGCAAATATCTCTCGTTTTCCACTACGACAGCTCGTCAGGTCCCTAGTGGCCCAGGGTGCTGACGTCAATCAGAGGTCTAGTGATGGCTTCACACCGCTGTGCAATGCGGCCTTTTGGGGCTACAGTGACATAGTGGAGTATCTCTTAAGACATGGGTGAGTAAATGTTTGAATGAAAATCATTGGTTTGTATGTCCGAGCAAGCGGAGTATGCAGGCTTGGAAGGCAAAACACCAAAGAGGGATTAAACAATGTGTTCAACAATGTGAAGATCCTGTTATGTGCCTTATTTATAATGCTATTTTCAATCATAAGAATAAGAAAACTTGGCTGACTTGTCCACATTATTCTGATTTCAAAAGTCGATTTCATGCATGTCGAGTTCCAAAATAGGGCTCGCTCAATGACGGCCATCTCTGTAGGACATGTAGGAGAACTGCAACTGCGTATTTTACGCAATCAAGCACGCATTGCGCAGTGTTGAAAATGTTCCAAACACGCGTGCTAGTCGCTCAAAAGGTGTTCGAAATACAACGCAGCCGATGCGCGTTACACAAGTTGACGCTGAAAATGCCGATGCACGTAGATGGTCTGTAGGAAATGATGACATTTGAACGAGACCTATTGACAGAAAAGAGTCTTATTTTATAAGTTTTAATAAGTTTTCTTAAAAAATTTCAGGAAAACAAAAGCCTCATTTAGCACTAACAGTAACACCTAACCAAAGGTATAATAAAGTAATGATAGAGGGTTTGCCAGAAAACTTACTCGGGTGGGACTCAAACCCACAACTTCCAACTTACTAGTGCACACGTCTTGCCACTGGTTTGTTTGTTTGTTTACAATTGGGAGCTCATCTGCAGGAATTCTTTGCCCGCTTTCAACTTCCATTTGGATTATTTTAGCAAATTTAGAGAGTTGAAATTCAAAGGGTGACTGATTTTGTTGTTTCCCTTGAAATTATTCTTCAGTGGCGATGTGAATCAGAGCAACAGCGGTACACGGTGGACAGCCAGCCATTGTGCTGCGTTCCAGGGCCACGGCAAAGTCCTGATGAAGCTCATGGAGAGTAAACCTGACCTCGCCATGAGAGACAACAGAGGAAGGTTGGTCAAATGTTACTTCTCATATCCCCCCACCCAAATTTTTCTCTGGAAAGTCTGTAAATATTATTTTGAAACCAAATAATACAGCTACAACTTCATCATTTGTCATAATTTACTCTAAATACCAGTGTTGTAGTCGAGTACTTTTTCCGAGTACCGAGTACTTAGGTTATCGAGTACGAGTACGAGTACGAGTACTTGTACCTCCAAATATGAGTACAGGTCTCCAAGTACTTGTACTTCCGAGTACGAGTACTCCTACTTCCGAGTACGAGTACTTGTATTCCTAAATTCAAAAATCTCTAACATATTTGTCCTGAAAGATCAAGAATGATCTTCAACAGCTGATGTTTTCCACACTGTACAAACTGAAGAGTATTTCTGTTTCCAAATACGGCCATACGGCAAATGGTTCATTGTGCGTAATTGGCCCAGGCCCAGTCAGACCGATATACAGACCCACTGACGGCTAGCTGTTAAATGTGTTTGTCCGGACGTGCACAGAGGAAAATCAGGAAACTTCGATTTCTCGGCAAGCCAATCAACCTTTTTTACACTGAAAGTATTGATAAAATAAGGCCGTGGTAAGTCAAGCTATACCATTTTTTTTTCGAGTACTGCTATTCGAGTACGGGTGCTTGGCTGCCCTAGTATGAGTACCGTCATTTTCGAGTACGAGTACTTTGACATTCGAGTACGAGTACTCTAAAAAAAGTACTTGAGTAGTACTCGAGTACAAGTGCCAAGTACAAGTACTACAACACTGCTAAACACTCGACCAACTAGATAGACACAGAAGACGGATATACTGACCCCCATCACCAAAAAACCTTTTCTATTCCAAATGGTAAAGTTGTGTACGGACATCTGTTTGGTTTCTACTTTCTAGGACTGCTGTGGACTTTGCATCAGCGCTGGAGATCATCTGGCCGTTCTTTGCAGCAGAAGGATGCAAACGAACACCCAAAGCAGAGCTCATCCGTCTGGAGATTGTACACAAGGTGGATATGTGTGCTTTTTATTAATCCCAATTACCCAAATGTGCACAGTGGACGCATGACAAAACTGCTTTGCAGAACCCCCAGTCTATATCATAAATGTGAGCGGCCATATCATGTATTTTGTGCATGTATACAGTATACTGTCATTATTGTAGTCTATGGAATATCCCCTTGCACAGCTGGCGCCTTCTATCAGGTCTACCGTAACCTGTTACATTACAAAAGCATGGCATCCATATTAACCACTTAACAGCTTGGTCCACTTTTCTGATCGAAATACCGTCACTGTGCATAAAGACCACTCCGATTCGCTGGCGTGCTAGAACCCTCAAATCTCCATCTGGCTGCCAAATTAAAAAATAAAAAGCGGCCTTGTTTTTTTACTTCTCATGAATGCCATTGCAAATTGAACAATACTGTATGAAGTCTTGTGTGGTTTGGAGTTTCCTCCTTTTTTTCTAAATTCCCAGTTGCCAGCCTGTACTCCACACCCCTCCCCCAACCTCACCAAAACTTGTTTTCATTCATTGTCACTCTAGGTGAAAGACTACGATCCTAGCATACCTCAGACAGACTTGGCACATTTCTCCCGGCCGGGGTCAGCCTACGCCATGAGGTCCCAATCACTGAGGGGGGACGGGAACAAACACAAGGTGAGATGTTCATGGCAAATCACTGTTTCTGAATTTAAAGATAAGGTAGATCATTTGTCATTTGTGCATTTTTGTTTGTTTGAAGCAACAAAAGTGCTCAAAATCTAAAGACGGTTGCTTAACATCTAACCTGATGAAGTTTTGTAAATGCTCTGTGAATGCTGTATATTACGAGAAAACAATATTCTAGGATCTTGATTTCAATTCAAAAGTTTCAGAGACATGTTGTGAATTGCGCCCGAAATCAGCTCCGGGACACTTCACAATGAGCCGAATGCAGCTACGCGATGTCACGCACTGAACCGACGGATAATAGCAACCACACACGCGTGTGCATTGTGTCGATGTGGATTCGTCTACAAGGACAAAATAAAAAGCAAAAGTTTTAATTTGACCAATTTGAGAGCTTGGTTTTATATGGCAAGTACAGTGTGGACACTTAACTTCAGTTCAAAACTGTCTTTGTTTTTGTTTTTTTTCTTGTGAAGACATATGCAGCTCAGATGGGTGACGTCTTAGCGGAGGAAGACGAAGGTGTCGGCAAACCTCAGGATCCATCCTTTAACATATGGAGGAGTTGATGGAAGAAGGAGCAAAGAGGCAAGACTTGTGCTCAAGCCTGGACACGTGTCTGCAGATCACAGTGAACAGTGGAGATATGTTGTGTGCAATAGCTCAAACGTCTGGAAAAAAGACTAACCTAAAGTGCCTTCATGTAATACTACACACAATATTAAAGGACCCATGCATTGTAATTTTTTTATGCAGTCCTTGAAAATGCACCTTTGTGTCCCATTTAACCTTATTTATATTCAAATTTCATATTGGATTATATGCTAATGCGAATTTCCATATTCGTGAGCAAAAGTGTGATGTCATTTCAGGCAGAAAACTCAATGTTACAGCTATTTCAGCACCAAAAGTTGCCAGAATTGTTGATATTTTGCTGTTCTGAATTTTCTTCGCCCTCAGTTGTCCAGAAAAGCATGGACAAAAATTCAAATTTTAATGAAGTGCACTTTTCAATACAATTAAGTGAAAGGGAAGTCAAATAGTTTTCATACATTTAAGAGGTGTAGAAACTTGCACAAAATGTGTTCCTAAGACAAATTCACATCATTAACCCTTTAAATGCAAGCAGCTGTTCTAAAAGTGTGTACGCACCATAGAGCTATATTAAATTACTAGAGCGCTAACTTCGTGTACAAAGTAATGCCTGCTGGGCGTATCCATGTTTGTGCACTAACCTATGGAGACCTAGAAATTTTGTACGGCTATTTGCATATCTGCGTTTGTATCCCATACAGGTGCGTTATCGAAGCCAATACGCCCAAAACCAAAACGCATGATCAGCAAATGAGCGTGTCATTTTGCTCTACGCAAACAGCGCAACGTGTGCGCGTATTCGCTGCAGATGCTTTTTGCCGTCATGTTTTTTTGTACCGCCAATGACACGCTTAAGATGTTTGCGTATGTTCTACTTGCGCGTTGCATGTAGAGTACACTTTCAAAATTCAATCCATCTAATTTCATTATGTTCTACAAACATGCACATGAATTCAAAATGTCTGCGCCCAGGATGGCTTCAAAGCGTCTCCGCGCGCAGAATGACGAGTTAGCGCTCTAGTAATTTAATATAGCTCTATGGTACACACATAGACCAACGTTACCATGCGGGATCACCTGGCGTTCCGGGCTGGAACAGCGCATGTTGGACAGGGATGTTTCACGTTTGAATGCTCTTAAGCGTTTCAAATTTTTGAGATGAGCCCATGTGTATAGCCACTATGTGCATATACATGTAGCCAAAAGGAATCACATACATGTAAGCGCATGTTAAAAAACTGTATTAATTCATTTATTTCACTACTTTCATTTCAAGCTTAGAAAAAATACCAGCAGTGCACTATATGAACATTGTCATACACCAAAAAAAAATGACACAGCTCACGTAACGATTACATTTAACACAAAACTTATTTTATGTACATACAAAGGTTTCTGAGATGTGGTTTTCTTTTCTTTAAATAACTTTACAAAATGGGAAAACGAAACCATGCTAGCATTATTTATTACATTGAACTAAACACCGCAAACAAGAAAGTCCACTCTCATTGGAGAGTGCATAATTTTGAATCTGATCGTCTTATGATGACGTCATTTATATAGACCTTTGTGGAATATTGTTAGCTACATTTTGATACCCCATTTGCTACCAAAGACTGTAAATCATCCAACATTGACAGCGGTTTATGAAAAATGATGCAGTCTGAAAAGTTGCAAATTTAAAGAGTACGCCAGTGGAAATTGCTGCGTGACAATGTTACACTGCCCGAAACGAACGGTAGGGAATACCGACCGTACAGTGCTTGTATGCATGGGAGCACGCGAAATTGAATTACCCGCGCTTTGTTCGGGCACTGTGCAGTCGATAGGGGCCAATTACGGCATGTGTGTTTGCGCTCAGCAATTTCTCCTCGCGTAATCTTTAAATTTGCAACTTTTCAAACTGCATCATTAATCCATAAACCGTTGTCAATCTTGGACAATTTACAGTCTTTGGTAGCAAACGGGGTATCAAACATAGCTAACTAGCTAACAAAAATTCCCAAAGGTCTACATGTATATAAATGACGTCATCAATAGACGATCAGATTCAAAATTATGACCCCTCCAATGAGCGTGGACTTTTTTTGCGTTGTTTATCTTCAGCTCCATGTCTTATTCCAATGAAATATTAAATTCTTCAAACCGAGTGAATTTACACACAAAATTTGGACAAGCACTTTTAACAGTTAAAATCTCTTTAATTAACCTAATCAATACTTGTTCTGTGCCATTTGTGATCAGTACGTTTACAGTAAAAAGAAAATTAACATAATACATTTCGAGCAAGCTTTTACGACTTTTCCTTAAACGAGTTTAACCTTCTTACATAACACAATTCAAATTGTCATAAAAAAAAAATGTGGAATATTTTAAAATATATGTCTGAAGAACATTGAAATGGATTAGCATAATTAATAGTTAAAAATTATCACTGAAAAGGAAAAAAAAAAGTAAAGTTTCTATCAAAATATTTCATTAAATTTTGCTCAACTCGATAATAAATACAGTTGACCATAATATGTACACGTATGGCTTATTTTCCAAAAAATATTCAAAAAACAAAAGTGACATTATTTCCGTCTTGCTCAATGTAAATTTCCCTTAAACTAACAGTTTAAAAGATGGCCTTGGGGAATTTTTTGTTTCAGTAGTTTTTTTTTAAATTTGATAACATTTTCCCAATTGTATAAAAGTAACCCAAATAAATAAATAAAATAGCTTTACAAATTGGCCTTCTTTTCCCAAATTTTTTGAGCATGTTAGACTCTGATGTGCTACACTTCAGTTGTTATGAAAATTGCATTTCCTACATTGTATGGAAGAGAAAGAGACTGCTGGTTTATTTTTTTTTCATAAATACTGCATTTGTAATTTTGTATTCACGTTAAAGGTAGAGTAAATGACTTGTCATTATTCTAGGATCTCGATTTCAAATTCAAGAGTTGCCGAGTCATGTTTTGAATTGCGCCCAAAATCAGCGTCTGGGACACGTTCGCATTCAGCTGATTGCAGCTCGTGATGTCGCGCACTGAACCGACGAATTATAGCAACCGCGCGTGCACCCATTCACGGCTTTGCCGAATTAAAATCAAACTACTAATGGAAATTTCCAAAAGTGCGTCTGTAGACACATCTTTAGAAAGGGCCATCTTTTATTGTTTTCTTCTAAATGACAGCATGCCAGAATGAATAATTTCACAGGAAGTTTGGTGCCATTACTATCTTGAAACCAAGTAAGCTTTTCAACAACAATTTTGTTGGTTACTTTTTGGATAGCTTCAAATGATATACTCTACCTTTAATCTGAATAGCTTGTGACTTGAAATGGCACTGGATGACTTGTGATGGACTTAGGAGAACTTTTGATGGACTGGACTACAATGCTGGTTCAAAGTATGGCAGCTTCAGACTGGAGAACTTTTTCGTTCTGTCGCTATTCGTCAGAATCCTTCTTGTGCTCCATAGACGTATCCTCGTCTTCATGAGCCTCCTGGTGTTCTATTGGGCTGGCGGCCAGCAGCCCATGCTGTCCGCAGTTGTGCTGGTGGGCGGCCCAGTCCTTACGCTGGCAGAAACTGCTGCAGTAGGACACCAGTTGGCAGCCCATGCACTCGAGAAGGGCTTCCCGCCCACAGTTCACACAAGCCTGGGGAGAGGGGGAAAACAAGGCATGGTTAAAGCTATGTAGGATCATTTGCAATTACCTGGAAAAGTACCTGCCGATGTAAAAACAGTAAAAAGATAAGACTGGTCCGTCAGTTAGTCAGCGACACATTTACTCAGTAACTCAGTCTGTCAGTTTAGTCAGCCAAACATTCACTCAGTAACTCAGTGTGTCAGTTAGCGACACATTTACTCAGTGACTCAGTCTGTCAGCGATACATTTACTTAGTAACTCAGTCTGTCAGTTTGTCAGCAACACATTCACTCAGTAATGTCTGTCAGTTAGTCAGCAACACATTTACTCAGTAATGTCTGTCACTTAGTCGGTGACACATTTAATCAGTAACTCAGTCTGTCAGTCAGTCAGAGACACATTTACTCACTAACTCAGTCTGTAAGTTTGTCAGCGACACATTTACTCAGTAAGTCAGTCTGACAGTTAGTTGGCGATACATTTACTCAGTAACTCAGTCTGTCAGTCAGCGACACATTTACTCAGTAACTCGGTTTGTCAGCGACGCATTTACTCAGTATCTCAGTCTGTCAGTTAGTCAACGGCACATTTACTCAGTAACTCAGTCTGTCAGTGACACATTTACTCGGTAACTCAGTCTGTCAGTTGGCTACACATTTACTCAGTCTGTCAGTTAGTCAGCGACACAGTCACTCAGTAACTCAGTCTGTCAGTCAGCAATGCATTTACTCCGTAACTCAGGCTGTCAGTGACACATTTACTCGGTAACTCAGTCTGTCAGTCAGCAACACATTTACTCAGTCACTCAGTTAGTCAGCGACACAGTCACTCAGTAACTCAGTCTGTTAGTCAGCAACGCATTTACTCCGTAACTCAGTCTGTCAGTGACACATTTACTCGGTAACTCAGTCTGTCAGTTAGTTACACATTTACTGAGTAACTCAGTCTGTCAGTTGGCCGACAACACATTCACTCGGGAATCAGTGTGTCAGCTAGTCAGCGACACATTTACTCAGTAACTCAGTCTGTCAGCTACACATTTACTCAGTCTGTCAGTTAGTCAGCGACGTATTTACTCTGTAACTCAGTCTGTCAGTCAGCGACACATTTACTCAGTCTGTCAGTTAGTCAGCGACACATTTACTCAGTCTGTCAGTCAGTGACACATTTACTCTGTCAGTTAATCAGTGACACATTTACTCAGAGAACAATAGCATGGCCTTTTGGGTCCACCAAAAATAACTCCACTAGCAGAATTATATAAATATTTTATGACGGCTTAAAATAAAATGTGTGGAACCAACCTTGATGAGATGTGAGGTCTTGGCATTGGCCACAGCTTCCATCTTCTCGGCCCTAGCCTGAGCCAGGGCCTGAGCTACTGCGCTGTCCTTCTCCGCCTTGGCTTCCATCAATGCTCGGGAAAACTGCATCTGGGCTTCCAGACGAGCTTGGGAAAGTGCCTGTTGATTCAATGCATTTTTGCAAAGGAAAACTATTAATATTTTATGAAATTGACATGTTACTAGGCTATAACCCATTTTCAGGCAAAGGGTTATTAAAAGGTGGTTAATATGAAAAACAAATATAGGCATACATGTACCTATAAAATTGTGAAGGGAACGCTCAACTGACACTGACACAGAATAATTGAGAAGTCATTCAGCGTGAAAAAAGGAGTGCCACTCTAAGTAAAGTGTCCAATGGAAAATAAGAATTGTTAATCCCCCAACCCAACAGAAAGTTTCCCCATTAACACTAACTCCCTAGGCATTTTTGTTCTTGAATGTGGTCCTTGGAGGGATGACCACTGCCCCAATCCTGCAAAATCCTCCAGCAATCACCGTCAGTATGTTGAGGCGAGCCAGTGACATCCTGGAGCAGTGCGGAGGATTTCAAGTATAATCTAGGCCTAAATTTATGCACGGCTGAGCATAAACAAAACAAGGTCCAGCCCAAGACCTTGACACAGTGCATCCTCCAAAATCAGTCACACACTTTTGCCATTTAGAAATACGCAGTAGTGATTCAGATTTAGAAAAAATGGCCGTACCTCCTTTTTTTCGGCATCCAACACAATCTTGGTGTGCAGGATGGCGTTGTCCTTGTTGGTTTGCGATTGTGCTTTAGCCTGCTCAATCATCGTCTTCAACTGCTGAACGCTCTGGGCCATCTGGTTGGCCATCTGCAACCAAAATACAGATTGTCAATTACATTTTGTGTCTCTACTTTTGTGTTAAATTTGTCCAGTTCTCATTAATGAACTGTTAATTTTGTGCGGTATGTGTTGGACTCTGTTTCCATGATACAACTGATACATAAAAATGAATACAAAACCAACAACTAAAAAAAAACCCAAAAAAATGTAAAGTGTACTGTCATTCTTATTAACCCTAAATACCAAGGCATTTTTCCAAGGATGCAACCTCAATCCTGCAAAATCCTCCAACTGCCTCCATGTAAAAATTGCATACAGCCACAATCCTCCAAAAATCATCTGTTATTTCCTGAATGTGGTCCTTGGAGGGATGACCACTGCCTCAATCCTGCAAAAGCCTCCAGCAATCACTGTCAATATGTTGAGGCAGAGCCAGTGACATCCTGGAGCAGTGCGGAGGATTTCTAGTATAATCTAGGCCTAAATTTATACACGGCTGAGCGTAAACAACACAAGGTCCGGCCCAAGACCTTGACACAGTGCATCCTCCAAAATCAGCCACCCATTTTTGCCATATATCCTCAATCCTGCAAAATCCTCCATTTAGCAAAGATCATTTAGGATGATTTGGGAAGGTTAGGGTTAATTAGTCACGTGAATCTTTTGATTTAAACTCTAAGACCAAAAAAGGTTAACAATTAACCCTTTTGACGAAGTATTCGTGTTCTTGTGGACCCACCTCTTCCAAATGCCACCAGTGTTCGTGTTCAAGGTCCGAGGTGACCGGTGCCTTGGGGGTGCCAGGGGGCATTGGACTGAGGACTAGGTTAGCACCGGTGACATCCAACTGACTGGCAGTGCTGTCTAGGCTAATGGAACGGGCTTCATCCGGAGCTGTTGATGAAATTCAAAATTAGACTTCAGAGTGTATATCATGATACAAATTTTTGATGCCGACCCAAATACGTATTGAATAATTTTGTGGTTTTCAAATATTGGGCTGAGCACCAGGTTAGCACCGATAACTGAGCACCAGGTTAGAACAGATAATTTCACACAAAATTGCAGCAAGTTCATGTGGTTAAATGGTAGTGGCTGCAACATGCTGTATTTTGCATGCACATTTAATGTGTCAAATTGCAGTGATAGTGACGGATCAATTCTTCACAATAAGCCATTTGTGAGTTAACTTTGAATAAAATCTGGAACGCTGACTTAATCCAATGCTTTGCACGTTTTAACTTTGCATTCTCCAGACCAAAGAGACAGTTACTATATCACGTGATTCGAGGCAAGCCTTATGCTAGAAACCCCCAGCTCCGGAATGGTCTGGTGTCTTTGTGCCATTCTCACCCATTGTGAACAATGTATTGGTGCTGAGCGGCTCTTACGTAACTATGCAAGAGCTTGCCCCGAATCATGTGATTAGCAACAGTGTCTTTGGTCTGGAGAATTCAAAGTTCAAATGTGCCAAGCATTCTGAGCAAGTCAGGGTACCAGACGTTTTTCAGATTTAAATCCCAAAGGGCATAGGTCACTCACAAATGGCTTATTGTTCACAGCTATTGGTACATATTCATGATATTGTGGTGCTATCAACTTTTCATGTGCAACTTTTCTCGTGACTTTTTTCTCGGTGTATCAATTTTCCATGACTCCTTGCAAAAAAAAACATCTTGCCATGACTCCTTACTCCTTGCAAAAAATAACAAAATTCCACGACTTTCCACGATAACTTTAAATTCCAGAAATTTTCCATGACTTTTGGGAACCCTGTTATCCTTAATTCTGAATTACTCGACTACAACTGCCAATAACACAAGCGCCTATGGACGCGGTTAAATCAACCGCACATGGGAGCGTCGTCATGTAATTCAGAGAATTCATGAAATAAATGATTACCGTCTTTGAGTTTCATTTTCCTCTTCAAGGTGGGTGTTGGTGGGAGACTTTCGCTCTCGTTTCTTTTGCGTCTTCTGTACGGTACAAAGAGCCGCACTGGGCCGGATTGGGAAGACTCCTGCACAAAAAAAAGTATTGTTTACTTAAAGTTGATTATATACAGTAATGCAAGGGAGTATTTACACATATTTAAAGGTAGGATAGGTTATTTGTCATTTGTGCATTTTTTTCGTTTGAAGCAACAAAAGTGCTCAAAGTCTACAGAAGGGTGCTTAACAACTCACCTGATGAAGTTTTAGCTTACAGTGAATGCCGTATATTCCGAGAAAACAAAATTCTAGGATCTAGATTTCAATTAAAAGTTACCAAGTCATGTTTTGAATTGTCCCAAAATCAGCATCCGGGACAGGTTCTCATTTAGCCGATTGCAGCTGAACCGACAAATAATAGCAACCGTGCATGCGTGTGCGTCATGTCAAACTTGTGTGCACCCATTCAAGGATTTGCCGAATCACAAACAACTACTATTGGAAATTTCCAAAAATGTGTCACTTGACACATCTTTGGAAAAAAAATGTGTCACTTGACACATCTTTGGAAAAAAATGTGTCACTTGACACATCTTTGGAAATGGCCTTCTTATATTGTTTTCTTCAAAATGACAGCATGCCAGAAAGAATCATTCCACAGGGAGTTTACTATCCTTAAACCAACTAAGCTTTTCAAAAATAATTTTGTCAGTTACTTTTCGGATAGCTGCAAATGATCTACTCTACCTTTAATATAAAGCATACATTATGGCTTCTGATAATTTTGAAAGAGAATTTTCATTGGGAACTCCGATTCAAAGAGAAGGATGATTGGTACTCAAGCACTGTGAACAGAAGTGGTGCTGATGAGGCAGAAAACGCAGAAAAACCGAAGCCAAATTTTGGTCAACGCTCAGTTGGGGCGTGTCATGTCCACAGACCTCCCTTTGGCACACCTTACCCCCCCCCCCCCATTTCATGAAAGCTAGATCCACCCCTGACCCTTACCACTGATTCATCATCACAGCAGGCCCCACACGTACAGGAGGCAGCGTGGGGTGTCAGTATCCCTTCTTCTATCAGGCAATTCAGGGTCCGGCCGCCGTAGCGAATGCTCCTCTTCCAATCTTTGCTGTTGCCTCTCCCGCAGTAGCTCTCAAACTCGGAGGGGGTGTACCAGCTGTCCTGGTATTTGATGCAGCGCCCCTTGCCCCCTGCAAAGTGCAAAGTGTACAATACAGTTGAAAGTAACTACGGCAGTAATAGTGGTCATATCAGGGAGATTCATTGCTGGGAACTGATGTAAATTTGGAAGTTGTATGAAATATGGAAATTGTATGAAATTAAGTCGTTTTTTTTCTTGAAATTAAGTCATTTTTTTCTTGTTAGTATGGAAATTGTTTTTTTCTTGTAAGTATGGAATGTTGTTTTTTCTTGTAATGTAAGTATGGAATTAAACACTTACACATGCGTTCCGCATGATAGATGTATTAGCCGAGATGTGCAAAATACCAATTGGTGCTTTTTGTAGAATTTGAATTTTAAACTTTAACAGTTAGTGGTTCTGATGTTGGATGCAATCGGTATTTGCACTATTGCCCGATCACACAGAACTGCATTTGTGCAATCAGTCGACCTATCAGAAATCTCACACTTGACTTCATAATAATAATAATAACTAATTCTTGTATATCCCAAATCCATCATAAAATTGATGCTCAAGGCACTTTATAGAAATACAAATAAACAACTACAAATTTAAAAACAAACTTCCCTTTTTAAAAACACGCCATAGCTAAAACCAGTATAAATGGGGCAGTATTAAAGGGAATATACATCATTTGCTTTTGCTGTAATTTTCAGAAATGGATGGAATTGGGGGGTTGGAAGTATATAGCAAATATAGTAACACTGACTTTTTTGAGGTTTTGGGTTCGAAAATGCTATAAAAACCAAGAAAAACGATCATTTTCCTGTAGTCTGGTTCCCTGACTCCATATAGAAGAAACAGAGCAGTTTACATACATTGGGGAATTGTAAGGTCAGGGAACCAGGATAGCTGGCTCGTACCCTTTCATAGGTTTGTAATCGATTGCAAACAAGTGCGATGGTCAATTGGGGCCAGTATTTGAAAAAAAGCCAGTTGTTTCCAACGCTGATCGGCCGATCAGCGTTGGAAATTGATACAAAAATACCACTTTTCTTGAAAATGACAGTATACAAGGTGCCATAATTTTACAGGATGCTTTACACTGTCATTCACTAACAGTCCAGCAAGGTATTTCAAAATGATTTGGTAGTTTTATTTTTTGATGTTTGCAAATGTTGTATTTTCCCTTTAACTGGGATGGGGTACAGAACTACTTTTTTGAAATTTTGGCTTGGATTGGTCGAACGACCGACCAAAGACAAAATTTGAAAAAGGGAGTAAGCACCCCATTTACCAAATTACTGGGTATATTTCACGTCATGAACAGCATTTACTAGAAAAAAAAAACAACACTTGTCTTTGATTTACATTTATTTGCACATTAGTCCGAGTAACTAGGACTCTACGAATCGCCTTTTTTAACATTTGGACATGGTCGGGCGATACCACCTGACACATGCCCGACCATGGCCAATTGTTAAAAAAGGCGATTCGTAGAGTCCAAGTTACTCGGACTTTTTAAACATGTATTTAAACATCATGTTCAAGAATGAAGGGAAGGACAACAAGTTTTAGTGAGTTTTAAAACTAATTTTTTTATTTAATAATAGGCCTAGGCACTAGGCCTAGTACTAGTACTAGTAGCCTATAATTTTGTATACAGACAAGTTCATCAAAAATCTGCACGTTTTTAATTGCAAATAAATCAACACAGTGAAAATATCATCAAATAATTGACGTGAATTAATCTTTCTCACCAGATCCAAGTTTGTTTTTATGCAATTCAGCGCTGACATTTCTGCATCGGACTGGGAGCACGCCGTTCGGAGAGTGCAACAGCTCATCCCAAGCGTAGTGCCGCTTGTCGCCCGATGGTGTCCCGGGAGTGCACGGCGTAGCCGGGGTCTTCAGGCCGTCCACAAGGTGTGCGTGGTGCGCGTGCGAGTCCGGCTGCTGGACGATCGCAACCAGCCGTGTGGCCCGACCACCGGCCCGTACTGTGGTCAAAATCCCCACAGGATGCACCGGTGCATGAGGATGGAAAACCTCGTCTGTGACGGAAGAATTCGTGATTTCTTCTTCGTCATGCCCATCACCACTGTTTTCATTCGAGTGATCTGCTGTGGCGGGGTTAAATTCCGAGTCGTCGGCGGCACTCGGTAACTCCTCGGCAACGTTGTGGATGTCTATATTGCCAGCTTCGGCAATGCCGACGGACACTTCACTCACTTCGCACGCTTCCGTGGTTTCCATCGTTTGGGTACAATTCCGCAAGATTTGATCTTTTAAAAATGCAAAATTATAACTTCGAATTACATGCAATCATCTGAAATCTTAAACTGAGCCTCGGCAACGTAAATAAGGTGTAATATTACAGTTATAACGATCGGTGAATTTCGACTCCAGTTCGTCAAAATGGCCGAAGCTTGCGATTTACCGCCGTACACATCGCGCTGCATATGTCTGTATATTAGCGCACGTACAGATCGGTTACCAGATCATGAATCCCAAACTAGTTGGTATTAGAGTCCGTAGACTAGACGTATCTTGGAAATGGCGCACTCCATTACAACTGGTGATAATTGACCTCAGCGCGGCTAAATTATTAATTACAACAAATGCATTAAACTACGGTTTGTTTGACTAAATATATATTTCCATATATTCTTGCCAAAAGCATGTGTTTGTATTGCGGAAAATAAAAAACATTTAATTTGTGATTTTTTTTTATGAACCATGAATACCCTCACATCCCTATCTTTTAAGTGGAATGCTCCATAATTTCTGGAATTATTGCTCAGATTACAAATACATGAAATATGTACGTGCAACCTGTGGTGAATCCCCGTTGAAATCTGCAGTCACACACTCACTAGTCACACTGCGTTTCCCCCTCATCATGACTCTTTTAAGTCACTCTTAAAATGACGGACTTTATGTTTGGAGACGACCCGGAAATGCCTGTAAGTTGTCTGTGTTGTGAGTGTGACAGGAATAAAGTTCTGTGGGTTTTTTTCAGTTGTGAAACCCTCAAACACTTGCACTTCTCGTGACACTGTAGACAGAGGGCGCTGTTTATCACTGATCAAAACATTCATGTTATTTTTTTATTCTGAAAATAGATTTACACAGAATTTGCATTTTTACTTAATTGTGTATTGTGTTTTGGATGAGGTCCTCTTTCGACACTCGCATTCAAATTCAATTTGCGTTGGACAACACGCGCGTGTTGCAACTTGAGTGTCATGAGCGTTACATCAAATACATGACCGATTATGGTGACTCGAGGATGCAGCCCTGCTATGGGGCTAGCTAAATACATGAAAGGTCACTTCACAATCACAAGTCATTACGGATGGATTTGATTCCAAATATCTGTCGAACATGTCGAAATGTACATCGGCATCGCTGAACAGTTTCATATGTAGGCCTAGGCCTATGTGTGAATCAAGCCGCGCGACATCTGTGACTGAAATTAAATAGCACTAAAGCAGCAGGGGAACTTGGTAAAATTCATTGTCAAAATCACTTTTCTTCTGTTCTGTTTTCTTTATCATGACTTAATTAGCCACTAGAGGAAGGCCCGGATGATTATGACGAGTTCAATGATGAAACGTTTGGAGGCGAAATTGAGGGTATGTAGGAGACGTTTATCTGCTGTTTTCAATTTGACAATACATGTAGTTTGATTGTTGTAATTGTAGGTTTATGTGTTCAAACCCAACAAGTTGGTTAGAGGTTACAGGTACATGTTTGTAGGGATCAAGCAGTACGTGTACATGCATACATTCTACACTGGAACGACGTGTCTTGGGCTCAAATCCCAGGTTAGGCGAACCTAGGTGACATATTTTTTGTAAGTTCCTATACACAAACACATTATCACTGTAAAGATACTCTGTAGGAGTGTGCATTTACGGGTAGTACGGAAACCGGATACCCGATTGAAGAAAAAACACGGGTATCCGGGTATCCGTTAAAGAAACCCAACCCAACATTGTTGCGTCAATACAGCAAGATACAAGTGTGTACGGTGAGCTTATGGTGCAACTTTCGCGAGCGTCATAAACGTGAAATATGTGTTTTGTTTTCCAATGTAGCCTGGGCTTCATTTTTAAAATTCTCTACAAATGACATTCAAAACCGTTCTTCTTCATTGTCTGAGAAGTTACTAAGTAATTTATAAAGTTGGTTACGGGTACCCGATCCCATAATCTGGAACCGCTTCCTGACATCAACGGTCGAGCATTCGGGAACCCGGTTCCGATGCACAGCCCTAGTACTCTGCTTCTCAGACTTTCAATATTATCCTTAAAAGCTCTATTAAACCGACGTACAAATGAGCTAAAATCCATGGCATCATTAGTCAGATTTTAAAGGATCCAGTACATAAACGCTGACTTCAACCAATCTTTTTTTTAGACTGTGTTGTTTCACCAAGGTGTTCTCGTGTTCACATTGTACTTGTAGAAGACTGGCAGAACACGCATGAGAAGTTCAGCACAGGGTTCGGCAATACGTCCTTTGAGGATGACTACGGCAAGATTGCACCCAAGAGACCGCACGATTCTGGGTGCTACAGTGGAGAGAGAGCCCGTATTCACGAGGTTTGTAGATCATAATCAGTAATGTGATCAAGATCTTGCACAGGCACAGGTGTTTCATTCTTAATAAAAATAAAACTACCAAATCATTTTGAAATACCTTGCTGGACTGTTAGTGAATGACAGTGTAAAGCATCCTGTAAAATCATGGCACCTGGTATACTGTCATTTTCAAGAAAAGTGGTATTTTCGTATCAATTTCCAACGCTGATCGGCAGATCAGCGTTGGAAAAAACTGTTTTTTTTTCAAATACTGGCCCCAGTTGACCATCACACTTGTTTGCAATCGATTACACACCTATGAACGGGTACAAGCCAGCTAGACTGGTTCCCTGACCTTACAATTCCCCAATGTATGTAAACTGCTCTGTTTCTTCTTAAATGGAGTCAGGGAACCAGACTACAGGAAAATGATTGTTTTTCATGGTTTTTATAGCATTTTCGAACCCAAAACCTCAAAAAAGTCAGTGTAACTATATTTGATATATATTTCCAACCCCCCAATTCCATCCATTTCTGAAAATTACAGCAAAAGCAAATGATGTATATTCCCTTTAACCCTAACCTTCGCAAATCCTCCAAAGTCATCTTTGCAAAATGGAGGATTTTGCAGGATTGAGGCTATATGGCGAAAACGTGTGGCTCATTTTGGAGGATGCACTGTGTCAAGGTCTTGGGCCGGACCTTGTGTTGTTTATGCTCAGCCGTGCATAAATTTAGGCCTAGAGTATACTTGAAATCCTCCGCACTGCTCCAGGATGTCACTGGCTCTGCCTCAACATATTGACAGTGATTGCTGGAGGATTTTGCAGGATTGAGGCAGTGGTCAGCCCTCCAAGGACCACATTCAAGAAATGACAGAGGATTTTGCAGGATTGAGGCTGTATGCAATTTTTACATGGAGGCAGTTGGAGGATTTTGCAGGATTGAGGTTGCATCCGAACAAAAATACCTAGGGAATTAGGGTTAACCCTTCTCAATCCTCCAAAATCCTCCGGGAGGTTTTTGTAGGATTGAGGTTGAATGACAAAAAGTGTCGGTTGATTTTGGAGGATGCATTGTGTCGAGTTTGTAGGCTGTACCCTGTATTGTTTATGTTCAGCCATGCATAACTGATCCCTGTATTATGCTCGATATCATCCGCACTGCTTCTGAATGTCCTTGGCACTGCCTCAACCCATAGACAGTAATTGTTGGAGGATTTTGAAGGATTTTGAAGGATTGAGTTCAGATGTGATTTCTGCAAACCATTTGAGTTTTGTATGAACTGAGTGATCTCCAGCGCTGACTTCCATGTACATGTATACAAAATTGTTGTATGTAATTCAGATATCTGTTTCTCCCTGCACTATGACTTTAGGAAAATCTTGAGGAGAGTATCAGCAAGCTAGTTCTAGATGACGAGGATGACGAAGATGACATGTATGGCTCATCGACTGGGAAGTCTCAACCCATCACCATCGGAGTAAGTCAGAACGTGGTTTCTGAAAGTTTGGCTCTACCTCTGGCTTTGCCTATATCTTTGGTTTGTGAATCATTTAGTATCGCAGCAGTAGTTGCGTATTCTATGTAGTTTTGTCGGCCCAAAAAATTGCCTGCTTTTGTCAACCACTACAGCGCAATAATGTACATAAGAAACACCGGTTTCAAATTGTTGGTTCGAACAAAGGAAATTAACCCAGTGGAATGTGGACCCAAAATAGAAATAAATAAATTAAAAAAATATATATTATTAAAGCGCTTTACAATTATTCCCCCCTTCATCAGGCCACGAGACCCACGGGAGCCGTTATCAGTGCACATTCGGTCCTCTACCCCCACAGGTACCCATGTATACTCCTGGGTGGAGCGAGGCAGTCGTCGCGTCAATGCAACAAGGTCATATCTCCTAAAATGACATGAACGCAAAATGCGAGTTTTAGAATGTCAAAAGGTCGTATCTCGCTTAAAATAAACCCGGATGTACATGCAAAGTCAATGGACGTCAAGATACGACCTTGTTGCACGGAGCGTATTCGCGCGAGGTACGACTTTGTTGCGGAATGGAGTTACGACCTTGTTGCACTGACGCGATGCAATTTTAAGTGTCTTGCCCTAGGGCGCAAAAACAGTAACATCATGTTCCTAGTAGGGTTCGAACCCACGTACCACCGTACATGAGTGAAACTTGCAACGTACAGAAAATCACACCGTATCAGAAATGCTGCATGGTTGCATCATGCAAGCTACATGTACTTGACCAAGATACCTCTCCAACATGTTCTGGTGATGGATAAGCATCCAGTCCAGGAGAGAAAAAAAAAGGGTGACGCTTTTAACAATTTCATTCCCAAGAAACAAAGAGATAAACTGTTATAGCTTGGGCCAGACTTTGCTAACAAGACATTGTTATCTGTGCCTCGTTCCAGGCTGGAGCCAACATGGGAGGATCCAGCAACATGTCCCAGCTATTTGGGCCTTCCTCCCCGCCGGCGCTCTTCGATCCTCAGGAGTTCATCTCGCCGGGGAGCAAGAAGAACATCTGGGGCTCCCCGACCTCCCAGAAGGTGACGAGCAACACGGAGCAGCATCTCAAGGCCATGCTTAACATACGCCCACCGGAAGACTTGCCTCTGGAGGTAGTAGATTTTTGGTTTTTTATTTTCTGTTTGACTTTATTAAAATTGTTGGCATCTGTAGCATAAGAAATGATGCGAATATTGGATATGCATGGGGCAATGAAAAACTCTCAGGTTATATCACCATTTTGTGACGTTTTGATTTGCAAGTGACATTGGCCATGGTGTGCCAGATAAAATAACAAGCAACAAGGTGATTTAACGAGCAACTTTTTCCGTGCCACATATGTCTCCCATACGCGTACGATTTCGAATGGCACCTTATAATTGACCTATCGCCATTTAGACAACCCTACAGACTTTTGTACGTTGAGTTTTGTTTGTGTCAGATTTTGCACGTTCCGCGTCCATTTGTAATTAGCCAATATTTAACAAGCTGGTTGATGCGATTCTGCCGCGACAGGTTAATTGACGAACAGAAGATGGTACGTTTTGACCACATTTGAAAGCGCAGTGGACGGGAAACACAATGTGTGTGCGTGCTGGTATGTGCACAAATTCTGAATACGAATGAAGAATGGCGTCTTCGCATAAAGCTTCAAGCATCGTCGCCAGTGCATTCGAAGCTTCGCCCAGTGGTGTCCCCCAATTCCCTTTGTAACTGTGGAGGGTATCCATATTTGGACTCTGATCATTCATTTTCTGATAAAGTACATACAACATCACTGTTACCAATACAGTTGGGTAGTTCTCAGAGCCATTTTCAGCCCTGGATGCTCAGTCTTATTGTAAGTGTACACAGAATTGAAACCAAAAGCGAACATTCATTATAGTTGAATGTTTGGTATGGAGGTTTTATAAGTGGTGTTTTACTGTACTGTGCACTTTCGCGCAGTAAATGCAAACAGAAGACAGTAAGAAAATGGATTTAACTCGTGAAACATACATTTTGCAGGTTTTATTAACATTGTATGGATTCATTGTATGTAATTTGTTATATTTGATGTTTTCAATACGTGCCACCCGGCCAAGATCATTGTCTTTCCTCCTACATGTGTGTGTCGCTTCAGACATTCCCTGACGGGCAGCAGCATTCGTAAAAAGTGTGACTTACATGTAACATAAACATGTACAACTTTCACTAAATGTTGACCAAATTAAATCCTGCATTAGGACCCAGCTGTGGTGCAGGCTGTCCCCGGCGCCGAGCCCGCCAAGAAGGTCTTCACCCTCGAAGAGCTGGAGAAAGACCTGACAGGCAGGGCGCCCCCTCAGCGCACCATCTCCCCGATCCTGGGCTCCCCTCCCATGAGCAAAATGATGCCAGTCGGTACCCCGCCCCAACACTCCTTCTTGCAGAGGACGCCGGCCGGCATGGTGCACCAGCAGCAACTGCAGCTGAAAAAACAGCAGCAGCAACAACAGCAGCAGCAGCAACAGCAGGCGGCTTTGCAACAGCAGGCAATGCAGCAACAAATGAAATCAAAGGTATAAGAAAATAAATGGCAGCGGTTGTGATATGACATCCTCTTAGAGTGATAAATAAATTTAATAGCAAATTCATAAGACTCTTTGTAAAGTGCTCGCCTGTACACGTTTTTGGCTGTTTCGGTAACTTGCCGAAACAGCCTTTATTTTCATTAAAGTTTTTTTTTCCAGCCACTCCCCTTAGCATTTGTACACATTTTCATCGTGTATGGCACTTTGGGCACTAAAATAAATCTGATTGCCTTTATACTTGGCACATATAACATTAACATCATCACAACGTCATCACGAGTCACGTGACATCACATTTAAGGTGCATATTTTGGAGGCCAGTATCTACAGAACTACAGGTCCGATTGTGTTGAAACTTGGTTTGTACCTAGACTGGGAGGTGTTACAGATGAAAATTGCAGTTACGTCATGATGACGTCATCACACGTCATGTTATTTCACATTAAAGGTGCAATTTTCTAAGGCCTATATCAACAGAACTACAGGTCCAATTTGGTGGTAACTTGGTATGTACCAACACTGGGATGTGCAAACTACAGTATCTAACACGACTTGAACATGCATTAACAAAATGCCGAAACAGCCATGTGTTTGTCCACAAACATAAGTCTAGTCTTCCCTTGTTTTAACTACATTTTCCAGGTGTAAAGGTTAGTTCATTCTCAACATGAAAGCGAACACAAACGCAAATTTGTGACATCACAGTCAGTATTTAGTTTGCAAAAGTTGAAATTATTTTAATTGCTGTGAGTTTTTGTGCAATTGTGTCCTGACATCAATTTCATTTTGCATTCCCATCCACTTTGAAGTTTGAATCGGTTTAAAGACAGATGCAGACTTCTTCATGAAGACGGTTTGGAGTTATAAAGTAAACATTCCTGAAATAATTTCTATAATATTTTTTTACCAGCCTCCCAGTCAATCAATGACTCCACAGCAGCAGCTTGCTACGACGCATGCCATTCAGCAGTTGGTCCAGCAAATCCACCAGTCCGTCGGCGGCCGCGTGTCGCCGACCCACATCACCCAACTGGTGCTCAGCATGCAGGCTGCCAGCGGCCGCGCTTCCCCGAACCAGATCCGTCAACTCATCATGGCGAACACCGGGCAGGGCAACGCTTCGCCGTTCCCCAGGCCAATGGGTGCCGGCGTGACTCCCACCAAGGGTATGGCCCCGCCTCCTGGGATGACCCCGCCCGGAATGACCCCGCCCGGAATGACCCCGCCCTCTGGAGGACCACCCCCAAGAACACCGATGCAGCAGCAACAACAGAAGCAACAGCAGCAGCAGCAGCGGTTTGGATCTCCCATGATGCAGCAGCGGCCGATGTCTCCCATGATGCACCAGCAGCGGCCGGGATCCCCCATGATGCAGCAGGGCCGGCCTCCCATGATGCCGTTTTCGCCGGGGGGTATGATGGGAGGGCCTCACCCGCGTACTCCTCAAGGCATGCGTGGCCCGGGCCCGGGCCCTGGCCCAGGCCCGGGGAGAAACATGAACACGTTTGGCCTGACACCTATGCACCCACAGTGAGTACACATGAGTAAAACAAAACCAGACAGGCCATTCTCCATAGGTAGAAATTATGCTCAATACTTTAATGCACAGGGATTTGTACTTGTTTTGCATTAACTTTTTTTGCGTATTTTGTTTCTGATAGTATTCCCCCGATGCGACCTTTCTCTGATCCGGGAATGAGACGACGCTTTCCGTTCAACAACCAGCAGAGGCCGTATTCACAGTAAGAACCCAGATCATAATTCATGCCTTTCCTGGTTTTAGTTTTAATTAACATGGAAGTTTCCAGGTAGTCAATTAATACTTTGTTTGGTACTTTAGATAATGTACATTGAATGTTTGTGTTTATTCTCAATACTCTTTTTACCCTCCTACTATTAAGATGTCATCAATGGTCAAAATGTTTGTATCTCACCTCCAGGCATACTGTGTACAAACCAGTGGGGGTCTTGATCAATATTGACCCAAGTAATAACCAGGCTGACAATGCATGTTTCCATAGGAGGGTTAACAGAATGCTTTTGAGTATGTGGATACTTTGGTACTCTGGGCTCTGTGCCTAGTACCCCTTTAGCCCTAGGAACCACCCTCAGTCCTCCAAAATCCTCCAAATGGTTCACTTACGTTCAAATGAAGGATACCCACTGCCTCAATCCTTCAAAATCCTCCAACAGCCCTGCCTCTTAAAATGCATTCGGCCTCAATCCTCCAAAATTAGTCATGCATAATTTGCGCCATACGTACATAAACCAGTAAGTGCATGTGGTGTGTTCCGTCCACAAAAAGCTCCTCCTTATAGGGTACGTATGTTAACTTGGAGATTTTTAATTTTTGTAGAACGCCAAATCGCTATGGAGACAGACACCAGCGACCTTACCATAACCGTTACTATGACAATGAACATCGCCGCCCAGGCCCTGGTGGGGATGCCAATACAGACGACTATGCAAACCTGATGACGCTACGGGAAAAGGAATGGGTCCAGAAGATCCAAATGCTTCAGTTACAGAGCAATAACCCTGAGGTGGACGATTACTACTATCAGGTAGGTCTACGGTTCGAATCCAGCCCAGGCTGAAAAACATTAAATGGGTCCAGTAGATCCAAATGCTTCAGTTACAGAGCAGTAACCTTAACCCTAACTCCCTAGGCCTTTTTGGTAGGATGCAGCCTCAATCCTGCAAAATCCTCCGATTGGCCTCATGGCAAAATAGCATATAGCCTCAATCCTGCAAATTCCTCCATTATTTCTTGAATATGGTCCATGGAGGGGTGACCACTGCCTGAATCCTGCAAAATCCTGCGGCAGTGACTGTCAATATGTTGAGGCTTGGCCAGTGACATCCTGGAGCAGTACGGAGGATTTCAAGCATAACCCAGGCCTATATTTATGCATGGCTGAGCAAAAACAACACAAGGTGCGGCCCAAGACCTTGACGAAGTGCATTCTACGAAATCAGTAACGCACTTTTGGAATGTAACCTCAATCCTCCAAATTCCTCCACTTTGGCAAAGAGGATTTTGAAGGATTCAGGGTGGTTAGGGTTAAGGTGGAAGATTTACTACCAGGTATGTCTAGGGTTCGAATCCAGCCCAGGCTGAAAAACATCATTTGGAATGGGTCCGGAAGATCCAAATGCTTTAGTTACAGAGCAGTAATCCTGAGGTGGACGATTACTACTATCAGGTAGGTCTAAGGTTCGAATCCAGCCTAGCCTTATCAATTCCAATGGTTCTTGAAGATCCAAATGCAGAGCAATGACCCGAGGTGGATAATTACTACCAGGTCGGTCCAGGGTTCGAATCCAGCCCAGGCTGAAAAACATTAAATGGGTCCAGAAGGTCCAAATGCTTCAGTTACAGAGCAGTATCCTAAGGTGGAAGATTTACTATCAGGTTGGCCTAGGGTTCGAATCAAGCCCAGGCTGAAAAACATCATTCGGAATGGGTCCAGAAGATCCAAATGCGTGAGATACAGAGCAGTAACCCTGAGGTGGACGATTACTACTATCAGGTAGGTCTAGGGTTCAAATCCAGCCTAGCCTTATCAATTCCAATGGTTCTTGAAGATCCAAATGCAGAGCAATAACCCCGAGGTGGATGATAACTGCTATCAGGTTGGTCTAGTGTTCGAATCCAGCCAAGACTGAACAAAAATAATTTGAATGGGCCCAGAAGCAGTGTTGTAGGTCTCGAGACCGGTCTCGGTCTCGAGACCGGTCTCGAGACCACTTTTTGCTGATCTCGGTCTCGGTCTCGGTCTCGGAAGCTGTGGTCTCGGTCTTGGTCTCGGTCTCGGTCCCCTTTGGTCTCGATATTTTGGCTGGTCTCGGGTCGAGACCGGCAATATGTAGCTTTTACAGCTCGATCGATTACTTTGTGTTCACTTCGTTCAGTACCGTTGTTATTTAAAACATTTGCTAGCCCGTAGATCAAGCTTGTTATTTATCGCGGTCGGTTTGGACTCGACTGCACGTTGGAAAGTCCCCAAAGTACATGTTAAGCTGCAGCAGTATCAGTCACTGAACGATTTAGAACAAGTTCGGGATTTTTCTGTTGAGTCGGCCACATAAAGCAAAGTATAAACTTGTAACAATTTATGCAATAAGGGTCAACCATTTTCGGGGATTGTGTAGTTTAGCCCACCCCTGTGGGCGTAATCACTTGCATTTTGTATTCTGATAATAAATGAGGTGCTTCAAATTAGTTATATTTTCGACCCCACACAACGTTCTCTTTAATTTGGGACAGTATTTTGAAGAAAAATTTAATTTTTCTACCTGATTTTCCAGCTTTGAACTCACACACTCTTACCAGTTAACTGTTGCCATGAGAGTGTATGATGAGACCCCATTTTCTGGCTGCTCATTTTGAAGTACCCCATTATTCCTCAAAAATTAAAATCCCGTTCAGAAAAAAATTAAAAATCCATATCTGGCACATTCTGGCTACCACCTCGCAACTTGTGGGTCTACATGTACAAGTCCACATTCTATGACAACAATTTAAAAATTAATTCAACATTTTCTAGCTCCCATTTTTTATAATCAAGTACACAAGTCTTGTTAGAAGTTAAGTCCTAAATTTATTTTAGGAAAAAAGAGGCAATGTAAAATTAAAATTGCATCTTTAAATATCCGTTAGAAGTCATAGCTGAAACCAAGGGGGTGACTGTGGAGTTTAGGATCCTTTAACTTATTACTTTTGTCACGATTGGGTGCAGACAACATGTCAAAGCCCATATTTCTTAAGTGTAACTACTTTTTACTCAGGTAAGGTGTCATGTATCAATTTGTCAACGCTGCCACTGGTCAACATTTTGGTCTGTATTCTTTGTGAATAGAAGGGTTACATTTTTCAACTATAATAACGTGTCTTGTTTTTTTTATTTCGACTATTGTTATTTATTATCAGCGGTCTCGGTCTCGGACCATATTGGTCTCGGTCTCGGTCCGCCTTGAAGGGGCTGGTCTCGGTCTCGGTCTCGGTCTCGAATCTTCAGGTCTCGGTCTTGGTCTCGGTCTCGGACTATCTGGTCTCGACTACAACACTGCCCAGAAGATCCAAATGCTTCAGTTACAGAGCAATAACCCTGAGGTGGATGATTACTACTATCAGGTAGGTCTAGGGTTCGAAACTAGCCCAGGCTGAGAAACATAATTTGAATGGGTCCAGAAGATCCAAATGCTTCAGTTACAGAGCAGTTATCCTGAGGTAGATAAATTTTACCATCAGGTAGGTCTAGGGCTCGAACCCAGCCAAGGTTTATAAACTATTTGCGTCTCGAAGACACTTGCGGACGACAAGGAAATGAGCGACACACGTCACTAAATATTCACCAGAAAATAAGCATTTTAAGTTGTAATGCCACCACAATATTCTGTGTATAGGTTTGAAAGTGGATGCATTAAACACTGACGTGTACAGACACGCGAGATGTACCTACGTACCTGTGCCCGCAACAGTCATTGACGGGAGAGCCCATATGGGCAGGCCCAGTCGTAAATCTCGTTATTGTTCATGTAACCCCAGTCATGCTTTGCTCCCATTGCAGGCTTACATGCTAAAGAAGCAAGGCCAGGAGGAACAGAGCAAGGAAGGAGTGCAGGCTGAGAAGAAGAAGAAGAACGGCAAGGAAGCCGATAAGATCATCACGCGGACTCTGGAACATCGGGTCTACCAACCAGGTAATGTACCGTCTGCTCTTGCTGTGCTGAATCTGTGTAGCGTATTTTACCCACTCTTTAACTGAGGTGGTTTAAGTTGAAACCTTAATTTCCAGTATTGCGTAGGCTTGAGTAGACTAAGGAAGAGCGCACAATTAAGTAAGCGGTAACTTGAGGTTGAACCATGAGGTACCACAAAATACTTGTAAAAGCTTAAAGGGAAAATACAACATTTGCAAACATCGAAAAATAAAACTACCAAGTTTTTACGAAATACACAACAGGATGTTGGTAAATGACAGTCTAAAGCATCCTGTAAAATTATGGCACCTGGTGTGAAGTCATTTTCAAGAAAATTGTATTTTTGTAAAAATTTCCAGCGGTGGTCGGCCGACCACCGTTGGAAAAACCTAACAATTTTTCAACTACTGCTCCAAATTTACCACTAATTCAGTCCAAATTTTGTTTGCTATTGGTTACATGTTCATGAACAGGTGCAGGCCAGCTAGACTGGTACCCTTACCTTACAATTTTCCGGCATCTGTAAATTGATTCATTTTATATTTAGTGGAGTCAGGGAACCAGACTACTTGAACAGTTTAGTTTTTCTTGGTTTTTCCAGCATTTTCGAACACAAAACTTCAAACGCTGTCAGTGTAACAATATTTGATCTATTATACTAACCCCTCAAATAGTTCATTTCTGAAAATGACAGCAAAAGCCAATGATGTATATTCCCTTTAACATCAAATCATGTGAGGTCTAGTTCTAAGTTGAGTTTTTTGTTTTGTCCTTTTAACGAGTGATAAATTTATGTTCCGTTTGACCTCCTTAGCTCAATACGAAGGTGCTCTCGGTCGTGTCACGTCATCAAGTGTCAACAATCCCAGACAGTTGATCGACTTCCACATTGAAGCAGTCGGGGATGAAGAAGAGGTGAGAATGATGTTTTAAAAAAGGGTTGCAGTGATTTTAAATATTTTTTTCGGTTTTTATATTATCAATTCTACCTATTTTCTGAAATCATCAACCAAAATACTCAAAGTTTCATGGTGTTTCCTTGCTGTTCCAATTTCACTGTCAGCCGTTTGATTGAACTTTCTCAAAGTATTGATTTCGCTTTTTACTTTATTGTTTTAGCTGTTTTTTTGTTTTAAAGGTTTTTTCCTTCACAAATGTTATGTTGAAGGAAAGAGTCAATATTTTTAATCCAGTATCCGTGCAGTGGTAACCAATAACATTTTATAATTTTTTTTCAGGTTGATGCAGATTTTGATAACAGTCTTTGCCTTTTTTCCTGTTGCTTGTGAAAAAAAAACAATTTTCAAGTAATCAGACCTTTGTCAAAAAAGCATACTTGTTACACTGTATTGACGGACAAAACATTTCTTTTTTCAATTGTTTTTTTTAATTAGTGAATCAATCTCACATGTTTTCTTTTGGCTGGATGTTTGGGCATTTAAAAAAATAAAATAAAAACTTAAAGGGAATATACATCATTTGCTTTGCTGTAATTTTCAGAAACGGATGGAATTGGGGGGTTGGAAATATATAGCAAACATAGTTACACTGACTTTTTTGAGGTTTTGGGTTCGAAAATGCTATAAAAACCAAGAAAAACAATCATTTTCCTGTAGTCTGGTTCCCTGACTTCATTTAAGAAGAAACAGCAGTTTACATATATTGGGGAATTGTAAGGTCAGGGAACCAGTCTAGCTGGCTTGTACCCGTTCATAAGTGTGTAATCGATTGCAAACAAGTGCGATGGTCAACTGGGGCCAGTATTTGAAAAAAAGCCAGTTTTTTCCAACGCTGATCGGCCGATCAGCGTTGGAAATTGATACAAAAATACCACTTTTCTTGAAAATGACAGTATACCAGGTGCCATAATTTTAAAGGATGCTTTACACTGTCATTCACTAACAGTCCAGCAAGGTATTTCAAAATGATTTGGTAGTTTTATTTTTTGATGTTTGCAAATGTTGTATTTTCCCTTTAAGAGACCATCAATTTTGGTAGAGTGCCAGATTTTGGCACTTCACCAGAAATGGTGGAGTTCTAGCACATTATTTTATAGGTCACAGATTGAACCCAATTCCAGTCAATTTTCTTGGTCAACCTAACATTGATTGTGCATATTTCCCTGAAAACTCCAAGGGCTCTAAACCCAGCGCTGCCAAGGAGCAGAGCAAGAAGCGTCGCACGCTGCTGTCTGTGGAGCGCGTCTACGGCATCTTGCTGCAGCTGGACGACCTGGCGAAGCAGGTGCTGACGCTGCCGGAGTCCGACCGCAGCACCCTGATTGAGAAGAGACAGAACATGGTCGGGGTGATATACGCTCACCTCAAGCCGGAGACTGTGCTGTGTGATCGGTAGGTAGAACCTCTAGGAAGGAGAGGGTCCCGGGTTCGAGTTCCACCCAAGTATTGAAGCTTGTGATTTTTTTTCACAGGCTCTCGGATAACACAGTATACAGTGTTTATTAAGTAAATCAGTGATGGGCAAAACCAATTTCAAATTTAAAGTTCGAACCCTATTTTTCTGTTTAAATTTGATTATTGTAAAAGCGTAATTTGAAATAGCAGAGTAGAATGTGCCTTTAATCCTTTCATTCTTTTTTTTTTCTTCTTGATTTATTTAAAACTGTCCTTTTTGTCTTTTTGGCAATTTTGCCATGCACTGGTGGAACGTGTGTGGCAGGATTCAAGACTAGCACCCAACAGCTCGATTTTCGAGAGACAAAATTTTGACCCCTGAAATTCGTTTTCGCAAGAATAACACAAAAACACCCAGTTTTTAGCTGCGGGAAAGCAGCTCTACAAGTACTCATGTCTCTCCGTTGGTTGGTTGTTTGGTTAGTAACAAACTTCACCAAATGCCTTTTTAGGTAATCAATCACCTTGTCCCTTAGGCCCTCGCAACAACACCTGCTTCAGGTCTCCACTGACCAACTACCAACTTATTGCAGTCGTGGGAAAATTGGGTCACGAGGTCACTCATTTCGCATGGGGGCTAGTACTGTACTGCACACAAATTGGGTGTTCGACATGCTATAAAACGCACCATGCATCAACTGACGTTCAACAAAATAATGGGAATCCTTTTCAATTGACAGTCACGACCACGTGAGTAGTTGTGCATTATAAGAACAGACTTTTACATCATGTACATGACTTATAGGCTACAGCAGTTCTACAGTTGGGCCGCAGCATCTAAGATCATTTCGAGTTTGTTAAAGGATGGTTGTGTGGACGCTTTGTAGCCTAATTGGACGCTTTCCAGGACGTAGTGTCCCTTTAAAGTTCATGACAGTTCATGATCCTTTTCCCTTGGTTTTTGTTTCAGACCATCCGATGACCACTTTATCCAAGTCCTGTCGGTGCGTAAAGGTCGCAAGCTCATCGCCAGAGTCCTGCCGCTGCTGGACAAGAAGGAGGCGCAGTGCGTAGTCCAGGCCATTCTCAGAAACATGAGTCTGCTCCTGAAGAAGGAGTCGCAAGAGATGCGCAAGGAGCTGCAGGAGTCACAGAAAACAAACGCACAGGAGGTATGTGTGCATTCCACTCACTCAAAGTTCTGACCCAAACTCCCTTAACCCTAACCCACCTCACTCCTCCAAAATCCTCCTAGCGGTTTTGGAGGATTCTAGAGGATTGAGGATGACTGGTGATTGAATCAAATGAGGATTCTGGAGGATTGAGGATGAATGGTGATTGAAGCACATGAGGATTTTGGAGGATTGAGGATGAATGGTGATTGAAGCACAAGAGGATTTTGGAGGATTGAGGATGAATGCATTTTGAGGCAGGACTGTCTGATGATTTTGAAGGATTTGGCGTTGGTTATCCTTCTTTTAAACACAAGTGCAAAATTTTGGGATGAGGAGGATTTTGGAGGATTGAGGATGAATGCATTTTGAGGCAGGACTGTCTGACAATTTTGAAAAATTTAGGCGGAGTTGCAAAATTTTGGAGGATTGAGGATGGTTGTAAGCAAAAAGGGCCTAGGGGGTTAGGGTTAACCCACGCAGAACTCAACCCATCAAACCCCAACGGCATGTTTGGTTGGAATCTGTCAGGATGGGTACAGTACCCCTAAACTGACAGTCTTTTACATTGGGTTGGCACACCTCCAGAATCAAAGTAAGAAATATGTGTGTGCAGTTTCCCATATGGTGTTGGAATTTGCCAGGATGGGTGTGGTTCCTCGTAAATCATGCTAGGGAGTTAGGGTTAGAGCTCCTGAAATTGTTTTGGTTTCATGAGCCTCCACAATGCTGCCTTTCCTTGTTGACCCTGCATAAAAGGTCATAGGGAAAGCAATTTGTTGGCCACTCACAGAGTCTTTATCCAACTGAGGGATATATTTAGTCCGAAAATTTGTGACTCTCAATACTGTGTATGAGAGTCCCAAAACTTAAGGTATTAAAAACGTGCAAAACAAGAAAATAGACTGGCACCTAAAACAACCAGTCCAACACAGCTTCAGCACTGCATCAATCAACCATGCCAAAAGAATTTAAGAAACGTGTGGCATGAAGCGGAGACTAGTCTCAATTTACTACACATTTCTCCATAGTCAAGCCACCAGACTATTGACACTGAATGAAGAGGTCAGTCTTTTCAAATAGTTGGACCATGGTTGGACATGTACCAGTCTAGCATTTAGCCCCATTTTGAAATCACTTGACTTCCCTCTCATGTGCAAAAAATATTGAAGAAAAGTCTCCTTTAAAAATTGAATTGAGTCTGCAAACTTGGTTGGTGAAATACTGAGGACATTTTCTTTGCCCCAGAGGAATTTTTGGAGAAATTTGCTGGCTAAACTGTGAGTAAAGTGGGCCTGATTTAGTTTTGCACGTTTCAGAGCACTCCAGAGCCCTGTCTGGGATATACTGAGGCTTTTTACATAGTCCCGTTGTCTTTCATTGTCTTTCTGTCACTCTCTTAATTTGTTGTGACAGACATTACCCATGGTCTTCCCACCGTTATGGCGTTGCATCCAGACCACCACCCTGCCTGAGCTCACCTGCATGGTGAAGCAGCTGACAGCCGGGGCCAGTGGCGTCTCACCCTCACGGCAATACGGCTCCATCATCTCCATGCATATGCAGAACAAGGTAGTCATAATTGAGAAATAGAAACGCCAAGAAGGAAGATATTGATAGCCGAGTAATTATATGCTTACTGCAAATGAAGAGCGATCAAATCAAGTCTAAATTGAAAAACAAAAGTGCTGCAGAGAAGATTTTGTATTAACTTGCTGCTTACTATAAACAGGGGCCAATTTCACGGCACTGCTAAGCACAAAAATTTGCTTAGCACAAAAAACAGGCTGGCTTATAAAAGCAGGTTACCAGCCAAAACTCCACGTGATGTATATTGCTCGTGATTAGTAAATCAGCTGTTGTTTGCTTAGCACGAAAATCACATGGAGTTTTGGCTGGTAACCTGCTTTTATAAGCCAGGCTTTTTTTGTGCTAAGCAAATTTTTATGCTTAGCAGCGCCGTGAAATTGGGCCCAAGGTGGTCCAATGGTTACAGTGTTCGACTTATATGCCATGGCACGTGGCGCTTGTGTTCTTGGGCAAGACACTTTATTTGGTATGGTTGTTTTTGTGCATAGTTTGGTGTGTCCGTCATCCTGTGCCTGTTGAGCCAAGGGGAGAGGATCTTCAGCAGCACATCGCTCGTAGACTTGGAGGAAGACACGCAGAATGACTGGTAAGCATTTTAACCACTCCATTCCACTTAAGGGGAGGATCGGGCTTGAAGGTGGGGTTGTTGAGCTTGATTCAAGACCAGCTGGGTCAAGAATATTGCTTAGCATATATGTGAGGCGTTCTGCAAGATGAGACGGAACTGAGCAGAGGTCGAAATGAGGGTTGGCTGATATGAAAGAGAATAAAATTCTTTTTGCATTACTGTTTGTTGCACTTCAGTCGGACATTCCGTTGACAACTTATGGCTGTTTGAAGTTGCAGCTACAGGCTACAAGAACAGCATTTTTCTTGGGTTTTTTTTTTTTTTTTTTTTTTTTTTGCGGCATATATGAACACAAAACTTTAAACAGGTCAGTGTATACAATATTTGCTATAACACTAATCCTCCAGGGTATGTTTGCTAGAACCCTGCCAAATGTAGCAACATGCAACACTTGACTAAGTGACAAGCCTGCCAAATGTAGTAAGATCCATCAGGGGAAAAGTCTCAAGGCCACACTGCCTCAGAGTCTGTGGTCACCGCACGCAGCAGGATACAACTGTGGCATTGTTCAATGGGACTTAGCTCTCATTGTTTCAGAGCTGGCCATTCATGCACTGGTGTTGGAGCTGAATGCATCAAAGTGCACCAGTTCTTTTCCACATGATGCACTGTGTTGCATCTGGCTGGGTTAGGGTACCACCAAAACCCATCCATTTCTGAAAATCACAGCAAAAGCAAATGTTGTATATGTCCCGTTTAACATTTGCACTGTCAAGGACAGATTTCAAAAATCCTTTCCGCAGTTTTTAAACCACAGGACGTGTACATTTAATCAACGAATGGCAAATGTAATGGTTTTTAGAAAAGTGATGCATGTAACGTTTGAACTGTTGTTCCTTGTTATCAGGGTGGACTGTGTGAATCAATTTGCCAAAGACATCTGCGTTGTTGCCGATGCCGCAATACCCCAGCCCCTGGTCACCGTGGACAACGTTTTGCCGCATTTTGCGCGGTTTGTCAGCAAGCAGACGTTCAATGCCTTGGAGAAGAGACTCAGGTAGGAAAAAAAATTGCAGCAAATTCCAAAACTTAAGATTTTACCTCTTTTTCAATTCAATATGGCCGACTCGTGCATAAGGCCCATGCAACAATTTACGCCACTGAAATGATTGTCCAAGTTATGCCATATTTTGTTGCACAAGTCGCAGACTTACACACCATGAAACTTTCGTGAAATTGTCATAACTGAATTATTGCGCAGCATAAAATGTTGCGTAAGGGCCCGTGACCATTTAGCCCCGGTATGAAAAGGGCCCCCCGGTAAGCTCGTCCCCTCCCAAGAAGTCCTCTCGTACCGTCCCAGCTACCGGCCTAGGAGCTGGTCCGGTTGCTAATCAGGAACTCCTCTATCCTGGGGTCTATTGTTTGCAAGTATTGACACATGTAATATATCCCAGAAGAAACCTGCTTGTGGTTTTCATCTTTCAGCGCGAAACAATAGAACACTTTCGTCGGCACAGATCAAAACCCCTGCCATGGGGTTTCGCGCACAATGGGACCGTAAATTACCAAGGCGTTATGGAAGGATTTTATCTTTAATCCGGTAAGTCTGCTATTGTTCTGCTCTGGACGTTCTCTGAAGGGCAATAAATTGATGCGCCTGACTGACTTCAAAACTTCTGGTCAGACAGGACCATGTACCGGACGAGACTGGGCTGAAGACCGGACTGGCTTTGGACCGGACGAGGTACCGGGGGGCCCTTTTCATACCAGGGCTGAATGGTCACGGTCCCTAAGTTACGCGGTAGATTGTGGCGCAAGTAGAGTTGCACTATTGCATGAAGTTTCGTAAAATCGGCTGCAGGATGTGACTCGTCACATTTGTTTATCTGTTTGTTCTATTTAACAGATCAATCACAGAAGAAAAGACAGCACAATGATCGTCAAACTTTAAAATTGATTCTCGTCCAACAAGTGTTACCACTATTAACTGAATATTTAACGACAAGTTAAAACCGCGAAGGTAAGACAAACCACATTAAACATAATTTACATTTTCGAAAAGGGTAACTTTTTATTTAAATCTTAGAAAAAAAAGTGGAATTTGTTCATTGATAAAAACCAGCATTTGAAATTTTGGAAGAAATTCTTTTTCTCGGTGAATAAATTGTGTGTGCTTAATATTTTTTTTAGGTTTTGACATTTGTTCGTATTAAAACAACTTCCACTTTTTTTGCATGACTAGGGTTCATGAAATCTTGAGAATTTAATTGAAAATTATTTGAAAATTTGGTTTTTAATGGTTTTATACAATATTAAGTTTTGAGAGCCTCTGCGTTTTTTTTCTGGCATGGTAGGAACTTGTCTAAGAATTTTGTAAATGTTTATGTGTGTGTACAGCTCGCTCATTGACCTCAGCAAGAATGGCTGTATGAAATTTACGTTGCTTTAATTTATTGACTTATTAATTATAGCGCATATAAATGATTATAGGGTATTTCTTAACGACTTATTAAATGTATGTAATAGACTCCAACAGCAGCAAAGTTTGCAGACTGCCAATGAATTTCATTTGCATTGTACATGTATGCTCAATATTAAAAAGCAACGATCATACAGGGCCGTATCATAAGTCTGACGCCTCATTGGTCCGACGCCTCATAAGTCCGAAATTTCGGACTTATGAGGCGACGGACTTATGAGCTTACAATTTATTTCTTCCACCTCATAGGTCCGATGCCTCTTAAGTCCGACGCCTCATAAATCCGACGTCCAAAAAAACGAAGCGTACGAGGCGTTGGACCTATGAGGCGTTCGAGCTATGAGGCGTCGGAGCTATGAGGCGTCGGACCTATGAGGCGTCGGACCTATGAGGCGTCGGACCTATGAGGCGTCGGACCTATGAGGTGTCGGACTTATGGGCCTTAATTTGGTTGGGGGATGCGATTTTGTCGGACTTATGAGGCGTCGGACCTTTGAGGTGTCGGACCTATGAGGCGTCAGACCTATGAGGCGTCGGACTTATGGGCCTTTATTGGGTTTGGGAATGCGATTTTGTTGGATTTATGAGGCATCGGCCTTTTGAGGCGTCGGACTTATGAGCGGACCCCTATCGTACTACCAGACTGGGACCTGGAGTGCTGAAAAACACACAAAATAAAATCAGGCCAACTTTACTCACTCTAAAGCTTACAAAATTCTCCAAAATTTTCACGAGGCAAAGACCAATCCTCAGTATTTTACCAGCCAAGTTTTGATGTCTCAATTCAAGTTTTAAAGCAGACTTACCTTCAATATTGAGAGTGAAGCCAAATGATATAAATTTGAAGCCTGAGAATAGACTGGTACATGTCCGACTTTTTGAAAAGATTGAACCTTTGTTAGTCTGGTGGCATGACTATAAAGAATGTGTGGAAATAAAACTAGGTACCAGACGTTTCTTTTGACACGATTGATGCAGTCTAAAGGGTTGTTGGACTGGTTGTTTCATTCGCCAGTCTACTTTCGTGTGTTGCATGTTTTCAGTAACAGCTCAATTTTTGGGATTTTCGGACTAATAATATTGTGCTAACGTTTTGACTCTGTATGTAAACAATAGAGGGCGCTATACAGTGGCGGTGCTACAGGGAGGGGGGGTGCATAGGGGAATTTCCCATCAGCAGTTTTAATTAATTAATAATATTCACAGTAACTACAAATGAGTTTAGTGGTAAAACATTACACAGTATCAACATTTATAAACTGTATGTTAACCAATCTAATAAAATGAATCATTTGAAGTAGATTTGAATATAAATGGTCATCCACCATCATGTTTAGTATGTGAAATATCAAGGAAGTTTCTCGAAATAATGATCGCCTTCTTTGTATGACAAGTGAAATAACAATCAGTGAAGATCTACTTAAGCTGATTTTGATTTTTTTTTTTAATTTATTTTGGTGCAGAGATAAAAATGTGCCTCAGACTCGTTTTGTTGGACGTACTCCAAATTTGATTGTTAGCTTCAAGTTTTGACCAATCCGGGCCCGCTATCAGTGGCGAGGCCCCCTTCAATGGCGAGAGCGTTGTGCTAGCTATTGTTCAGAACTTCAGACCATCCGTGTGAACAATGGTTTGTCCATTGAAGGGGGCGTCGTGAGTGTGCTCAGTGATCGCAGGCCAGGATACGTCTATAGACTATTTTTCAAACATTGTACATCTGGTTGTGGTCGTGCATGATTCCAGTCGCTTATAAGTCTTAAGCAAATGGTTAGAAATATACATGTATCACTAGTGGGTTTTTTTTTTCAGGCTAAGTAGATTTTATTTGTTAAGCACTTTTAACTATCAGTCACATTGAGCTCCACCTGAAAAGAAATTGGCTGAAATTTGGCACAAGGATTGTCTGATTCTTACAGGTTTGAAGTAATGTTCATTTGCAACGACCTCTGTTGGTGTATACTAGAAAGTGGAATATTATTACAGTGATACATAAGTAAAGGGAAAACTGCTGTGTTTAAAAGGACTTAAAACATCAACCCTCCTTCTGTTTGAACAGTCACAAACAGTCAAAAATTCCATCCACTTTCCCTGCCTTGCATTTTACACAGGCTAGTCACCAACACTCAGATCATATTTCAAGCAACACTCTGACTAGTCAAATTCAGTCAACAGACAAAAGCAGGAAACTGGTGGGCACAGCTGTCTTATCAATCACCTACAGTCAAAGCACAGCTGTATCAAGTGACATAAACAGTCACAGCCAGTCAATCCTGCTTTATGTAGGCTGGGAGCACTTAACCGTTAAAAACAGTCGCTTGACTTATTTTAAGGGTTAAGGTTTCATTTCATGAAATTGTGTTTTGAAGTGAAGAGGGCATCAAATGTTAGAATCGTTTTCTTTCAATCGTTTGTGTAATGCCATTTTTATCCACAGATAATAGTTTCTATGAACAAATTTTCGATGAAAAAATTAGGTGCTGTCTTTGCAATTTCCAAGATTTGCCTATTTTCTTCAAGGTCACTTTCTCAAAAAGTAATAGTAAAAATACTAAGCCTTTAAATTTTCGTGTCATGTTTACATACACGCCTGTCCTTAGAGTAGTTAAAAAGGTAGTTCCGTGATGTACCAAATAATGACTTATTACGACTGCTTCATCTTATACAATGAGTACATGAAATTTGTATGACTTTTTTGCTGAGCTGGTCGCAACTTTTTGCACAGTACAGGGTGGTGCCAAAAAAATAATAAGCCCACTTTTGACATGAATTTTCACCTAGTTGTTGAGCATATTTCAGAAATTCAGTTTCATGGTGTTAAACTATTGATCTTTAAACATAAGTGACGAAAACATGATTGCAAATGCCTATTTTGTCTCTGAGATATGGTAGTTTAAAATTTCATGTGCCAAACTTGTATGTCCACGGACGGCTTTATTCCATCCGCTTGACTGAGCTCCGGAGCTTGATTTGAAGACAAAAAAAATACTACGCTAGACTTACACATGGACAACAGTGATTTTGGTGACTTGTAATCAAATTAGCATAATAACACTCTTCTTGCGATTTTTTAAAAGATTTTTTCACCACGTATGGTTGAAGAGCTATACTTCACTACATTATAAAAAAAACCAGTTCAAATAAGTTAGGTAAGTAGGTTAAAATTCCTGTCAAAAGTGGGTTTCCTTCTTTTTGCATCACCTTGTGATTTTCCATGTAGTGGTGGGTGTCCTGTAAAACTCGTCACTAATTATTTTTCTAATTATTTTTTTATACATGTTCAAGTAGAATGAATTTTGAAGTGTTACACAGATTATCAATTTTTTTTCCTAGGCAAAACGGTCTCTGATCGGCTTACGTATAGATTTCTTTTGAATTTTGAAAACTCAAATTGAAATGCATTGGTTATTAAAATATGGTTTATTAAAAAATTAATTTATTACTTTGGTTTAGTTTAAATATCAATTGGAATATGCCCTGAGATTTAAAAAGGGTAAATAGATTGTAGATTTTACATGATTTCTGAAGAAGACAAAAGACTGGTTTTTTTTGGCTGTTAGTACAAATGTTGTTTTCCTGTCAGATGTACGATTGTTTTGTTCTGATGATTTTGATGTCATGATTATTAGTAAACGTATACCACGCTACATTTGTTATATAATTGTGGTATTTAAAAAAAAAAAGCTTTGTATGCAAGCATTTCTTATTTACACGCATTTCCTTTAATAATTTATAATTTTACTAACCACAAAAAAGAGCGTTTTGATACAAAGAAGTATTATTATACGCAGTCATGCTAATTTAAGTTTTGCTTATTATTTCTAGTGTCATTACGAAGAGGGAAATGATTAAAGTTGATGCATCGGATTGACGTCACGGGTGTTGTCCACTTATTTTCGTGGAAATTTAATATTTTTGTTTGTAAAGTTTGAAATGTTATAGTTTACTTGGTAAACTGTGTCAATGAACTTATGCAGGATTAGTGAACGGTTTGTTTTGGCGTGGAGAATGATTTATTGCAGCATTGAGCGTTGGAAGAATTCCTAAGTGTTGACATTTAAAATTGCTGAAATATGACCACATCCCTTCGTGAAGACGAATTATTAGGCGAAGTAAAAAAAAATCATGTTTCTCGTCCCCGCCCGCTTCCTTTTTGGAGGCCGCCTGGATTTTTTTAATTATTTTTTATTTTTTGAAAATGCAGTAAAAAAACACCGAAAAAGTCCACGGTTAAAGCAAATGCATCTAAAACACTTAATTGTAGACCAATACAACTCGAAATGACACTGTAAATATGTTCAGTTCTCTTGTCCAACTTGTCTTTCATTTTAAAAGTGTCTTTGAACAGTGGAAATACCAACGGTTGCAGGAAATTATTAAACTGGCGGCCATCTTGAAAAAAGTAAAAAATGAAAAATTAAAAGCCCCTCTTCCTCCTTTTTTTCAAAAACCTGGACGAGAAACATGGGTTTTTTTTATTCGGCCTTATAGAGGCTTTGCTTCGTTATGGGGTTCCTGATATGAAGTTTTTTTAGGAACACATTTTGTGCAACTTTCTACTCTTCTGAAAATGTGTGGAAACTACTTGACATTCCTTTTTGGTTAATATTGTTGAAAAGTAAACTTCTTTAAACATTAAAAACAATTCCATGCTTATCGGACAACGGAGGGCGCTGTTGCTGTGATGTCATTTCAGGAAGACACTGTTCAGTTTGGGGGTTTTCTGTTTGGTCACTGGCGTACTAACACAACAACGAATCACCAAAGAAAAGAAAATTTACCACAGCAAAATATTAAAACCTCTGCCAACTTTTGGTGCTGAAATAGACGTATTAACATGGAAGTTTCTGGCTGAAATGACATCACACTTTTGCTCATAAATACGCAAATTTCATCACCATTAAAAAAACCCAAAGGCAGCAAAATACCTTTAATATGGTAAACGAAAATTGAAAATAATGTTAAATGGGCTCCCAAGATGCATTTTCATGGGTTGCATTTTGAAGAATATCATTGCATGGGCCCTTTTTGCTAATACAATTTTCATATTCATGAACAAAACTGTGATGTCACAACGGGCAGAAACCTCAATGTTACCTCAACTATTTTTAACACAAAAAGTTGCTAAAATGTTGGATATTTTGCTGTCGTATATTTACTTTTCTTTGGTGATAAGATGTTTTCAATTAGCACATTTTGGGTTTACAATTTGAACAGAAACCCCAGTTTAAAACTGAACAGCTTCTTCCACAGCAACAGCGCCCTCAGTTGTCCGGAAAAGCATGAAATTTAAAAAAAAAATGTTTAAAGAAGTAAACTTTTCAATGAAGCTCTCTCAGTCTCACCAGAAGAGGGCGGCAGAGGCCAAAACAAAAATGTATTTGGTATTTTGGTACAGTACAGTACAGTTTTGTAACAGCGGTGACGTTTAACATACATGCCGGAGTTCATGCACATGTAAGTATGCGAAATATATCATTCACAATTATTAACACATGAATGATAAAAGTTGCGGCTTCATCACGTATTGATTTTACCGTTTTCACTCAGTGGCCTGCCTAAGCATCAAAATGATAATCCCTTTTGATGACGTACGTGAATGATGTTACCGCGAACCGTCGGGTGCCGTTAGGATAGGCAGAGATTTTCCCCGCCTTGTTTGGGTTTTGTAGTTTTGTACGTCGTTCATGTGATGGCGAAGTACGAATAAATCAGCATGCTGATGCCTTGTTTATTTTCCCGGGGATCGCTAGCATATTTTGCCCGCGATCAGCCGAGTATGCTAGGAGAACATGCAACCAGCTTGGATCATTCTTGTGCATGTGTCTGGTGGATAATGATGGGTTTCGTTAAATGTCACGGTGTACATTATTATGATCTGGAGAATGTTAATGGTCCTCGGTTGATTATGAAGTTTGAACATCAAGTGCAAGAGACAGGGCTGCAGGTTTTGTTTTATGGCCGCAGCTCGGGTAGTCTAGACCTTAATGCTCCGTGGATAATGGATGATACTCGGACTACTGCTCAGGTTGCCTACTTAAATTGTCACCGTGCTATGTGAAAGATAATTAGAGATAGCAGTAGCCAATTTTCGTTCATTCTCCTGCAATAAAACGGGGAGCCTTCGTTCATCAATACACTTGACTTTTTAATTTGAACCCATATATATTTTACGGTAATGACACTTGCGCCGTCTGGACGCCGGCGTTGCAAGGGTTTTTATTTTGATACGCGTAATTGGTATTATAATTTATGTTCATAATTAAGGCGGTTAAAATTCGAATAATATGGGTCTTTTTGGTAAAACTATTCCTTGGGTTTTTTTTCAGTTAAAAATAAAATCAACAGCAGAACGATGTACATACATGTACATGGCTACATGTACTTCCCGGAGTGACGTTTTGGGGATCCAAGATGGCGGATCAGTTGCTTCAAGGCGCGCATTTGCCAATTAGAATGTGTATAGCAGTAAGTCCAGCAGGGGTCAGTGATCTGCGCCGGTGATAACTCAATCATTACTACATACATAGTCAAGAGTAGGGAAACAGTGCAGTAATAAAGCTTGGGTAGGCTGTTAGTGCTTTGAGACCGAAGACGGAGTTTGTTTCGACCACGACCAATAAGGTGATGGCCATGTACAGTGAAGGATGTCCACATCGTATCGGGAAGAAAGTGTATGATTAATTTACATAAAGCAAAGCGATATCCTGCTGATTTGCTGCATTCTGTGTCCGACTGAAAATCACCCGCCAGGTTCGGTAAAGCAGACAGCGGCAACAGACATGCAACAGACAACGGATATTGAAGCAGACTTTCAACAATTTTGACGGTAAGTTCCGATGATTCTTTATTATACTGCAGCTAATTGATAAAGTGTCATATTGGGGGTGGGGGGGGGCTTGATTCCTTGGCGAATAGATGAATTTGCTAAAAACTGCATGAACTATGTTTGTACACCGGATTTTGTCAAAAATTATTAAAACTTAAACTGGATTGGGATTCACTATACCGTTATTTTGACAGGACTCTCGGCCAAACTTATGAGCCCAACGAGCCACTAGCGGAATACTTTGTCTTTTCATTTTATACTATATGTATTTTTATTAAACTGTTTTTAACTCCGGTGTCATTCATTCTCTGACAGATGTATACGAGCATTGCACTTCAATTTTGTCACCAGAAAACATAATAATATAATGAGGTTCAATTCAATACATAAATGATTCGAGATGGTAATCATATACTTCCTTTTAGTTTGTTTTGACGCTGCGTAATATCTTTTTGCGTCTTTCAGAGGGTATACAAGGTGACACATGCTTTTTCGAAATATGAGTAAAGTTACAACTTTCACTGACTACCATGCATGCACGAATGAGTGGATATGCAGAAAAAAATGGAGAACATTTTAAATCTAAATCTCGTCTAATTATTTTTGTTTTATGATTTCTCATGATGAAGACCCTCATATAACGTCAGTCAGCATCATAACTTTCTCTCGTTCTCAGAACCACACACTTGTTTTGGTATTGTGGGCTACTCCTAATTTGTTCTCGTTAAGCAAAGCTTAAAGACTAGTCACAATTTAAGATTATTATCAAACCCACATTATCACTTAACCTATTATATACCTAAATCGCCGTAAACAAACCTCATCACGCACTCGAACGCGTGACTTTGCTTACATTGTAAATTAAACGTGTATACATAGATTACATAACGACGTTTACTTGCAGACAGATGTGTTGATTTAGAGGCCGGCCTCAATTTAACAAGACCAATTATTTGTCTATTATACCCCTTTGCCTGGTTTTAAATTACAAGGTTAATCCGATTAAGATGAGACTGATGAAGCAGATATGCCATTCATATTGTTGTTGGGCTTTATAATTGTGTGGCCGTAAATATTTTTTGCGATCTAATAAGTCCCCATAACAGAGGTTTTTATTCAATGTTGTCGCACTTGTTTGCTTTCATTGTGTTAGCATGCCTATTAGTGAATGTAATACACAACCGCGGGTCACTTTTAAAAAAAACAAGCTATAGTCCCTCTCATTTATTTAAAATCTTAATTAAAGTAAATTTTGCAGCAAGTTGCCTGAAATTAATGCAGTAGCCTATAACATCCCACCCCAACCCAACCCAACCCGAGCTAACCTAACCTAACCCAACCCAACCCAACCCAACCCAACCCAACCCAACCCAACCCAACCCAACCCAACCCAACCCAACCCAACTCAACTCAACCCAGACAAACTCACCCCAACCCACACAACCCAACCCAACCCAACCCAACCCAACCCAACCCAACCCAACCCAACCCAACCCAACCCAACCCAACCCAACCCAACGCGTCCCAACCCAACCCAACCCAATCCAACCCAACCCAACCCAACCCAACCCAACCCAGACAAACTCAACCCAACCCACACACTGAATCTAGGGGTGATTTATTATCCGAAATTTAGTTTCTTTAGCTACATCAAAACCTCCCAACCCAACCCAACCCAAACAAACCAAACCCAAATCAACCCAAACCAACTCAACCCAACCCTAACACTGAATCTAGGGGTGATTTATTATCCGAAATTATGTTTCAAAATAACAATCAAACGAAATTTGAGTGTCCTCTGATTTTTTTATTTTTTATTATTATTGTTTATGCGTTGAATAAAGCCATCATTGAAACCAAGAACTACTCTCTACGTTTATTCATTTCAATAACAATGAATAAGAAGCCGGTTTGTATAATGTTAGAGACGACACGATTCTAGTTGCAATATCAACATTGGTAAACAGTTTTGAGGAGACAAATTGACAATTCCTTGAACTTCACTTGCCATGCAACTTGAACCACGATAAACACACGGAGAGTTGGAGACACGGAACGAGTGGCTGGCTATCCACGGAGAAAAAAAACAGAGCCGTTTCATCCCTCGGCCATTCCAGAAAGTCGAGGTGATTGTAAACTTTCCGTTCACTGCCCTGGTTCGTGGGTTTAAAGGGAATATACATCATTTGCTTTTGCTGTAATTTTCAGAAATGGGTGGAATTGGGGGGTCGGAAATATAAAGCAAATATAGTTACACTAACTTTTTGGAGGTTTTGGGTTCGAAAATGCTATAAAAACCAAGAAAAACGATCATTTTCCTGTAGTCTGGTTCCCTGACTCCATATAAGAAGAAACAGAGCAGTTTACATACATTGGGGGAATTGTAAGGTCAGGGAACCAGTCTAGCTGGCTCGTACCCGTTTATAGGTTTGTAATCGATTGCAAACAAGTGCAATGGTCAATTGGGGCCAGTATTTGATAAAAAGCCAGTTGTTTCCAACGCTGATCGGCCGATCAGCGTTGGAAATTGATACAAAAATACCACTTTTCTTGAAAATGACAGTATACCAGGTGCCATAATTTTACAGGATGCTTTAGACTTTCATTTACCAACATCCTGTTAAGGTATTTCGCAAAAACTTGATAGTTTTATTTTTCGTTGTTTGCAAATGTTGTATATTCCCTTTAAAAAATGGAAAGAGAAAAGATGAGAAATTGGTTTGACCCCTTGACCCGAAGTGCAGGGATGAAAATGCCGAGAATGTGAGTGTTTGTTTGAACGGTGAGGGCAAAAATGAAAATGTTTCTCTCTTTGTTGATATTAAAGATGGGCAGATTTGGCACAAACCGAGGTTCTTAAAAATTGCCAAGCACTTGGCATACTTGAACTAGAATTCGTTACATGCAAGATTTGCGAAATCGTTTTTACACTTTTAGGTGTACAGACGGGGTACGGAACATTATTTATAAAACTGTTCAGCAATTTCATTTTAAGGTCAACGACTCCCATTCCAGTAAATAATTATGTATGATAAAGTTATTATCACATGTAAATCACAATATATAATTGTGATCTTTTATGGTAACAATGTTATCTGACGGGATAAGCTGTGCGGCTATAAACCAACCAAACGATGCCACAAAACATACAGATATTATACCAAAAAACTTCACTTCTGCAACGAACAAGCAGAATTACGACGGGCAACGTTTAAATTGACAGGTATGGGACACACCGTACTCTGGGGGATTATTTGAAAAAGGTATACTGGTGAAATGATATCTGCCATTTTGATTTGTTGGAATTATTGAGTTCATTTCTCCACAGCTGTCTCACCATGGAGGTATTTATAAACATTCCCGGCACACCTATAAATATTATATCCAAATGTTAGTATCGTTTGGTATTTGTCTTGGGCGCAGAGAGCTTTATAAATAAACGTGATATTTCGGTATTCGCGGTCTGGGTGATTGATATCGAATAACAAATACGTACTGTGACAGGATAAATGGATAATGCTGTACAATTTACTCTGTTGCCTCCTCCTGACAGATCGGTGGAGTGTTAGCGGGAAGCTCTGCGGGCAAATCGCGGCTCCCGCCCCCGGACTGTGTCTTTCAAGGTACTAGCCGGTGAGGATCAGTTGTCGAGACATGATTAAAACACGGAACGTGTACCGAGAGCCAGCTCTGTTTTATACCTGTATTGGCATTCATGAGACTGTGACAGTTTATGACACTGTGCGGTGTGGAGCCGAATGCGTTCGCTTGCTGGACACAATTTCAGTCTTTGATTAAGCCATCCAACTTTATTGCTGACCATTTTGGATCATGGATGTCTGTTATCACATTTTACTCAAATGGGACGAGAGCTTCCACTGACCATGGACCAGAAATAGCGACCAAGGCGACACCGTCACTTCAAGAAAGGTGTCTTCTTGAAGAAGAAGAAATAATCTCTGCAGTGATATTTGACTATTCTGCGTTTCGATGAGTCTGACCAGAACTCGCCGGTCGACCACGTTCTCGTCGACTCCGCTGCCGGAGAACTCTCACTCGTCTCCCCCGCCATCTTCCCTGTCGTTCCGCGTCGTGCTGCTCGGCTCACCAGGCGTCGGCAAAACAGGTGAATTGTAGTCTTCCCCCTCGTCATCCTTAAGCCAACGCATCATCACCCTGTGTTCCTCATTTCTCCTTTCAATGTATATAACGCACAGGATCTTTCTTTACAATCATCGCCGCAAACGGGATCAATGCATCGGCGGATCCGGAATTTTCATATAAGGGGTGGGGTAGTGGTTAGCCACTGACGCAACACTGACGAATCACCAAAGAAAAAAATGATGACAGCAGAAAATCTAAAATTCTGGCATCTTTTGGTGCTGAAATAGCTGTAACATTGAGGTTTCCGACTCAAATGACATCACACTTTTGTTCATGACTATGTAAATTTTCATTAGCATAAAAACCACAAAGGCACCAAAACCTTTGAAACAGCAACACAAAAATTGAAAATAAGGTTAAATATGACACAAAATGTGTATTTTCAGTCGAGGTAACAATCAGTCGAGAAATCTCATCTTCTAATCCCGAACAACATGTATATCACAATGGGATAAAAGTGAAAAACTCACTGCATTCTTATTCATTCACAGCTCTTATGGTGCGGTATGTAACGAGGCGTTTCATTGGTGAATACGATCCTACACTAGGTAAGCAATACCCTGTCTCGAATTTTCTTTACAAGACAATAAAATTGTACTAATTGTTCATCATTGTCAATGCCACGCCATACATTCCCGAGCAACGATCATGACCGTCATTTGTATAGGATTATTAGCATAATATTAAGTCATCGAAAAAATTAGGCCCAAGATCGTTTTAATATTTGACTCGTTTGCCCGAAATCTATTTCGTTTTAAATCGCAGAATACCTGTGCAGATATCATGCAGCCGTTGATGGCGAAGACGTTGTCATGGAAATTTTAGACACTGCCGGTCACGTGAGTACATCGGCCAAACCAATAACCAATTTCTGGCTATCAAACCCTTGAGTTGTAGAGCTCCTAACTTTCTTCCGATGAGCGAAACCGGTCTCCCAAACCCTGTCATGTCAAGTCGTTCCATTTGATTTCTCCTTCTTCCGATTCCTGTGATAAAGATTTGTGACAATAATCCAATCAAAAGTTATCAAAACTATCAAAGACTTTATTCACGAGACGGTCATATTAAATTTGAAAGCGAGGTAAGTTCTTTATTTTTGGAACTTGCGAGTGGAAATGAAAGCAATGAAATGAAAGTTAATTACACATTAATACCAGTCTTCTCTGATGAATGGTTTGAAAATTGTGAGTAAACATACCCTAATGTTTTAAGCCACATTTAAAACAAAGTGAAAGAAAGGCTTGGAATGCGCTCCACTCATTAACAGTCTGGCGCCATCCCATTCAACAGTTTACAATATATAAAATAGATTCAGGGAACAAGATCGAAAACGGCTTCCTCGTGAATAAGGTCTTTTCCCGCTCTTTCCAAGGGCGCTGGCGACGCCATATTATTCGCAAAACGTGAATGAAACGCAAAGTATTGTTGGCAGCATACCGCATCGAACAATATTGTTATTAACTCCAGGGTGGCGGATGAACAGAACCCACCCTGGAGAACTTAGTGAATTGGAAGTCACCGGCGCCCTCACTTGGGTAGAAGATGGGTTCTCGCGAATCACAAAATGTGAAAAAAGACATGACCCTCATTTTATGTTATCATTTTCATGCAACTGCACGATTTTGTTTTCAGGACAAGCACGGCCACCGCAATGCTTACGCCCTCTGGGGCGATGCTTTCCTCTTCATCTACTCCATATCAGACCGGCGAAGCTTCGAGGAAATCTCGAACATCAAACGAGATGTGGAGAACGCCCTCAAGACCACGAGTTCCTTGCCCGTCATCCTGGTGGCCAACAAGAATGACCTACGTAAAGAAATGAGGTGCGGAGTCCAAGCGGTTTCAGTGCGTTATTTGCCAAGTGCCATGCCATGGCACTTTTGTAGCTTAATTTATTCCAAAGATATGGCGCAGGAACTTCAACAGTGTCGCGCCGAACTTTGCCGACCTCATTTCGGAAAAAAAGACACGCATTGCGCCGCCAACGGCAGTGGAAAACATTCTTCAGTTTGTCCTCTTTTGGCGGTATTTTTTTCCTACAACTAAAATGCATAGTGTGAATCTTGGAAACCTTGGCTAATCAAAAATACCAACTAAAAAAACCCATCAATTTTGGCGTGATTTTTCTAGCATATCCGGCTTCAGGCGTCGATTACTCAAAGGTTTTGGGGGATATTCCTCATTGTACCACAATGGGTCACATTATTTTGTCTTATGCTTTCAGGGTCAAAGCGACACTTTTGCAGGTCAAAATGACTTGGCTTTCTAGAGTACCGTATATACATGGGCAGGTATCGGGGTGGGTGGGGGGGGGGCAGCAGTGGGCAAAATCGAAGATACTTGCATTCATACGCTGCAGTACCCTATAGTCAAATGGCGACCAGCTACTACCCCACCCCTGAGAGTTTCGAATTTGTCAAGCTATAGTCCCCCCCTCCTCTTCCGCGGCCTTGACAAGAAACTGCTGCTTCTTCATAAACTGTCCCAACCACTAATCGTCTCCCATCTCCATCTCCCATCAGAACCGTCACGGAGTCCGAGGGCAGGAAACTGGCCGAGGACCTGGGCTACCCGTACTGCGAAATCTCGGCCAGGGACGGCAGGCAGATCTGGAACGTGGCGGAACTCTTCCACAACGCCTTCAGGGAGTGGAAACACAAGAGGGCGGACGAGAAACACGAGAGGGCGCAACGCAAGGCCCACGGCGCCACCGCGCACGTCAAGCGGGCCATGAACAAACTGATGCGGGGACCGAGAATGGGACGCACAACGTCACTCTGAGAAAAGTGGGAGTCAGTTGCCGGGTGGCTTTAGAGAAGGATTAACGTACAATACTCAATTCGAGTTTGTAGTCACTGCAGCTCTCAGGAATACGATTTCTTGCATGTTTTTTAAACAGATGTAAGGCCAAAAAAAAGTCTCCGGTTTCTGGTATGGAGCTTGCCCCAAAAGTTGTGCGGCGACGCGGCTTTTTTTTTTCCCCTGATTTCTTTTGCTTCAAATGTCGGCTGATGGCTGCAAATGGTGCCCGACTAAACTAAGTGCAATTATATGGGAGTCCAGAGAGGCCACATAAAGCTCATTCTCGATCATAACCCCATCTAAAAAGACGTTAAAATTGTGCAGCAGCAGGATTCCAGTCAAACCAGTGAGTTTGGCGGTTTTGAGACATCATCTTTCATTGAAAAAAAAACCTTTTTCATTTTGCCGACGCGCATGGCTACGGCGACGCGCGCGCATACCAGAAACCGGAGACTTTTTTTTTGGCCTAATAGCGCATCCATTTTCTATGGGGGTGGGGATGGTTTGGTGGGGGGATGGGCAATTTTTTATTTTTGTGTAAACAGTTTGCGGAAACTACAAATTGCAAGAGGTGGGTTACTACATGTATTACTAGGACCGGTAGTACGGTGCTTTGCAACTGCCATCTTTTTCCTCTTTAAAAATAACAATGTTGTCGGGGTGACCTGTTCCCCCTCCCCACCCCGCCTGCTGGATACGCTCATGCAGATACATCTATCTCAATATTTGGTGTTTTCGTTTTACGACTAGTACAATCACAGAGCTTGTTCATATCATCAGGCGTCTTCTGCATGCCAGGTTTGTAGCACTACCATTAATTATATTGACAAATTACACATAATGCACAGACTCGCAGACATTTTTTTTATTCATTCATGATAAAGTACGAACTAAAGTAAGCCTAATAATAATCATCATCATAAATAACATAATAATGTACTGAAATTGATTTACCGGGGAAAAAACCCTGGTAGAAGCAATGCTCACATGACGATAAATTTGTTTTTCGTCTTTCTCATAAACTGGCTTAAAACACGCTTGGTCAGTACCACAGTGAACCAACTTTGCTATATCTTCCGAGGATCCTGAATTGAAAGATACAATTATTGTATTCACCAATATTGCATCTAAATTATGACGATCATGCACTGACAAACATTTTAAATCCTATTTCTAGGGAACTAGGCTGATGGACTGCATTCTTGATTAATCAAGCCTTGGGTCAATGATCGACGACGACTGTTTATTCTCTGAGTTACTCCTAGACCTTTTAAACGTAAGGCCAAGTAAAAAAAAAAGTTTGTCGTCCTTGCCCGCCTCCTGTTTCCCGTCCGTCTCCTGTTTTTAATTTGAACATTTGCAATATATTTTGTTTATAATTATCAATATGTTGTCATTTTATTTGTTTCCAAAAAAAAATTTGTAGCAATGTAAAAAATGGTGACAGCTCCTTCCGAACAATTTGGTATCAGCAAAAGAGTCGAGAAAATGTAAGAATTCATCCGCCACCTTGGAAAATCCGCCATCTTGGGAAAAGAAAAGAAAAAAAAAGGGCTGCACCTTCTTCATTTTTTCTTCAAAAAGCCCGAAGAGAAACCATTTTCTTTTGGTGTAAGTACCAAGGGAATTCGGCAAAAATGTTGAGAAGTGACAAAAAGTAAAGGCTTTAAAACCATATCAAACAGAGATGTACGCTTTTACAGATATAATGAGAAGGTACTATAAGATGTCTTTGGGTTGATAAAGTGTTGTATTGATACACGTTTTTCGTAATTTCAGGGCAAAGTCAAACGATTGTTCATATGTTACTTGTATTTTAGATTAAAATTTACTTGTTTTGTGCAATTCCCAGTCCGTCTCGCCATTATGCATGTCGAATCTGTTAATACATCGTGTATTTCTTGAGTTGTTCATCGGAAAACGAGTTGTTTATTTTTGTTCAATAGTGCAGCAACGGCTGGTCTCGCACTTGAATATTCTTTCAGTAGAGGGCGCGCCACATAAATAGTGGTCTCCAAAATTATCTACCACCAAACTCGTTTGGGGGGCAACAACTCCAGAAATACAAGATGTATTAAATTGAATTTTCAAGTAGTGATTTGTCATGATGTTTAACATTAAGAGATTTAATTTCATAAGAAACCGTCAACCAATGAAGCTATAATGACCGTAACAATACAGTGTTTTAAGCGCGACAAATGCAATCCGAATGAAAGTCAACGTGAATTTTTCGCGTGTAAAACACTAAATTGTTACGACCATATCATTTTTATTGTTGGACTGTTTCTCGTGATATTCAATACACCTCTTACACACATCATGGAAAATCAGTCAACGAAAATTCAGTTGAATACATTTTGTATTTCTTGAGTTGTTCATCGGAAAACGAGTTGTTTATTTTTGTTCAATGGTGCAGCACCGGCTGGTCTCGCACTTGAATATTCTTTCAGTAGAGGGCGCGCCACATAAATAGTGGTCTCCAAAATTATCTACCACCAAACTCGTTTGGGAGGCAACAACTCCAGAAATACAAGATGTATTAAATTGAATTTTCAAGCAGTGATTTGTTATGATGTTTAACAGTACGAGATTTAATTTCATAAGAAACCGTCAACCAATGAAGCTATATTGGATGTAACAATACAGTGTTTTAAGCGCGACAAATGCAATCCGAATGAAAGTCAATGAGAATTTTTCGCGTGTAAAACACTAAATTGTTACGATCATATAATTTTTATTGTCGGACTGTTTCTCGTGATATTCGATACACCTCTTACACACATCATGGAAAATCAGTCAACGAAAATTCAGTTGAATACATCTTGTATTTCTTGAGTTGTTCATCGGAAAACGAGTTGTTTATTTTTGTTCAATAGTGCAGCAACGGCTGGTCTCGTAATTTAATATTCTTTCAGTAGAGGGCGCGCCACATCAATAGTGGTCTCGAAAATTATCTACCACCAAACTCGTTTGGGAGGCAACAACTCCAGAAATACAAGATGTATTAAATTGAATTTTCAAGTAGCGATTTGTCATTATGTTTAACATTACGAGATTTAATTTCATAAGAAACCGTCAACCAATGAAGCTATAATGACCGTAACAATACAGTGTTTTAAGCGCGACAAATGCAATCCGAATGAAAGTCGATGTGGATTTTTCGCCTGTTAAATAAAGTTGTCGGGAATGATGGTTGCAAAAAGTTAGGGCAGGATTGTGACTGTGTCAAACGATTGTTCATATGTTACTTGTATTTTAGATTAATATTTACTTGTTTTGTGCAATTCCCAGTCCGTCTCGCCATTATGCATGTCGGATCTGTTAAACATAAAGTTGTCGGGAATGATGGTTGCAAAAGTTGGGCGGGATTGTGACTGTGTTTCTTAATGTTCATAGTTCAGTGGCATTAAAGTGATATAATTTTGACCAAACTGAGTCGTGCACTGTATTGTAATTCCAAAAAACACTCAGTGTTTTGTAAATTAAGCCAACATTCAATAGCTATGACCATGCTATAACCAATGCTAGTGCATCAAAAGATGTCCAATTGCGATGTTAGGCAGATTTTTTAGCAATTGTTTTTGCGTGAAGCTTTCTCACTTGTTGACGTCAATCGAAAAGGCTAACCCGATATTAAAGTACCTACAATTTCATTTCACTTCATCTATTTATTTTCCATTATACATACCTCTGGTCCGGACTTGGGGCTTCCAATTCAGAGCATTTTGGATGCAATCGGGTCCGAAAGTGGCTATTTAGCCATGTGGATTTAGCCATGTTGTGGATGGATCGTATTAGGGGTCGTATCGTCTTCTTTGTGTGAGAATTTCTCGAAAAGTCTTCGGTCAACCCACCGAAAATTGAAAAGCAAATGAAAAATGACATGTTGATCATCATTTTTATGTGCAGTCTGAACACCTGTGAGAGCTTTGAGTATTTTAAAAAAAAATTTGGAGTATGAGCATTTATTACTGTTGTCTGTGTGAATTTATTTGATTGGGCGCACCCCTAGTGGTCTCGCACGAATGCCTACTTTAATTTTCTTTCAATAGAGGGCGCGCCACATAAATAGTGGTCTCGATCTCCACCACCAAACTCGTTTTGGGGGGCAACAACTAAAAAAATACAGGATGTATTAAATTGAAATTTCGTCCATTGATTTGTCATTTTGTTTAACATTAGGATATCTAATTTCATAAGAAACTGTCCAACAATGAAGCTATTATGACCGTAACAATACAGTGTTTTAAGCGCGTCAAATACAATCCGAATGAGAGTCAACGTGGATTTGTCGCTCGTAAAACACTACATTGTTACGATCATAATCTTTATATTGTTCAACGGTTTGTCATAATATTCGATACACTTATGTCACACATCGTGGACAATCAGTGCACGAAATTTCAATTTAAAACATTTGCTATTTCTTGAGTAGTTGATCGGAAACGAGTTTGTTCTTTTTGTTGAATAGTGCAGCACCAGTGTTGATGCTTTGTGGAGACCACTATTTATGTGGCGCGCCCTCTATTGAATTAAGAACGAATTTTAAAGTAGGCACGTGCGCACGTACATTTGTCTTGGTGCCGGTGCGAGACCACTAGTTTTGTTTTAACGCGCCTTTTCTCGAAAGAAACTTCCAGTTGTTGTTTGAAGGTTTCTTACGAAATTGAATCTCCTTATGCAACACATCAAAACCGATCACTGGCCGAACTTACAATATAATACAGCCCATGCGCGTTGACTTTCTTTTTTCATTCGGTTTATATTTTTCGCGTTTAAATACTGTATTGGTCATATCATTTGTTGTTGTTTGACGGTTTCCCATAATATTAAATGTTGTAATGTTACATAGTCATCATGACAATTCACTGGAGGACATGTTAATTTTGGAATACAGAACAAACTCGTTTTAGGGGCATCAACTCAAGAAATACTAGATGAATTCAATTATAATTTCAAACGCCTTGGAGATCCAGAGTGGTACGGTGAGTATTAATAAAAAATATGTGAGAGTATGTGTTATTATCACTCAGGTCTATGGGAGTCGATTAACAGGTCTGAAACATTAGGAGTGCACCCATGTGAATAGGCCAAACAAATCCGTCCGCCGAGCTCATGAATAAAAGGTATACACTCAAATGTTTTTATATTAGAGGGTTCTGGGAGCTATGGAATTGGGAAATTGGAGAGATATGGAAATACATTTCTCGTCCAGACTTGGGGCTTCCAAAATTCAGAGCATTTTGAGTGCAATCGGTTCCGAAAGTGGCGCTATTAGCCATGTTGTGGATGGATCGGTTTTTAAGATGGCTACTTTTCCACTTTGGGAATCATCACTCGTTTTAGGTGTCGTATCGTCTTCTTTGTGTGCGAATTTCTCTACAAGTCTTCGGTCAACCCACCGAAAATTGAAAAGCAAATGAAAGATGACATGTTAATCATCACTTTTCTTTGCAGTCTGAACACCTGTGGGAGTTTGGAGTATTTTTAAAAGAATTTTGGAGTATTGGCATTTATCACTGTTGTCTGTGGGAATTTATTTGATTGGGCGCACCCCTAGTGGTCTCGCACCAATTCCTACTTTAATTTCTTTCAATGGAGGGCGCGTCACATATTAATAGTGGTCTCGATCTCCACCACCAAATGACTAAGTTTTCCCATTCCCAAGACTTCCTGTTTCCACCAGTATATAAGTGCTGCTCCACTACGGCACTAGCAGTTCCTCATTCTGTTTCAATTCCATTGCTGTTCCATTTCCATTTCGATCATCGGTTTCAGTTCATTCAATTTAATCTTTGCCCTCGTTCGCTGTAACCAGTTCAATCAATCAATGTGTATTAAAATATTGTTGTGGAATAAACAGTCACGGTAAACACAGTCCTCAACCAAATTGTTTATCGAGTGATATCGACTTATCCATTCCCCAACAATTGAAAAGAAAATGAAAGATGACATGTTGATCAACAGTTTCCGTACAGCATGAACACCTTTGAGAGTTATGAGTATTTCTAAAAGAATTGTGAAGTATGGGCATTTATCACTGTTGTCTATTTGAATTGGGTTCCAGAAAACTTCACCGTAACAGGTAAATAGCGCCCTCTCTCGTCCCACCTTGCTTAGTAAGTTGTTACATTCCAACATGGCGGGCGATTCAGTGTCAACGAGAGGTAAAATATTCACCAGTTTAGTACTTGAATCCAGACCTTTAAAAACTGTTTGTGTTTTGTAACGAGTTTGCTTTCTCATTTTTATTTTACATAGAAGAAAAGCAAATTTTTGTGTTATTTTTAGGCAGTAATTAGTGATTATTTGGACTTAAAATTCCATACGTACTGTCTGGGCCACCGCTCACACCTCCTGCACAAAGCCTATGGGCCGAATTTTTGCACTCCTTAAAGCTATAGTCCATCATTTGCAGCTATCCGAAAAGTAACTGGCGTAATTATTGTTGAAAAACAAACATGGTTGAAAGATAGTAAGGGGACTAAACTCCCTGTGAAATTAGCTGGAGTTAACCAGCCCTGAGTTTTATCATTGGGTTGTCTACTACTACTAGTAGTCAGGTAGTACTCAGTAGTAGTAGTATTACTAATACTATTAGGGTAATCCTTACTTTTAGGACACCTCTATTTTGTACGAGTTCTGTTCAAAACTGACTTTTGCAGATGACTGTCCAATACCAAAGTGACTTTTGCAGGCTAAAGAAGTCTTTTTTCTTCAGACAAACTCATGTTAGTTATAATTTTGAAAGCACTTTCAAAGAAAATGTGACTTTCCTACCTTTTTTTGCAGTTCGCCATCTTGCTTTTTAAATTTATTTTCTGTTTGTCATCGTCGTCTTTAACCCCTCATAAATCAAAACCCTGCCCTCTTCCTACAAAATCAAACCTGCTGATATTCAAGAGGTGTCATTGCCAAATGTTCGAATGTGTCATGAAATATCAGAATGTCACTTTTGAGTGTCATTTAGTCAGCTGTTTTGGTGAGTCTTTTAACCTTATATAGGAAAGGGGTCCTAAAAGTAAGGATTACCAGTATTAGGGCTGGAGCTACTTTTTCTCGTAAACGATAGTATAGGAAAAAAAATTTGAAAAATGTTCAATTTTGTCCCCGTTACACACTAATTGCAACTGCAACTCACCCAAAACTCGCCTGGAATAACCATTACACAGGTCCTTGAAGTAAAAAACGATCCACGATGAAGATTCAGCCTACAATTGCAGTGAAAACAGGAGGAATAACCGCTAACCTGACAACCTTGCTGGATTGGCCAGGACCGCAATTGGTTTGTGCACAAAAAAAATTGTGTACAATGAATGGCGGTCGATTATCAGGCACAGAGCGCTGTCAACTACTCGTTTTTGCCGGCTGCGCTGGCTGTTGGCGCATGACGTCACGCCAGCAAGGTTGTCAGGTTAGCGGTTATTCCTCCTGTTTTCACTGCAATTGTAGGCTGAATCTTCATCGTGGATCGTTTTTTACTTCAAGGACCTGTGTAATGGTTATTCCAGGCAAGTTTGGGTTGAGTTGCAGTTGCAATTAGTGTGTAACGGGGACAAAATTGAACATTTTCCAAAAATTTTTGCCTATACTATCGTTTACGAGAAAAACTAGCTCCAGCCCTAATAGACAACCCAATGATAAAACTCAGGGCTGGGTAACTCCAGCTACTGTGAAATTATTCTTTCTGGGAAGCTGTCATTTTGAAGTAATCAACGAAAGAAGGCATTTCCAACGGTGATTCTAATAAGAAGCACCGTAGGAAAATTTAAATTAGTAGTCCGTTTGTTATTCAGCGCAGCGCGCACAAGTATTGGAACGACGCACACGTGCGCGCGGTTGTTATAATTCGTCGGATCAGAGCGCGACGTCGCGTATAGCTACAATTCAAGACATGATTCAGTAACTTTTGATTTGAAATTGAGATCTTAGAATGCTGTTTTTCTCGGAATGTACAGCTGAAGCTTAGCTGAAACTTCATCAGGTTAGTTGCTTAATATCCTTCATTAAATTTTGAACTCTTTTGTTGCTTCAAACGAACAAAATGCACAAATTACAAATGATGGACTGTAGCTTTAAATAGTGTTTCTTCATCAGATTTACAACTTTTGATACTTTCAGGTCATATTAAGGAATAAGAGTGGCGGCCCAGTATAGAATTCTTTCCATAAAATTCCAATTCCTCCAGATCCAGGGCCATGAATCAGAAAGAAAAATAAAATCTTCTGTAAAATGAAAGATTTGATAAATTAAATAAAAATAAAAAACTAAAAATAGGCCTTAGTATATATATTTTTGACTAAATTTTGAGAACCCCTCTCCGAAAGAAAAAAAATCCATCAAGATTCGAACCCTGCACCTTTGGCGTTTAAATGCTTCAAGCGATGTGGGAATTTTAAAACCCAATAGATGTGGCGATCGTGTAGTGTAGGGCCCGGTTCCTTATAGTATAAGGGAACAAAATCCACTTTAGAATAATTGGACCTACCAAACTTGTTGGCGACATTCTAAATAAACAGTTATGTTATAGATACAGGGCAGTGTTTTGATTTTTTGAGAGAAATTTCGGGGTAAAATGACGATGACATCCTGGCGACAACAGGCGACCCGAAAAATAGTTGGCGATCACCTCGCAATGTACCGTGAGCACGCATGGCGCGCTGAATCGCAAGGCACAAACCGCGCCCGAAAATCGAGATTTCTACCCCAAGAATCGGTTCAAAATTGCAAAACGGGTGTCATTAGAATTGAGAAAAGTCTGCTTTTGATTGTAAATGTGATTTTTGAGCAATAAAAAACATTTTTGACTCTAACTTGATCAAACAAAACAGGGGCCCTACACTTCACGATCGCCATAGATTTGCAATGTTGCAATCCCGTAACACTGACACTAGGCATGGAAAAATCACAGCTTCTGTCAAAATGGCCCCTCTGTTTTTGCTCACCATACATTGCCATAGAATGAAACTGACATTTTATTTTGTGTTTCGTATCTAATTGACCGTTTATGTAATTGTCATCTTTTTTCCCCTTTATTTCAGGAAAAACAGTGGTTGTATCCTTTCAATGCTAGATGGCTAATTAATGCTCAAGTATTAGAAGTGCACTATGTAAACTGTGTTATTAGACTGAACTTCCAAGGAGAATTCCCATCCAGAAATGGAAATTATTTGTTTGATATGTTTTAGTTGGAAAAGATGGTAGTTTTGTTGCTAATGTGACAACGATACTTGGGTTGGAATTCTTGATCCTTGTCTACATTAGTTATGGCTTAGTCCCCATTTCATCCTGACTTCAATAAGAGTCTGAAAGACCATCACACCAATAAATACATGTAGTATTGTAATTTGATTATACCTTGACATTCTTGAATATTACAGACACTGGCCACACCCAAACCGAGTAGTGATTAGCCTTGGTCAAGGCGTTTGTCATTATTTGTCTGTACGAGGTAAACGATCGGTGGCATATCCTCGCTATGTGCATTAAAAATTCAGCGCAAACTGCGACCTCATGCGGCCACTACTTTATGCGAATTATTTGTATCCGATCGAACGCCTTGATCGTATCATCTGCGAAAGCTTATGTTTTTTTTTATTTTGCGCTAGATTTCCAACGCACGACCTCATTTACGAATATAGATAAGTCTAGGCGGAGCTAATATGTGGAGTGTCCAATCACACCTTGGTAAAACTCGACGTCATCAAATCATTTGCAGCTATTCGCCGTTTGCGGACGTTTCAAAAACCTCATTTTGTGTGTGCATTGGTACTGTGTGTAATGTGAGACATCGTCACAAAATGTGGGTGTATGTATTATGTACAGTACAGGTACAGTACAGTACGTCTCCCCAGTACCGCCCTCTAACTATATGCAAGTTTCCACGCAACGATTGACCAAAAAGGAAACAAATTTGAAGGTCAGCTTAGGCTATTAGCATAATGAGCACCGACCCCAAAAGCTCACATGGACGATTGGACCAATGCGTACGTCAGGATCCAAATGATTTGCATAAAATAGTGGTCACATGAGGTTGCCGTTCGTGCTGTATTTCTAATGCACATAGCGAGGATAATGCTGCCGATCGTTTATTGGGTACAGACGAATAATGATGAACGCCTTGACCAAGGCTAAGTGGTGATTTGCTTTTCATAATCTAAACCCTTGTTGGTGTTTGGCCCTTCCCACATTCAACTCCCTCCCCCCCCCCCCACATCATACAAACTTTGGCTGTTGCTTTTTACTTTACTGTTTAAAGGGGCACTAGGTCCTGAAATCCCCGAAAATTTTATGTTTTGGATTGTTTACTTAGCCTATTTCAAACATCTGGTTGAAAGGAAACAAACCTAATGTCTTACCGTTCCCGAGAAACGACAAAAACCCAGCTTGTTTACATCAGACATGACGGAGTACAAATACGTTTTCCGTGTCGTTCTCAGTGTACGCTATACACGTTGTGTGTCGCGGGAACAACGCGCTGTGACCAATCACCAATGCAAAAAAAATGTGGTTTCTTCAACGTCCGCAAAAGGCGAACACTTTACGCGTACAAATGAAATCACAACTAGCATCCAAACAGCTCGAATTTATGGGGTCGCAAAAGTGGACCCCGAAATTCGTTCTCGCACGCATAATACAGGAATAACACAAAAACGCCCAGTTTTGAAAGGATAGATGTGTGGATGTTTATATCCTACTTTTAAAGTTATTTCCGATTATCATCATCTCGTTCAAAGCGTGTTTTGTAGCCCAATTAGGCTGTTCCAGGACCTAGTGTCCCTTTTAAAATTCCCTGTTTTTTGTGTGTATTCCTTAACTTATTACTAAAAAACAGCTTTCATCCCTTCCTCTGCAAATCTTGCTGTACCTGAATGGCTGGTACTTTGCCTTGTTCTGGATCGGCGAACTGCTTTTGTTCATCTACAAAGGTTTGTGTGGTCCAGTTCGTTAACCAGTTTGCATCAGATGCCGTGTTAACACGCACTGGCTGTTTTTATACAGAGTCACAGCTGACTGATTAAAAGCTACACTTTTTTAAAAATATTTTGCGAACCGAAGCATTCTGTTTTTAGATGGGGATTTGTGGGGTGCTGTGGTCCAATGGTTACGGTGTTGGACTAATGTGCCGTGGTACATGGGTTCGAGTCCTGACCATGGGAACATGGTGCTTGTGCTCTTGAGCAAGGCAATTTACCATTGTTGCTTCGTCCTTCGGATGGGACGCAAAGCCGTAGGTCCCGTGTGTTGTGTAATGCACGTTAAAGAACCCAGTTACACTTATCACTAAGAGAAGGGGTTTGCCCCGGTGTTTCTGGCAGTGGCTGCAATATGCGCCGCAGCACTTTGTAAATATAATGGGTCTCGTAGTTCTCATTATAAACTTGAGGGCCTCCATGGAAAGCAGTGTCTTGCACTGATCGGAGTTTACCCTCATTAAAGATGACGTAAAAAAACCTGAAATAACAGATGTACATGTAATAGTGAGGTTTGGTTTTCATGAAAATAAAGTTGAATTTTTCAATTTTCTACCCAGCGACATTGCTTCCGTATCCTGGAGCTAATTTTGCTGCTGAGGCAGTCATACTGATCTTCATGGCAGGCATTGAGTACGTCCGCTTGTTTCTGGGTAAGAATCATTGTGCATTCAAATACATGTATCCTCAATCTGCCATGTACAGCCTTCTGATTAAAAATATATTCGTGCTATCATTAATTAACACTAACCTTCCCAAAATCCTCTTTTGCAAAATGGAGGATTTTGCAGGATTAAGGCTACATGGCAAAAGTGTGTTGCTGATTTCCAAGGATGCTTTAACCAATTTTTTTTTGGAAAAAAAGATCATCATTTAAACATCATTTACGAGATTGGAGTAATTGAATCAGCTATCCTGAGCTATAAAATCAAATTTTAGGCTACAATATTTATTCGGGGGGGGGGGGGGGACAAAAGTAAGGGGAGGGGTAACAAACGATATGATAACCCCCCCCCCAACTTTAAAAAGTGGAGCCCCGTCCCCCACCGATTGACGCCCATGCCGAAGGCGTGTCCATCCGCCTCGCTAGAGGGGTCTGATTGCATTTCCTGTAATTTACACCATATTTTACAGCATACATGTAGGTCTCCTCTCCCTCACTGCTGCCCTTTTTGTCTTGTCATGCGCTCCGTCTCGTTGCGTGCCCTCTGTCTCGTCGCGTGCCCCGTCTCGTCGCACGCCCCGTCTTGTCGCGCGCCCTCTGTCTTGTCATGCGCCCTCTGTTTCATCGCACCCATGCTGTCTCTTCACAGTTGTTTGTCCCGTCACTATTTTCATTTCAGTAAAAGTACGACAGAGCCCCAATAATAACTGTTGCCTTATGTAAAACTAATCCTAGCAGGCTACGGTCCGACTTGAACTGCCCCTTTTGATTTTGTCTCTCCCACTTTTTTTCTCTTTTAGAGTCTCTCTCCCTCTCTATATCTTGCTTTTTTATGCCCCGCGGCGAAGCCGAAGGGGCATACTGTTTCCGCCTTGTCCTTCCGTGGGTGGGTGGGTGGGTGGGTGGGTGTGTGGGTGTGTGTGTGGGTGGGTGGGTGAGCTTGTCTTACATACGCAGTGTGGACTTCCGAACAAAACACGTCCACATAATGTAGGTAGCACCGACGTTGTGTGGACTTGCCCACGTCCACACAGTGTTTCCCCATTTCTGGAAAACAGGTTTAGAGGCATTTTTGGGTTAGGTTTATCTGTAGCAGAATGAAGAGAAACACTAAAGGGAATCATAGAAAAAAAATTGGGTTGAAAGAGTTTTCACAGTTTGAGAAAAATGAGTTTTTCCACTGGTGTTCCTTAACTACACGAAAAGAAAGGAAAGTCCACACTACTTATGTGAAACAAGTCTGTGTGTGTGGGTGTGTGTGTCCGGACAAATCTTGTCAGCGCGATAACTTGAGAAATACTTTACATATGAACTTCAAATTTGGTTTGTGGATTGTCCTTGGCAATTCTAAGAAGCCTTTTGCATTTGGGGCCAAAAGGTCAAGGGTCAAGGTCACAGTGGCTGAAACAATAGAAATTTTGTCAGCGCGATAACTTGAGAAATACTTTACATATGAACTTCAAATTTGGTTTGTGGATTGTCCTTGGTAATCCTAAGAAGCCTTTTGCATTTGGGGCCGAAAGGTCAAGGGTCAAGGTCACAGTGGCTGAAACAATAGAAATTTTGTCAGCGCGGTAACTTGAGAAATACTTTACATATGAATTTCAAATTTGGTTTGTGGATTGTCCTTGGCAATCCTAAGAAGCCTATCGCATTGGGGGTCGAAAGGTCAAGGGTCAAGGTCACAGTGGCAAAAACAATAGAAATCTTGTATTTATTCTGAGATCATAGGGATTAGGGATTAATTCATATAAAACCTACAGAAGACACTAATGCTGTCAATGAACGTTCCATTTGACCAAGGTACATGTAAGTTGATGTTAGAGTGGTGTTATGTCATGGAAACAGTCACGGTTGCGGGGCATTTGTGTTTGTAAACACACCTGACTTGTTTCTGAATGAAAAAAGGGGGGTGGGGCGTGTGCCCACTATGCCCTCCCCCATGATGTGAAACAACAGATTGGTCGATAACGGCTATGCACAGCTGAGTTTGACCATAACTTTAACCTTTTGGATACTGATTCTGTTAGCCCACCATGCGAACCTCGGATCGTATCCTGATCTTTTTCTGTTGTTCCTCCAGGCAAGAAGGGTAACCTGACGGAGAAGATCATCCATCTGGGCGTCTCCCTGGGCATCGGTCTAGCCACCTTGTTCTTTGGCCTGTACCTCTTCCTATGGCAGACCTACGTCCTCCGCATTGAGCTGATCCTGGTCGCCATTGAGATGGCCTTTCTCTTCTTTGAGGCTATCTTTGGACTCATAGCCATCATCACATTCGCCAGGTACTTTTGTTTAATTTGATCCAAGTACTGCTAACTGGACTTGTGTTTGAGCCCTGAAACCTCAAAATTGAGTCCCATTCCACTCCTGGGTCATTTAGGTTGAGTCTGAATCTGAGTTGAGACACTTAAACAAATTCAATATGGGGTGATGCTATACAATAGCACTGCCCAGCCTTTTTTACTAGTCATAAGCTACAAGTAACAGTCAGTCACTGTCAGTCAGTGAGATAGGTTCAATGAGGACATGAGGCTGGCCCTCTGGGACCAGCAAAATCATCTTATTTTTTCAACCAAACTTTGTCAAAAGGATCAGTAGCCCAGCCCCAACATTTCACATGACCAAAAAGGGGGTGAAAGATCGTCTTCATCCGACCTACATGTATGGGTTTAAAGGTCAAAATAGGTCAAATTTCAAAAAAAGCTGAAATGACAAAAGTAGCGATGTCAACATGTTGGCCCTTTTATCACACATTAAAATATGTCCGTGGTGATCTCTTCGTACGGTCTGACTTACAGTTCTGGGGTCAGAGGTCGAAATCGGTCAAATTTCAAAGAATCTCAAAAGAGAAAAGTAGCGCTGTCAACATGTTGGCCTTGGTCAAACATTACAAAATGTCCATGGTTCATCTGACCTACAGCTATGGGGTCAAAGGTCAAAATAAGGTGAACACGCATTCCTTGGCCCGCAGCTTCCGAGATTCGATCTAGCTTGCTTTTTTAAAGTAACTCACACTTTTTTTGTCTCTTCTTTACAGGGCAGAGTCATTTAGATGATCAAGAGATACCCACGTATAAGTATGCCAAAGTCTAGTGAGTATGTTAGCAATGTTTGAAGCAATGACTTTTCTGAAATAACGGCGAAGCATCGGGGAGCGTCTGCAATGCATCCAAAGATAAAGTATGTATTGTTGATTTTGATGTCATTGATTCAGCCCACTCCAGTGTGAACCTTAATGCAGCATCCTGCAATGAAGCAACTACATGTATAACAGTTCCTGAACAATGCTGATAACTTCAAAGCTGGGAGACTCTTGGGAAGTTCTGAAATGTCATATCATCATACAAAGCAGTGACGGTATTCAAGATACAAGCGCTACATTGTTTTATTGTGTTCGTTGCAGTTGGGGTGAACAAAATGTGAAGTGTTGCAGAATTACAGAAGCTTTGTTTGGAAAGGTGTGTTGTAGAAGTAGCTAAAGATCAAGCTTGGGTTGATGATGTCAAAGTAATAACAGAGAGGTGTTTTGTTTTTAATTGTAAATACATGTACAATTGCTACATACAGATGTAGTATTTATTTTATAAAGGAGGAAATACGTGACATACCAAGACCAAATCCGTCCATGGTAGTACATTTTTTTTTCAAACTTAAAACATGTACATGTACTTACCAATATGTGATCTTAGTGATTAATCATCAATGTATCCTTTTTGTAAGTTTGGAAATAAATATGTTGCAGTAATACTGACCATGCGAAATTACAGTGTACAAATATTTAAAGCCATGTGATAAACAGTGTTCAGAGTTGTACAATTTAATATAAACATGTATCATATGTAATTATTGTACATATAAGACGATGAATCAAATTTCAATAAATTCGCTTCACAACTTGGATGTTTTTGTGTTAGTTTGTATTTGCATTCTCTAGAGTAGCTAAACCATCTTTGTCAAAAATTGGATTTAAAATCAGAGTATTTGGGCTGTACATGGTGTCTCCAAAGTACCCATCATCAAATGTGATTAATCACAAATCCACTGACTTTTTCAGGCATTTATCCGGGAAAGATCTCGGCCATCGAGTTACGAAAAACTTTGAAACTCGGTACATGCATAGAGCAACTCGTTATAAACATACACAAGAAATGTCATGACTATAGGTCAAAGTGTTTTGGAATTATGGCTAATTAATTATTCATATGTACGAATGGTAATTGTGCTCTGTGTACACGACGTATATGGGAAAGTTCAATTTTACGGCGCATAGCGCCGGAAAATTTTTCGCTGCGTGGCAACCCGTGGTCCGAATTTTATGTTTTTGGTATCAAAAGATGCGCAAGGCTCGAGGCTTACAAGTCATAACAGCTCGGGTAGGAAAAACTTTTTTTTAAGGCTATCACGGAAAAAGTTGAGGGGGGGGGGGTTTCGGATTCCGCCCCCGGCCCTTTTAGGGTTAAACTACTTAAAACTGGTCTTATCGCCTTATAACTAGGAAAATAATTGTGAAGCGAGTTGAGACAATACAGTCGAACCCCCTGGTCGAACCCTGGCAAGAAGAGCACTGTTAATACAACGTCCTGCTTATAACGAGGACACTTTTTGTCCCCGGAGTCTGTTTTCCTTTGTTTTCCATTACTGATAATACAAGGTACCTGTTATAACGAGGTAATTTAAGTCCCAAGGACCATGTTATAAAGGTGTACCTCGGTATAAAACCACCGTATTATCTGCCATCATCCATGGCAAATTGTATTAATGTTATATACGTCCTGCTTATAACGAGGACACTTTTCCCCGGAGTCTGTGTTCCTTTGTTTTCCATTACTGATAATGCAAGGTACCTGTTATAACGAGGTGATTTGTTAAGTCTCAAGGACCTTGTTATAAAGGTGTACCTCTGTATAAAACCACCGTATTATCTGCCATCATCCATGGCAAATTGTATTAATGTTATATACGTCCTGCTTATAACGAGGACACTTTTCCCCGGAGTCTGTGTTTTCCTTTGTTTTCCAATACTGATAATACAAGGTACCTGTTATAACGAGGTGATTTGTAAAGTCCCAAGGACCTTGTTATACTGAGGTGTTCCGCTGTATAAAACCACCGTATTTGCCATCATCCATGGCAAATTGTATTAATGTTATATACATGTACGCCCCAACTACAGGGTCCAAACTATAGTTAGGACAGGTCCAACTACAATGCATATAGTTGGTAATGATGATGTCGAAGTAATACTAGAGAGGTGTTGGTACAAAATATAGTTACGGCGTAAGTTACACCAGTGGTAAGAGTACAGTGTAGTAGGCCAATGCGTAACAATTACACCCATAGTAGGCCAATCTAGTTTAGTAAGAGATTGAAACTGGAGGCATTGATAGTTTTCAAGACGGCAGTTAATGCATGCCCCTTAAACGCTGCTGACGAACGTCTGGTTTTTCGTTGTTAAAACCTGTGATCATTTTTGTTTGCCCCGTTCCATAACGTCTCCGGCACACAGTTGCATGGTGTCATCATTCGGCGCAGCACAGTCAAACCAGTTTCATCATTGGGACTTCTGTTGCACGGAGCTTATAAAAAGCTGACAAGCAGCCACGCGCTGGCCCGTATAGCATTTCAGCATCTCCCCCTACAACTTCAAGATCTCCCAGTCAACTATCCGGTAGCAGCAGCTAGCAGCCTAGGCAATCGGTGATGTATTGGGTGCCGTTTCTACCCGCCACTTTGACGCGCTTTTGCGAACAGTGCAAGCGAACCCATAGTCGCAACATTCGCACGATTAATCTTCCTTGACGTCTTGCGGTCGACGGGAGGGGAAAAAACCAGAATGAAAAGAACAAGAAGAAAGTTGCGAGACGGGTAATGAACGGCAGGAGAGAAGCATCTTGACACATTTGGACGCCATAAATCTAAATAATTTCATATCATACACAATAAGTGCGGGTTCGAGCATCGTGTCGAGCGGGCACGCCCGTATTTTTTTTTTATTTTTTTTTTGGCGAGAGGGATTTTTTATTGAGGGTCTTGTCCAAATTGACGTCCCGACACCTGATCTTGAAATATTTTCGTCAGGTGGATTTTGAGCCCACTTCAGTGGGGACATGGGACAAAGACCATACTAATGTATTTGAGCATTGGCGAGTATGATCATAGGCCTATGTTTTTTTTTTCTTCTCGTGTCTGCGTGATTCACGTAGACGCGCAGCTATTGCTGGCATTTTGTAAGCAGACGCAAAGTCTGCCCAGTTGGTCCCAACTTTGCCATAAACTTTGCCATTAAGGTACACGTATTCCCAAAACATTGTTTGAAAAGAAATGAGGGACTTCTAGGTATCGGCTTAATACATCGCAGGAAACCACAGTGAGTAGGTTGTAAGACCATGGAGCTAAGACTAACAGTTATAGTTGATATAATGGAAAACTTTTTTGGCTGTTCCATAAGGGCCAGCCTAATGTTGTTTTTTTCCTATCTCACTGACTGACCGACTGACTGCTACTTGTGACGTACAGGGGTTGTAGGCTGTTGAAGAGTACTGGGCAGTGCTATCGTATAGGATTAACCCGTATTAAAAACAGTGGATGGGTTAGAATTTTGTTGGCTCTGACTTTAATAGATTGGTATTGGTCCAGCTTACTAGGCTCGCCTGTAGTCTTGTTGAAATGTGGGAGCTAGCAGCCTGGCGCGCATTATTATTACGCAGACACCATTTCTCACAATCTCACAATTTCATACGAAACCAAAATCAACACAAATGTAAATGCGCCCAAAACAGAAGGATACCCCGTTTAATAATTTTGGTTCTCCAATTCAAAATGGTCAAAACATTTACCTTTTGAAAGTAAAAACTACACGCACATGATTGTGCTGGCCCGTGGCTTGTACCAAATTTGATTGACTATAGGCCCAATTCACATAGGGATGTATTTGTGAATTGTCTTTGTTTTGCTGAAAGAACACACACTTTTTTGTGATCCGTGGGCAGAACTTTAAAACGGTGGTTGTGTTTAAAATTCCGTAACTTCAAAAGTACATGAGTGATTTGAATGATTCTTGTACTAAGAGAAAGCTTATTGATTGGGCTTTCATATCCTAGATTTTGAAAGTGCTACATGCAGAACTTTATTAAGAAAATGGTCCTGTCATTTGGATTTCCTTTTTTTTATACTCACCCTGAACATTGGTATACGTTTCAGTCAGAATAATGTAAAAAATATATGTGCCCATAAAATGAGGAATCCGTTTTTGATTATTGAAAGTTCGTTCACGGGAAAGAAATAAAAGCCTTTAATAAGAACGGCAGATTCTGCTAGAAAAAAAATCCTCTCGTTCGGAATGAGAGCCGCACAGAGACAAAAACATCACCAGCACGAAAACAACAACAGCTCGATCGGCGGGGAGACCCAGATTCCGGGCCCCGCCGGCGGAAGTTTGTCTAGGCTCTACGGATTTTCAGGCTAAGTCTCCGGGCTCAACTACCTTCGCTCACCGGGGGAAGCGGACGGGTATATATAAGAATTCCCCTCACACTTTTGGAGAACAAAAGGTCGATAGCGGGTGAGTAGTTTGTCCCGCTCATGGGACTCGTTTTTCTCACACCGATGACGAGAGGTGTGTTGTGGAGTCATTTTATAGGGTTGGTTGTTCCTAAAATCGAAAATATTAAGTTAGCTGCTTTGTTTTCTCTCACAAACTTGATTTGATGTATAGGCCTGTTTGCATATAAATATTTTTTTCTGTAAACCAACAAGCAAAAACACAAATGAATGATATAGATTGCCCAAAGACAATATAAACTTTTTTAAAAGTGTCGGAAAATTCCAAGGAATGTGACTATTAAACCAACCCTACCGTCCGTACCCAACAGACCGTCCATCATATTGCCTTTGCAAGTTATTTATAACATTTTTTTTAATTAGCCTGAATTCGGTGTTGTGTGCCGATATATCCAGCTTATGAATTAGTTAGTTAGCAGCGGTGTCATCTCCGCTGATTTACCATATCAGATTTTGTTTCTTATAGGATTTTGTTTCCAAGGGCTTTTTTGGTTATGAGTAGTTAAGAAATTCTGATTAGGTCGCAGTTGTTAACATCCACTTAATTTTCAAGTACATGTACAGCGGTGTTTTTTTTTCTTTGTATCTTCTGAAGTACAAGTCCGATTGGGTTGAATCGTTAGTTAGTACATAGACAGGAACGTGTTTTTAGATGTGAAATTAAGTGACGTTATAATGACGTAATCACGTGTCATGTGACCTCACATTAAAGGGACACATTGCGGAGGCCTATATATATCTAGAGAACTAAAGGTCCGGTTCAGTTGTACTTGGTGTTATAGTGTTATGTATTATACGTGATATTTAGTGACGTCAGATGAATCATGTTGTCATCGCATGTCACAGAGCCATTTCAAAACAGACGAAACAGCTTGTGTTCGTACCTCGTACACGAACACATTTCTAGTTTTGGTTTGTTCTTGTTTGTAAAATTAACATCTCTGTATAATTTATAGAAGGCCAACACTAACAGCGTATCTACCCCCGTTATTCCATGAGCAGTTTAAGAGAAATGTCTTCGTTTTGATGAGAATCTTAAGATGCACCTATTTATCCTCGAGGTTGGTGACATGATGCCGATATTTGACGGTCGCGAGAGGGGCCCGTGAAAATTAACTAACCAACCGAACTGGTTCTTCTGCTTGCCTGGAACTTAAGTTCTTGTCCTCAGTGGTAAACAACATGATGCACTCTGCACTTACACAACGGTCCTATTTTTGTTTTTCCACCACAAAAACCCGGACACCAACGAAGCGAGATCGTCCGCGCGGAATGAACTTGATCCGCCATCTCTCATCGTGCTCAGAAGTTGACAGAAAAAAGCCCGCGGATATGTTGGGACCGCACCGCGCATGCCCGATCGGTTGCCATCCCCAGGGTTTCCATGCCTGGTGCCCGGCACCACCTGCACTGTCCTTGCGTCATCATACGGTCGGTCACCGGCGCCTTTTTTTTTAGTAGACCCGTGGGATTTGAGTGGTGGTATTTCAACATGGGTAACCATGTAGTGAAAAATACGTCAGTTCCCACTCGGAGCCGGCTTAGCGCTAACACCGCCACGAATTACATCCAGAGGGTTTTTGTGCGTGCAACTTCTCGCAGCCTCATTCAAGGTGAATATCCGGCAGTTATTCTGATATTTTTAGAGGGCTGTTTTTCGGTTGATATTTTTGGTTTTGTTTCGAACACCGGGTCTTCATGTTGGCGACGATGGGCAGCACGCCGGGGTACGTGGCGGACCAGCACGGACCGATGTGCCTCCAGTCCTTCGGTTACGGGCCCGGCGGGGCCGCCGAGTCCTCCCCGCCCGACTACCACTGCTTCACCGACCAGGCCTCCCCGGGTGTGTACCGGCCAAACTCGCGCGAGAACATGGACCCCCATGACCGAGACATGGGTATGGAGGACTTGAGGGACGTGGCAGGCGGCGGTGGAGGAGGGGGTGGAGGGGGTTTCATGAACGGGAAATACAACCACAGCATCAACAACGGCGAGAACGGGACTGGACACTACCCACACGTCTTGGTGCCGGGCCACGATCACGAGAATCATCATTCAGGTATGTTGCTGTTGATCTTGTATTCAGTTCACACTCGGGCGCCATTTTCGCTTGATCATAGCTTTCAATTAAGCTTATGCAACCTCAAAACAAAGTCCAAAATTTGTCTATTGTACAGTGATTGGTTTCAACAGACTTCCGTCCGTAGGCCTATTTCTACACCTTTACAATGTGACTTTAGGAACCTTAGACTTAAGGTAGCTAATAAAATATTTCTGCTTCAAAACAGACAGTCGGCTTTATTGTATTGCTGATGACTTCAACGATATTTAATAAAGGAGTATTACTTTGTCCAACAGGGGAACGACAATGTTTGATTTGGGCGTGTAAGGCGTGTAAGAGGAAAACCAACATCTTCGACAAGAGGCGGGCGGCGACGGACCGGGAGAGGCGGCGCCTGACCAAAGTCAACGCGGCCTTCGAGGTGCTGAAGCGCCGGACCTGCACCAACCCGGAGCAGCGAATGCCCAAAGTGACCATCCTCCGGAATGCCATCCAGTACATCGAGCGATTGCAGATGATGCTGCACGAGGCCGAGTCCACGCCGCTGGTGCACCACCCGGGACGCGGCGTGCTGCGTGGCAGTGATGGAGCGCTGCTTTCCTCCATGGACTCGCGGCTTGGCACGGTAAGTCCAAAAAAGCACGCGGAGACAGAGGATGCTCAACCGTGCGGTCCACCGGCGCGCCGGTCGGCCGGGGCTAGCTCTGGAATGCGGAGCTCTCCAACTGTAATTCAGTTAATGGTGGGTTATACATCAAAATTAGCGGCAAGGTTAATGGTCTGGGGTTTAGGCAATGGTAGAGATTTATCTATCCCCATATCATCGTAATGTCGGATCAGTCCGTAGGTAACGTGGAGTACATGCATGTGGAAAGCCAGCGGGGTTTTCTAGTCCTATTTTTAATTCTCAGAAAATTTTCAAGAACCTTTTGGGGTCAAATCCGACTGAATACACCGCTACATGCCAACATGTCTTGAAAAAGCTCCCAAAACATTGTTGCACAAAATAAGTGAAGAAGAGCTTAAAATAAAAAAAAATCGAGGAAAACAAGTCCTTATTGCATTTTTTAAGGCAAAATGAGCAAGAATACATGCTCAAAATCTGTGCAGAAAAGATTATTGAAGAGGAAATACTTTTCATTCGAAACAAAAATATCACTCAGCAGCCTGTGGCTGTCAATGTGGCAACTCATTCCCTTCAAGTGAAAATAGGTCATGAATCATATTGGTTTTTCATACTTTTTTGCATTATTATCTGTATTGATAATTCATAAGACATTGTTTTGATTAGGCCTACATGTCAAAATAATTCCCTCAGTTCAATGCCATTTTATAAATGCTCTCTTTAAAACCAGGACTTGAAAAACCCACAACTTGTAATGTCATAACCAGACACTGGGCCTAAGTCCTCTCAAAACAAAAGGTGACTCTTTTGACGGAACAGATTGTAAACGCATCACGGTCCGTTTATAGTGGTAGACCGTATTGTCTCCCCTTCAGAAGTGCCCGTGTGTTCCCACTTTCGGCACGGTGACCGGATGGAATGTGTCTCACGTGGCGAGTGAAATCACGCTCAGCCCCGGGGACTGTCGGGTCGAATCACGGTAGGGGAACGTGGAAGGGTGCGAGAATTTTACTGTGAATACGAGAAGATGGCGAAGGGCTAGGTGCATCTATAGCTACAACATTTCAGAATTTTATCCAAGTACACGTTTTTGGCGTGCATTCTATCCATCTGTTTGTTAGTTTCTCGATTGCTTGTCTGTCTAAATATTGGGATGTTTCCTGTATAAAGCCCGATTTATACTGCACAATACTATTCGTGACGTCACGGCAAGTATTCGCGCGCTGTACGAATTCGCAAAAAGTTGTCCGGCGAATTTTGCCGAGACTGTTTCATGACGTCAATTTCTGCAGAATTAGCCAGATCATTAAAATGGCAGGTTTCCTGGATTTACCGAATTAATTTGTCCTGAATATTACGTCGATTTATACGCTTTTTGAGGGTACTTAATTCGTTCCAAATTATGTCATCATAAAACAAACAAATTGACGTTATCCATCTTTTGAATACATCCGCTCTTTACATTGCATATTTTGGGACCGGATTGTCGTTTTATTATTGTCTGATTGGTTTGATTTTCAGAATTGAGGGTTCCATTTCCTCACAACACCAATTAGTTGGTCCTAAACTCCTAACAGTGCGTCTTTCTATTGTAAATCAGACGTCCTTTCTTGAATCCATTTAATAGATCACTTTGCCTGATTAAAACCTGATCAGTACATTTTACCGTCATAAAATAACAAAATTATAATAATCACGATGAAAATCCACATAAAACAAAGAGAAAGAGGCGTGTATACGTGACAATATTACGCATAACGAAGGAAATCCCCAGTCGTTGCTTATTCGACGGTGGGTGACGAGTTGGCGGGTATTTTTTTCTCTCCATGGATCGTAAATCTCGGCTCGGCCTCATTTCCCCGTTTTATTGCCGAAATTTGATTGAGAAAATAATGAATTCGGAGCTTTATCGCTTCTTGCGGGCATGCAGCGGGAGACGTTGATATTTTGTGCGGTAAAAATATCTGTGTTAAACGAGTTCTGTTCTGGCTTCGTTTTCAAGTTCTGTGAAATTCACAATCACAGGGTTTTATGAAATGTGGCTTCCACATTTTGGTAATTACATAGATTGAAGAAAAGAGCGTCCAGAAAATGAGCTACACGATGCAAACCGAATGTTATCACCGGTGATGTTGTTGAACACAACCGAACAGAATCTCAGATACAAACAGTGTTCTATACAGCCACGTTCTTTTTGAAATCTTGTCATGGTAACCTGATGAAATTTCTAAAGCAGAATTTGATTTTCAACTGAGAGAAACCATTTTGTGGATGGGTTTGACTACAGGATCATTAATGGATGTGTTTAGACGTGGTTGATTGGGGTTGGCGTGAGTATGCGTGGCGATACCGCCGCAATGTCTAAATTTAGTATTGGCGAAGGACATAGCGGAATATATTTTTTTAAACTGCAAGTCGGTAGGCGAAAAGGTCTCCATCTTACAGTAGATAGTATAGACAGTTGATTTTAGATATAAGGAGAAGTAATGAATTGATGAAGTGATACCTGTATGAAGAAATCCCAACGGGCTTTGAAGTCTGACATTTGAAACTTAATACCAATCGAAATGACGTGAGCACTCAGGCCACTGTAAGTTTGAAATCCAGTTGTGATGAAATGATGACTTTAAATCGATCGCGGTCGATTGTATTTAGTAATGTTGTTGGTGACTGCTCTATGTTCCGACACCCAATATGTTCCGACACCCATATATGTTTCGAAAACCCACATATAAGATTGTGTTAGCCCATTTAGGTTAGGGTTAGGGCTAGGAACATTAGCAGTCGGAACACAGGGGTGTCGGAACATAGGGGTGTCGGAACATAGGCGTGTAACCATATAGTTTTCAATGAAAATACCTCTAACCCTTTCTCAGTCTTACACACCGTCATGATCATTTTTGAAGCATTTGATGAAATACATTTTCAATTTGGCCCTCAATCGGAACAAGCTGATGAGTTTGTAATCGCCTTTTTCCGGTCTCCCTCTTTTCGCCAGTATTCCCGTTCATGATTTTCGAGGTTCAGGGTCCAAATCCCGCCGATGCCTCCAGCGGTAGACGTGACTCAAGGCACTGATTTACACTATCCATAGTTTCTATGAGGGCAACCCTGCCATAAAGGCCAGATGTCAATTTTCCCGCTCCGTAATAAGGTTTCTTGCTAATTGATGTTGACCACACCGCGAAACATCATTTGTCAAGTTTTTTGTTCACGCCGCACGATCGTCTCGCCAAATATCAGTCCAATCATTTTGATCAAAACTCGACACGCTGAAAGGGGATTCCGTTTCATAAGATTCACGGCTTCGCCCCATTTCCCCAATCTTAAGACGCGATGAGGAACACTTTCTTTTCTCGGTAGGGGAGCCCGTAGTCCTGCGTGGGAATTAATTAATTGATTAAATCTCCGAGGCGACGATGGTATACGATGAAATTTTCTTGATTTTGGTTTTACTGCCACGGGAGCCGTCAACTCCTTTTTATGACTGCTTGCAGTAATTGCGCCGTGGCCGTGTTGAAATTCCACAGACTCCGATGTTTTTTGTGTGCATAGATTGGCCCAATCCGCCAAGGGACGATGTAATACGCTCTGCTCTCGTAAAACCGAAGACTGACCAACTTCCATCTGTGAATTCGTCTTTTTAATCGTCTATATATTCTTCGTTTGAAGCTGCTCTTTGAAATCTGGCATCGGAACTCATCAAAGTAGTTGATGTCATTACGTATAAACTGCCACTGTGTATTTCACTCAGGTTGAAAATGATTTCCGGATAAAATACTTTCCTTTACCAAAACAAAATTCATCAAAAATGTGTTAAATCGTGTTGTTTAAGTCGGTGCTATACGTCACTATAAAACTCTCGTTCTTGCAAGCATCCATTCTAGTGAAGTTTTATGATCACAGTAATTGAAACTTGTACAGAATAGACTTTTTAGGCATCTATTCGAGCTATACAAAATTGTACTCCCAAGGTAAACTGCGGCCGCAATTCTTTCGTCACTTAAGTCCAATTATAGCCGTCCCCGCCCGCCAACGACTGCCGCTAATTTCGCGTCATGCCCCTTCAATTTAATCCCCAAATATTTTCCTGTTGAGTTTCCCCTTCGTTGCGACCACAATCCATAAACTGTTTGTCCTTGATGGGTTGTCTTTGTTTTACTCAAGGACTCTTGTAAATAAGAAACAGGAGGTGTTTTGGTTCTATTCAGCAAGAAAGAAAACCAAAAATCGGTGTGTTTTTCTTGTAATGAAAGTTACTCGGCAGGGTATACAGGGTGAGTCAAAAAGAAAGTGACCCGGATTAAAAAAATTCTTTAAAAGCAATCAAATCTGATACACCAATGAAGCATGTCTTAAAAGAGAATGTTTGTCCACTCATTTGAAAAAAGAATTACTGAAATTGATCCACGCTATCAGAAGTTATGCATGTTTTACTAAAACGAACCCATTTTTATACCTGGCCATGGAATGCCAATGGATGAGCTGAGTGAGCATTACAGATTATGCCTACACACAGGCATAAAAAAAACCAAATGAGATTTATATAATTGAAATCAAAGCTGAAACATTATTTTTATTGTCAGATTTTGTGTTTTGATTATGAGGCGAAAGTCACCTTTTTTTCCCTGAAATATGATGGTAATATTTGTATGTTTTCCTTTGCAAGTTCTCGTTCATTCATGGAGGTGGGTAACCCTCCATGTTTCATTGTACTCAATGGGTATTCATCAGTTTGTAGAACGGTAAATGATCAGTGGTGGACAGCCGAGTTTTGTGATTTTTTTTATTGAAATAGACATAACTTGGGAATAGAGTATGCAAATGAAGTGAAATTTTCACAGTAAACAGTCAATAAGATGTACTCTATCCCCATGTTTTTTTTAAGAAATGGAGCAAGCCAAATATTTAAAAAATATTTTTCAAATTCGGTCACTTTCTTTTTGACTCCCCCTGTACACTGAGTTATGCAATCTCTCCTGCCTCTTGCAAACGTTTCTCATCTCTTGATAACACTTCGTCTTTTCTCATCTATCAATTACGAACTCATCGTAATGACTCGAGTCCAGGACTGGGACTCGAGTCCGTCTCGAGTCGCAATTTCGGTGACTCGGACTCGACCCGAGTGACTCGAAACTCGGACTCTGACTTGACTCAAGTGATGGCGACTATACAACACTGTATAATGTACAGTGTTTCATAAAGCAATGTGGACTGCAATTTATCTCTTAGAATATACTTTAATCTCGGCCAAATATCGTTGTAAAGCAAAGAATTCCTGTTGGATATGGTCAGACACTTTGCAATTGAGCGTGACACATACACGTTGACACACAGCCATTCGCCAAATTTGTTGGTAAGGCCCGTAAGGGTGGTAGATTTTGTAATCGCTATACATGTACTTGTATTGTCCAAATTTCGACATTCGCACCCCTATCTTGTCCTTGTTCTGTGGTACACCACACGCCGTCAGGGGTAGTTGTTATATAGGCCTACCCACCAACCTCAAGGGATCGATATAACTTTTAATTTTTCTGATCTACGAAAATCAGTGTACATAGGAAAGCAAACGAAACATCAGAGCTATTATGTATTGCAGTCGGAATTTCGTGCATCGTGAGAAGTTGTTGCGACAACAGGCGTTTCTTGCTTTGTTTAAAGCAAGGATGCGGAGACAACTTGATTTCCAATTGAAACCATCATAATAATATGCACCTAAATGATTTGGTTGTCAACAAACACCTTACCAGAAACTATTGATTTGGTGTCTTATCTTTTTTCCATTTATTGAAACAGTTATGCTGCAGCTTTATTAATGACGATCTACCAAAGCGGTAGCCTCAGACGCACAGAGACACTGCAAAAACAGCGGTGCTAGATTTAATACGTTGGTGTAATAGGTACACTGGCGTAAAAAAAAATAACACTAGTGGCCCTATAATAATGATACTTGTGTTAGATTTACACCGCAAGTTTTTTTCCCGTGTGTAGAAACTGTTATAGCCACACCACTCCTTTATACAAATCAGAGCTTCCGAAATTTTCAGTTTTAACCGTTGCCAGTATAAAAATGCCAGCGGGTGCCATATAATAACTGTAGCGAAAATTACTCGACTTCAAATACCCACAAAATTTTACCAAATGCCCAAGGGACGTACTATCAGGTTTGGTTTGGTAAGCGTTTTAGCAGGCATGCGGTAGGGGTTTACGGCCGGGTGCCGATGAGGGGTGGTAACTGGAGTGTGGTCCGAGGGTACGTTGACCGGTCACCTTGGGCCGAAAAATTGGTGTCATAATGTGGACTTGTGTATACTGGACCTTATGCCTATACATTTCGCACGCTTGTTCTCAATTTTGTATGCCGAGACATGCCCAGTATCTTCATTACACCAGCAATATTTTGAGTAAAATGTCGAAATTGGATGGTTTCTTAAACAAAATCGAACAAATTATAACAGAATGTTTGGTCCAGACATCAAATATCTGAAATTATTTGAAAAATACTGACACCAACTTCGTCTAAATTGTAAAACTTTGGCACGTCTAAAAAGGTCAGTTTGTCACATGTCCAAAGAAATTGATAAATAACATATTGTTTAGTTATTAATGTTAACAATAACTCATTGTTTCAAACTCATAATTCAAATGGTATATTTGGTCGACGTTACCAAACCTATACAACTGGAATATAACAGTTCAGCCTATTTCGAATGCGCATGAGTGACTATATAAACCAATCACAGTGGCGCTAGAAGTAGAGTGAGCTCTTTTTCTTTTGTAAAAGCTTTTCTGATTGGATCATAGTTAAGTTCGGTCTTTGTTTTCTTAACTTTCTCAGCATGATTTCAATGGCTCGTCCTGCTCGTTCCGCCTGATGAAAGTCAATTCGGATGACGGCGACGGAAGTGAAGACACCTCGAAAGGTAAAAACCGATACAAGAGTCTTATCACAATGTCATTTTCTTGGCAGGTTTTACGCAAAACTTCAAAAATAATCTACGGAGAAAATCGGGTTTCGTTAGAGCGGACCATTGTCGAGTTTTATGGTACTATTTTACACAAGGATTTAATGCACATCTGTTTGTGTGTACAAATCTTTGAATGTTGTGGACATTGGAAAACACCGTTTTGTAATTAGGTTTTTTGTGCTCTAATTTCGCCAATTTAGGGCGACCTCAGCTGGGTTTGAAGATGAGAATATCTCATCTGTGGAAAAGAAAGGAAAAAATTGGTAATTAATTGCACACCTGTCTTAGGTGTCTTTCCACACGTGTTTTGTTTCACATGTATTATCTTTACAAGATTGCCCAATTATTCAATTAAAGGTAGAATACAACATTTGCTTTTGCTGTCAATTTCGGATATGGATGGCTTTTGGGTTATTCTTTTATAGCAAATGTTGTTACACTGATGACTGTGGCGGTTGTCTAGCCCCCCCCCCCCAAAAAAAAATCCATAAAAATAAAAAATTGCATTAGCAAAAAGAAGGAATGTGACGTACATGCGAACGGTCTCCCCTAAAAAAATAGTCGTGACATGGGTGCATTTGTAGTTAATATAGTGTGCCTGATTGTAGGATTTTATTGGCGCTCCCCATTGAAAATATGGCACGAGCACACCCCCCCCCCCCAACTTATTGATTTTCGAAGGCCTAAGTGTGTGGAGAAAATAACCGGTCTACATTTCAGCACTCCTCCCTGAACATTTTTTTCTGGATCCGCCCTGCTAGCCCCACCCCCCAAAAAAAATATTGGCTCTAGAACCGCGCATGACTGATGACTTGTTTAAAGTTTTGTGATCATAGATGCTGGAAAAACCAAGAAAACAAATGCTGTTCTTGTATAGCCTGGTTCTCTGACCCTATACTTCAGACGAAACGGACTAATTTATAGACTTCGGGGAATTATCAGGTTTGGGAACTAGACTAGCTGGCTTGCGCCCGCTCACGGATGAGTAACCGATTGCAAACAGAATGAGGTACTCAATTTTGAAAAAGTCTTTGAAAAAGTCAGTTGGAAATTGATACAGAAATTCCACTTTTCTTGAAAATGACAGCACACCAGGTGCCATGATTTCACAGGATGCTTGAAACTGTTATTCACTTATACAGTCAAGTAAGGTATATCATAATAATTTGGTAATTTTTTTTGTTGATGTTGGCAAATGTTGTTCATTACATTTAGATCACTTGTAAAGCGTGTGTGGAGTAGGGTGTGTTCGTATAGCTTTAGTGTTTGAATGGGTTGACTTTTATGCGGTGTCCCTCCCTATACAGGGTGAGTAAAAAAAAACCGAAACCCAAATGTCGGGACCATTATTTTGGTGAAGTTCTGCATGTAGCACTTTTAAAATCTAGGATATGAAAGCCCAATTCATAAGCTTTTTTTAGTACAAGAATCATTCAAAACACCCATGTACTTTTCAGGTTACGGAGTTTTAAACACAACCACCGTTTTAAGGTTCTGTCCACGGATCACAAAAAGTTCAGTGTTCTTTCAGCAAAACGGAAACAAATCACATAAGGATGTGTGCGAATTGTTTTCGTTTTGCTGAACGAACGAACACCTTTTTTGTGATCCGTGGACAGAACTTTAAAACGGTGGTTGTGTTTAATACTCCGTAACTTGAAAAGTACATGAGTAATTTGAATGATTCTTGTACTAATAGAAAGCTTATGAATTGGGCTTTTATATCCTCGATTTTGAAAGTGCTACATGCAGAACTTCACTAAAACAACGGTCCCGACATTTGGGTTTCTTTTCTTTTACTCGCCCTATATAGTTGCACGCGGTAAACGGTTCCGCTAGCTTAATTTTATCTCCATCCCAGAACCAGTTTGTTGACAGATGTGCCAATTAACTTCCTCTCATTTGAGTCAGGCCTATATATTGCAGTAACTGATGTGAATTCGAAAAGGAACACAATCCAAGAGGAAATTGCTAAAGTGGGCAATGGTTTCTATGTTACCCCAAATCTGCGGGTGTTCATTCGTATAGATTTTTTTAAATCCAGGGACAATTTTCTTCTAATTTTTTCCAAACAAAATCTATTTTATTTGATGGATATATGTCAGAAATAATATGTTCTTATACGGTAACGGGCCACGTACGTCGCACAGCCCCTGCCGTCGCGAGCCAGTACCGCGTACCACCTTTTCTCTCTCCGTGGCTGATAAGGAGCCGGTCCGGTGTAGCCCTATGAGTGGTTTGTCGGCTCCCGCGTCGCAACTGATGCTGAGCCGTCCGGCCGACCCTGCCGGCCTCGGCTGGGCAAGGCGTCGGCCGGTCCAGCCTGAGAGAGCAGATCATACTGACGGAGAGGTGTTGCAGGAAGGGTCCTGAAGCCCGGTTTCAATCTAGCACTGTCGGTGTCACGTTGATCCCTATAGTCCGAAAACTTGAGTTGGTAAAACTATGCCGGACATCGACAACAAGAAAATAGAAGCGTATTAACCACGCAACCAACTTTTTGTTAAAAATGGCATTTGTGTATAGTATTTTGAAAAGAACAATTTGGTATAATCGTCTAGTCTTGAGCTTCACGTTTTTAACCGTTTTGATTCACAGTTTTATGAAACGAAATGTTGAGGAAAACTCTCGTTTAAAATATATACCCCAAACTCAGGACCGTATACCATTTAGCATTAAAAATAAATTTTGGTCTTGTTGATACAAAATGGCAGGAGAACATCCTATTAACAGACATACCATGCTTGTGCTAATTCACCGGCTGATATTATTAGCAAAAGCCGTTTTATTTTCATTTGGGCGGCTGTGCCGTATAGCCATTATTTTAATCAGGATCTAGTTTGGGTTTTCTTCTTCTTCTCTATGACATATACTTATGCGCCTTTCAATTGTTCCCCCATCTACCCCCCCCCCCCCCCCCCACGGGCTGACCCACCGAAGACGTTGGGATTATCACTTTTGAATTGACAAAATAGCCACCCCTGTGGCTTAATGTAAGCGACAATCTCAGACACATGGATGGGGCGCACTTAATGTTTGCCTTTGCATCTAGTAGTAGTATGCCAAGGGTACGGGTGAAAATCTTTGTAAGTGTCCAAAATCCCCACCCTGGGGATTTAAATACGTAACCAAACCGACATAAGACCTGGCGCAGCGCAGCGGGGGGGGGGGGGGGGCAATTGATGGGTGCATTATGTACTGACATTTTCATGTTATGTATAAGTTGGAGATGTTGGAAAGTGTTTTGCACATTGCATACTTTACTAAGAATTGCAAAATTAAATTTTGGAAGAATTACTGAATCGGGATTTGAATGTTTGACCTAAGAATAACATCTCTATACCAAGTTACCTTAGAAAAACAAAATGACGAAAGACGAAGCGATACCTTTAATAGATAAAAAAAAAAAACATTGATAAAAAGTATGATATTTAGTGACTTCGAGTTGTGACTGAGGGGGGCGCGTTCTTCAACTATCGTGTGCAGTGCAAGATATTCCCTTGTTGCACCCAAAAGTACACAATACCTCACGAAATGTCATAATCCGTGACTGAAGACACCGGACAGCCGCGCATGAGACGCAGTTGACACATGATGTGACAGCTGACGCGTGAACTCAACCTCCCTGTACTCCATGGGAACTACATTACGTCCAAACCTCATCGCACAATGCACAATGCACATGCTCGAAACAATAATATATTTTCTTGTATATGTGACAACTTGGAACCCAAGTTATGATTTATGCTTTGTTTGTGGTATGACTGTTTTCACGCAGTATTAATGTCACCTTTGCTTTCCGTGACCTCAGGCGGCGCTGGCCAGATGCAACGCCGAGAAATTCAAATGTCATATTATTGATTTAGAAGGTATGGGGTAAAAGGGGTTATCCATTAAACTTTAGCTTTCACCAAGGGTGTGGGTTTTAGATCAGGACCGATTGACAGTCTTCGATCTTCATGATCTGTTTGGCAGTCAGTAGGATTTCTGCACTGCCTAATATTGAATCTGCCATAAATACTTTTGTTTAACTAATGGTTCAGTGTGTCTGGTCTGTGTACATCATAGATTTACATTGCTTTTATGATGTGCCATAATTATAAAAGCACATTTAGGAACTTTTGAAGATTGTAATCGAAGCGATTTCCTTTTCGAGATCAAAAAGAAAAGTTTAAAGAATGATGGGACATTTGTTAACGTTAAGGAATGACTCTACTTACTCCAGAGAGTCAGTCTTTGCTCAAATGTGGAAGGAGGAGCATCATCACGCGTGTCTTTCAATGTTCAAAACAAAATCATCCGTTGCGGGCTTATGTTCATACAACCAATGCGTATAAGCTGTCATCAAATTCTTATCAATTTTCATCTTTTTCGGTGGTTAGAATTTTAGTGTTTTCATGTAGCCTTTATTCGAATCCTTTATCAAAAACGGAGAAACCACATTCGCAAAAACACATAGGCGTGAATTTCTATACGCCCGAGGACAATGCTTTGTATTTCCCTTTAATATAACACTCTCCCACATATTAAGCACATAACCGTACGATCGAGGATAGGACCGTCTTCAACAAAAGACCCAACGCTCGAGGACTGAAAGGATCGTTTTGTTCTCCCTTTGTGTGTCTGTCCTCTATCGTAAAGCCATGATGTTCACAGTAGCAACCCGCCAACTTCACACTCAATCCAGATGAATTCGTAAACTTGATGATATCTGGTTTGCATTGCAGTCCCCCCCCCCCCCACGCTATAAACAAAGTAAAAAAATCCCAAGATAAACGGGAACAAGAGTCGTCGATGAGAGAAATCCAACACTTTTGCAGCTCTTCCCGACACATTTTGTTGATTTACGCCAGATATGCACAGAAATTTGGCGGGGAAATATTTATAGACGTTGTCCAATATTAGGTGTTGCGTTTCTGGCGCCGTAATTCCCATAGGCGCATGCGGCGATAGGC